TATAAATAAGCAAGAATATTTTTTAAAACATGACTTATGAAAAAGACAAAAGGAAACATGGTCATGTTTGGTATATAACGCTGAGGGTTTAGGCTTGAAACTAGTATTAGGAAATGTCCAATTTAGTGTATGTAATATAAGATATTGAGTCTTACTTGGGTTTGCTTAAACTCACTTAGGTGAGATTACTCAAACCTATCTTTCCTTAATATTGAAAAACTAGTCCCAAAATTAAAAATTATTACACAAAACTATCATTGTTCGTAAGAATTTCAAATAAAGGTGCCCCTCTAAATTTTGATCTCCATTGCTGTTCCTTGCACAAAAATAAATCTCCATCACTAGCAATGCCTTCACTTCGTCGATCTCCATCAGTCCATCATTCTACATCATTGACAAAGCCCAGAGTTTGTCGATCTTTTTTGATCTCCATTATTCCTTCTTCGTCCAAGAGATCCGTCACTCCTTGACTTATAATTTTTCATGCGCTTTTTGTGATTTCCTAGCAAAACCAAACAGGTTTTATCATCGATTCAAGCTAGGGGGTCATTATCATTTTCTACCAAAAAAGCTGACAACATCGAAGGTTGATTAATTTCTACAACATAGTGATAACAATAATAGAAGCGTGATTAAAAACTAGAAGAGTAGCTAGACGAAAAAAAGAGGGAGGAGGAGGCAGAAGAGAGAGTAAGGGCATTTGATTTAACAAGCTGAAAAGGAAGAAGATGAAGGCGAGGAACGGTGAAAGAGAGTGGTTGGAGGAGGCAATGGTCTTTTTGCATTGTTGTGGTCGCTCTTTGGTAGGAGGACAGTGATCGCTGTGTTAGATGAGGGTAGGGTTACAGTTTTTTTACTTTTATTATTTTAAACAGTATTATAGTATTTTTATAATTTATGTTTAATAGTAAAATAAAATAAAAATAAATATTCCTTGCAAATATTAGTCTATACCAAATATAATTTTAAAGTTTTATTCTTACTTTCACTATTAATCACAATCCCTCTAAATTAAGGCTTGTGTACCAAACAGAGCCTATATGTAATTAATTAATAATGGGGCAACAGATTAGGTTCCTAACCTCCCAAACATGTGGCTAAAAACGATTCTGTCCAGGTAATTAGAAGGCACTTTAATCTTCTTTTAAAGTCAACCCTCACTAAATAGTCATGGAAATAAAATCTCCATAACCTTCACTTACTAATGTCATAAGCAAATTTCTTTCATTGTAATTAATCTAAGGATAAAATTGTCCACCGGCCAAAAAAAGTTTTGTGTCTAGAAAATGTATACCAATTTTTTAAAAATTTGGAATTATACTTAATTCACTTTAATATATAAGAAATTTATTATTGATATACAAGAATTTTATCATTAAAAATTTAAAAATTTACAAGAATCTTTTTGTCATTGATATACAATAGTATGTCATTAACAAATATAATAAATCAACCATAATATATAATAAATATTAAGCTATTTATTTAATTTGGTCATATAAAATGGATTATATTTGCAAAAATTCCTTAATTTAACCCACTAATAAGTGTTCACATGCGCACTTCAAATTCCTTTGCCTGTTATGGAAATGATAAAATTGACTCTAGTTTTGCTATAACATCCAATGAGTTTATATTTCTTGATTTATTATCATTTTAATAAAAAGATAGTCATAAAACATGAGAGATTCTTCTTTTTATGTATCAAAAAATTAAATAAGTTGGACTTGAGACCTCACTAAAGCCAGAACATGCTTCTGAATGTAAAGAATGCTTCTTAAAATACTTACATGTCACGTGCCAGCAAAGTCTAAATATGCAAGATTCATTTTGACACGTGGTAGGTCAATCTATGCTTGGGACCGACTAATCAATCAATTGACCCTACACACACTCTACGTAAAGGGGGTCGGGAAAAAAACAAGAGTAGACAAATTCTATCTAAACCTCTGATTGAGATGACACACAAGCGAGCTTAATATATTTTATATGTACCACGTAAGATTGACGGTGTTAGATTGATCAATTGGTGACAGCTCAGGGCCAACATCACCGTCTTATTATAACATCAACGAATTCAAATTGCATGTTTAATTTGTTTTTTCGGTGCCGGCAAATTGGACGCGTACAGTAATCCCTGTCTAATATTTTGTTACTCCATTTAAAAGTCACATTGGACGGTTGGTTTAGCTTGATGACGATGACAATAATACTATTATATCATATTATATTATGTCTTTATTATAAATTTCAACTCTCAGCTCGGATAAGTAATGTTATTTCAATTGCACGAGTTGATGGCCCAGGTTATCGAATTATTGTGTTTTGAATTTGAATCTCTGGAGTTTGATTAATTGTGTTAATTAAATAATTCCATCACCGCCGAATTTGATGCGATGTAAAAGGGGACTGATCCCTTGAATCATAGACATGTGAGTTACAACTTGGAAGCAACATTTTTTGAATTGACTGCATCAAAAACTTGAACACTAGATTAACCCTTGTGAAAATTGATCTCGACTAATAATCAGAATATTTATTAAATAATCTATATTTGTTTATTGCAACGAGCGAAGTTTATATTAACTTCATACAAATTACGCACTGTTGAAATGTGTGCGTGTTCAAATCAAGCTATATTAATTTGTATTAGTAGTTTCGTAAAAGACTAGGGTTGATTTCTATATTTTATTTCGCCTCTTTTATCAATGTTTTTCTTGCTCAAAGGTGAAATGTACTTTATTGAATACTGTAACAATCCATACCTAGTTACGTGGCAAAACATCAAACGCTATATGATTTTTTTTTTTTTTTCCAAACACTAACCTGAAGAAAATGAAAGGAAAGATGCCACAGGGGATGGTGCTAGCGGCCATAGTAATTTACTATTTTCTCCCCTCGTTATTATAAGATTCTTACCCATGATCCTTATCATGAGAACATCTGTAAGTTGTCCAGTTTTTTTAAATCTAAGTGCACATCGGTTTGATATTCTTTAATGACGATCAACTAAATAACCTCCTGCAACTAATTCATGCTATCCTCTATTTTAATTTTTTTAATGAATTTTATTTAAAATAATTGCTTGAATTGAAAAACATTTAATAATTTTAAATTCAATGGCCTTGATCTATGTAAGACTCTTGTAACAAGGATATCCAGAACGGGATATTGTTTCCTCTAGTAACGAAGTATAAAGAGGCTTCTTACTTTCTTTGATCGAAGTAATACATCTCGCAATGTAAATTGGACAACCCATTCACATAAAGCATAAAATATAATTAAAAAAATAAGAATATGAATGAATTTAATAGAGAGGGACTCTCAAGAGAAGAGAGAAGTAGACTCCCATTCAAAGGGCTAACATAATCTCATTTTTATATGATTTTCTGACTGAATTAGATGCACGTATTGTTTTTTTAATTACTTATAGATATTCTTCAATTTGAGTTATGGTTGGATATTAAATATAAGTATTTTTTTAATAAAGATTTAAACTTAACCTAACTCCCTCGTTATTTTATTTTATTTTTTTGGTTGTCCACCCAATTCACTGGAGTTTTGTCTTGACTACATTTGAATTCGGCCTACATCGCACATTTGAATTTGGTGGGTGAGTCTCTTAGCAAAAATTTTCTGCACACACAAAGTTTAAACTTGGGATTTTACTTGAACAAAACTGAATCACTTATCACTTAGACTGATTCAAACCAACTCTCGTTGGTAACTCCCCCGTTATTAGATTCAAGCATTGTTCAATCAATTGCGATCGCTATCCTGAAGGCCCATTTTTGGATTGTCGTACTATATTGGACTTTGGGGAGCCTGATAAGCCTAAAAAGCCACACCGAATTTAGGTTGGGCCTGGGGACGGAGTATAGATAAGGAAAACTATGTAACGTGCAGCTTTTTATGAATCTGATGGGGGAATTGTTAATAAAATTTTTTACCAAAAAAATCTTAATAAAATTATGATTTGATGCGGAATTTTAAAATGAAATATTTTATTTCTTTTTACAGAAATAAAACTGCTACGTGCCAACGAAATTATGCTAAATTATACTTATCTCCTGTATGTCGGCTTATGTGTGGATAATATTCAGACCAATAGACTTTTAAGTAACAAATTCAAAAGTCATATAGTATTGTTTTCCTGAGTGAGGAACGTATTATTTTCATCAAAGAAGTAACAAAAGAGACGGTCAAATATGCCCATAATAAATGTGCGACAATGCTGTTGACACATGTAGACGCAGCTGTTGTATGTCGTCATAGAGACGTATGTTTGTAATTTGTATTTCTAGGGGTATATATGAATTCCTTTTATTAAAAAATGTACAATATTTTTAATTAAATTTTGTTTAATAAATTATTTAACTGTATCTAAATTAAAACTATTTCTTTATATTTACTCTTATTTAATATGATATTTCACTTAAAAATAATTTATTTATTAAGAATGTTTTTAAAAATATCTTATATTTTTTAAGGAGAGAATAATTAATATGATAATAGAAATTTAAAAAAAAAAAAAGACAAACGAACACATTAAAGAGGGAGAGGGAAAAAAAAACAGAAAGACACAAAAAAAGAAAAGACAAGGTTTTTTTTTTTTTGGGGGGGGGGGGGATAAAAAGGACAACTGGACAAGTACCTTTGTTATGAGACGGTGTAGGGAATTCGCGGTCTTTTGATTTTCCAGATTCCAATGAACAAAATATCTCTTTAGTTCTTGGCGAATCATTGATACCTGTAGGCCATATTAAGTGGTTTAGTTTCATATATTCAGTTGAGAACATTATGAAGCACATGAATAACATATCAGGTAACACTCTTAAATTTAAAATGGATAAAAAGGATGTAAATAATGCATCTGAAGGAATTCGGAAGATAATAGATTTCTTTTCTGATTTTAAAAGTTTTAAATATGTGCGTTGAACTTGAAGAGAGTGTTTTACATTTTTTACAGGAAAAAAAAAAGATAATAAATTTATTCATCGAATTGCCCTAAAAGAGTAATGGTCCCAAGCTGAAGGAGGAAAACGTTGTTCTAATGCGACGAATCGTTACAGTAATGTCGCTCCCCAAAGTATCAAAAAGAAAACAAACCTCAAGTTTTCAAAATTAATAAATAAAAGAGAAAAAGAAAACACGGGGAAAAAAGGTTCACAGGTCACAGCTAAGCACCAACACACCGACACACACGTTGGCACACTGATTTTGTCACTGCAAATTCCGCGGTTTCCATATTCACAACTCGACGATTTCCTTTTACAACCCTAAAACTCAACTAGCAACTATAACAGTTTCAGCACAATAGAGATTAAATCTTATTCTCAAGCTGATTTAAAAAAAAAAAAATCTTGTTCCCAAGAATGAAGAATTTTATATGACTAATGGAACAACAAAAACAAGCCGGAAACTCGCTAATTCATTTCGTGTTTCATCTCCAATGTTGGCTGCTTAGTCAAATGTTTCCCATTTTGTTGTCACTACAAATGACTCCGAATGTTCCAATGGCTGCTGCTTCCTCGAGTCTGATGCTCCCTTCAACTTATCAAGAGCTTCAATCTGCTTCTGAACTCTCCTAACCTAATTCAAGCATGAACCATTCCCAATTGTATTCATTTCAATAAACACCATCAACTAATTGACACTGTTACACTTACCTGCTCTTTTCTCCGCAATTTTAGATCTCCCTCAGCTGCAACTTCATCCAGTTTTAACAATATTCTCATCAAATTGTCAGTCAAATTGTCCACATCCATCTCTGCTATAATCTCGCCTTTACAAGCTGATGCTTCCAAAGCTGAAACCTGCTCAGACTTTCTATGCGTAAGATTAAGAGCCATCATCAGAGAAATATGTTTGGAAATAACAAGTGAAGATGAATTACCTCCTCGGCGTATTTGTCAATCTCTAGTTTGATTTCGCTCAAGGATTTTGAACTCTTGTTCTTCTTGGAGAGTTTCGATATCTCCAGTGCCCTCCGTTCTCTGCCCTCAATGTCCTCCACAACCTCCATTTTTGATCCTTTTCTCACTTTCACTTCGTCCAGGTATGATTTAGAGTCTCTCTCCTTGCTCTTGAAGATGATCTTTTGATCCTGGGGATGCAATCCCGTCGCCTCTGCCAACAGTTTCTTCAATTCCCCTGCACTCATCAACTTACAATTGCATTAATCTCAGAAAGAAAACAGGGGGAGAATTCAGAGTGTCCAGAGTTGCTGCATTTACCAAAACTTGCATGAGAACTTATACGAATTTCATGATAGGTTGAAGCATACTTGACTTTGATTTTAATGGGGGGAGTGGAAACAGAAACGAAATTCTGGTTCTCATCTGAATCACGCTTCTGGACCAGCATTCCTCCTGGCCTTAATTCCCATTCCGCCTCCCTCAGGCCGCTTATCTGATCGCCGACGTTGCTCGTTTTGGACCTCGAAAACATTCCGTTAATCGCGGATTTCATCATCTGGATTATTCTAAAAACCGGACAATGAGACGATGATTTGGCTAAGTAATCTCAGAACAGAATCGGAGCCTGAAGAGGTGCTTCCCTTGGATTGGAGGAAACCTGAGGGAGAAGAAAGAACCGTGACGTGCTCAAAAGTTTCTACAGGATGGAATAATAATACAGTAATTGTGAAAAGCGGGGTCGAAAGAAGAACGTGATGAAAATCAGAGTAAGACTCATTAGAGAGAGCCGCTTGGTGGTTTAATTAATCGGAATAGCAGTCGGTAAAGAAGAGAGAAATGGAGGAGACAAGGAAAAGGAAAAAGACAGAAAACGAGTGGACAGGAAAGAAAGTAACTGAGAAGAATCATCTTTGCTGTTGGCATAGTCATAGAGAGGGAAAAGGTAAAATGAGAATTGGGAACGTGCAGGGGTAAAAGTAATGAAGTAAATTTCTGAACCGTTTAGTGCACAGTAAATAATAAATAAGTGAATAACGGGTAATAAAAATGTGGCAGTTTTTGTTTTTTGGGGCAGAAATGGCCATAAATAACTGCATGCATATAAACTCAAACTCGAAATTTTAGGAATACTTAATTTAAATTTTTATAACTAGTTCGTCTCTCAGTTCAACAGACCACATTCTTTCTCATACTGGAAGTGCATTTTTTTTCAAAGGATTTACTTATTTTAATAGAGAAAGGTGAAGAAATTTGGAATGAAATTGCAGGGTTTTGACCATCATCGTGAAACCAGCTGTCTCCTATAACCCGGGGGTCTGCTCAAGGGAACTGGAATCTTTGATTTTGATGCTTGCTATGTCGCTTTCCTTACGCCAAATTTTCTTCTTTTTTTTTGTTTTTGTTTTGGGGAGTTAATTACTGTTAATTAGCCAATTAAAACCCTTATTTCCGTCGACTCATGGGTACTGGCCGTTAATTCATTTCGTAACATGGACGTTTTATCTGTTTGTCATGTTTTAGTAATACAATTTCTGGGCTTTTTGTTCCACACGCCTATAAATACTTCCACCACTTCTGTCAAGTACATATTCTGTTTCGTGATCTTTCTGGGAAACTATGAAATTATAGGTATACAATGAATAATTTTATGTTTTTTTAGCAACTTGAAAAATATTATCATAGAAAACTTACAAATTGTACAAGATTATATGAGAAAGAGGTTGTCTCCACGGTTCCTCTGTTCGAATCTTACCCACATGGACGTGATGCGTGTCATTCCTCGTCACATGGGAGGAGGTTCCAAAGATTAATTGATAAACAGTATTATCAACAAGTCATATCCACTGGCCAGGATTAGTTGCATGAATTATACTACATTATCATGCTTTATTATTTATTCAATTTTTAAAAATATTGTTAACTAAAAGATATCAATTAATAATTTTGATAAATGTTTTTTCAGTGTTCTTCTATCCTGTTTTGCATAATTCAAAATTATCTAATTTACTTTTTTTATTGATACCTCCTGCAATTTTTTTTATATTTATTCAAACCAATTTAAACAATTCTCTATCATTTTTTTTAATAGATACTATATTTACTTTTTTTATATATGCTTATTTCGAATTTTATTTTCATATATACACTTATATATTTATCTTAACATTCTCATCTTTGCTACTTGAACCTTACTCTTACTGTCCATTTAAAATCCAACATTCACTCCCCATATAATATAACTTGTCCTGTAACAGTTTAAATATGCCTACTTATCATTTTTAAACTGATCAAAAAGAGAATATGTCTACTTGTCATTTTTAAACTCTAGTCCTTTGAGAAAGAAAACTGAACAAATCTGCAAGGCCACAGCTCGAAAGCGGGCATCCTGAAAAATTAAAATAATAATAATTATAATAATAATAAAGAAAATAAAATTGAATTAATATTTGATCATCCGGGAAAGAATTTCAGCCAAGAGGTAGTTCAGAATCATTTTCTTCAACTCTTCCTTTTACAGAGCCCAAAAAACATACTTCGAAGCGATGCTGCAAGAAGATACAATTTAATGGCAAAGCAAATGTGTGTACAAACTTAACTATTTCCAATACCAAAGAACCTGTTACAATTTTTCAATAAAATAAAAATCGAAGAAACTGAAATTTCCTCATCTGATTTTAAAATTTTCTGAAACCAGACAATGCATTCTCTACCTCACTCAGCCTTCCGAGCTTTGGGTCTGACAGGTTTCCCAGGTTTGATAATGTAACCACAAAGAATCATTACAATGGGAAGAATAGTTCCAATATAATACACGCTTCCATATGAGGCCAGAGTTTCACGCAGACTTAACACCTATTCCACACAAATTTTGGAAGCATTAGCATGTTTGTGTAAGGATGAAACATTCAAGCATGCTTATAAGAGGGAGGGAGGGAAGGAGAACGAACCATGAAACCAACACAGGAGTAATTAAGAACCAAAATTGTGTATAGAAAATTCATAAACGATAAGACATTAGCCACTGCTGGAGCGACAGATTGTTGCCACCTGTAAATGACTGCTCCAAAAGAACAAACCGAGATAACAAAAGGTTAATTATCTGAACCAATAAAAGAGACCGCAAATAAATGTAACCCATTGCTTACCTCTGGACCCGGCAATCATCAAAGCTGATTGAACAAAGAATATGATATACCCAGGATATAGTCCCTGTAATAAAAAAGTCAAAACAAGGGAAACACCTGATTTGAGACCTCATGGCACACAGCTTGGATTAAACAGTATCAAAAAGTGGAGTAATTGAAAAATTTTTCCAGGCAACTTTCTTCATGTTGCTAGTGTGTCCCATGTTTCCACGGTCCAAGTTTTTTGCTGAACAAGGGCACATGCATTTCAGTGCTACTGGTAGCATGATAAACAACAAAGGTTGTCTTAACAATTTGTGGTTTCACGTCAAGAAAATTTGTGTGCATCTCTAGCTGGATTGGGACAGTACACAAGGCTGGAGAAAATATCAACACAGATACATGGAAATAGATACAAGACATAGGACATGAGGTATGGATTCGAAAATGCAAGAACAGGAAAGTTGTTCGATGCAAAACCTATATCAAGCATAGATCATATTTTAAGGATCCATGTTTTCAGTCGGACAGTAAATAGTACAGACCCTGGGTAATCTGTCCAATAACCAATTAGTTACTTCTATACAACTACGCATTCATGATCAAAGCGTACAAGAGCAGCATATAAAATGGATAAGGAAAAATGCATAACTATTGTATTGAGTTCAACTAGCACTCCAACTTCAGGGAAAAAAGGGACCACCTTTTTTATTTTGACAGGAAGTTAATCTTGAAGTAATGACAATGCAGGATGCAGATGCGAGATACAAAGTACAAAACAAATATCTAACTTAAAACACGGCAAAGTTTGAACTTACATGCCAAACAGCACTGACAGTTTGTGTGGCGAGTAACTGAAAGAAGCCAGCTTTCTTCCCTTTCTGAACAAGCCTTTCATAAACATCTAAAAAGACACAAACATTGGTAATATTAACACTAGATAAATAAAACTGCTGTCCAGTGCTTGATAATACTATCGCTCATAGTAAAGTTAAAAGATAAATTCAAGAATAGAAGTTATTATTTTATAATGATGTAAGAAAAAACCAATCTAACTAACTAATTATAATCAATTACTTTAGCAATTGTCTGAATTGATATTTTCAACTCATTTTTTTTAGAAAATTTTTTCAATGACGTAATTTTTATTAATTCAATCTTTTGGAGTTGAATTGTCATTCTTCTAATTAAGTTTCATTTGTTAATTAAAGAGATGTTAGCAAGCTATTATGATAAGCAAGGAAAGCCTCAAAACGCAAAAGCAGTAAACTCACAATGACGAAGCCAGGTGCTGACTTGTATGTTCCACTCAAGTGGTATCACAACAGCGCTCCTTGCAAACTCAACACCTACTATGTCCACATTTTTGGCCCGATCCCAACGTGGCTTTGGAGGAGAGGATTCTGTCCAGCCACTGAAGCCAAGGCCAGAAATAATAACTGAAGCCTCTGAGATTGACCAAATGAAATAATATTTCCATCGCGCTGTAAAGCCAGACATATACTGGTATCCCAACCGTTTCCAGAAACCCCATTCTTGATACATGGGTTCAGCAAACGTAGACAGAGGAAAATGTGGTACCAGGTACAGATACATGGCCATACATAAGCCAGCTTGTAGAAGCGCTCGAATAGTTGCCCCATATGGTGATGGTCCTTTTGCTGATGTGCTCCAAAGCTAAAAACAATTAAGACAAAAATTTAAATACCAAATATCACAGGATAGAAGTAATCAGCATGACAAATGTCAAAGCGACCCTCTTTCTCCTCGGGAATGGCACAATAGTTGATTAAAGGAAGTGAAATTAACCCACAGGAATTGGATACTCTATCACGTGTATCAAACGAAAATTTTCAATAAACGTACCCCCTTTCCTTCAGCCCAGTCTAGATAATCCTTCATTTCAAAAACTGGACCAGCAAAATGACTCCCACAGCAGAGGCAGTAACCGAAGTACTCAATCAACGAAGGCAATCTAATCAATCGGTTTTTCTTCTGTGCCTCGCGCAAACCTTCCTCTGTCAACAACCCATCATTATAATTTATTGCACACGAGATGACCTTCAATGTCAACACCATCAAGGCACCTTTTTCGAGGAAGAAAATTCAGCCACCCAACAAAGTTAATGCTTAAACAATAAAGTGCAGAAAAAACTTCTGATCCATTTATCGAAAATGATGAATTAACGCTCACCGGTAGCATCGATACCACCCTCCTTCCATAAATCTCCACTCATGTAATATACATGGCTACACAATCACATATCAGCAGTCAAAACTTTGAAGGAGACTGTTAAGGGCGTGCATGAAATTAATCAATAAACTCGCAAGAATTCTAGACCACGTAATATAATGCTTAAATAAGCAAATGAAACAGTGACAATGATGAAAGCAGACCAGGGATTAAACGGCACTGAATTGCTCAAAACTAACAGTTGACCCTCACAGAGAGTTAAATCTAGTTTAGAGAAAACTAGAACATTATTTTTAAATAAACAAAAGGGGGGATTAAAAGTTAAAACCCTTGACATACCAACCGATGAGGTAACCAAATCCCAAAAAGAATGTGATGATCCCACATCGAGGGCGACAAAGAATCATGGAAGCGTAGCCGGCTAACATAGGAACCAAGAAATGGAGGTTGGAAGAGAATCCAAAAGAGACGTAGGAGAGAAGAGCACCGGTTCCGGCGGAGTAAAGGTGCTTGAGAAGTGAACCAGGAACGAATCGCGCAAGGAAGCTGACGGGAATAGTGGCCACGAAACAGAGAAGGAAACGAAGTACAGGGACCGAAACCCCGATGGCACCCGCCATGGAATCCATGTCCATCTCCATGCCCATGGCCTTGCCTCAGATTCCTAGCCGCCACCAATTCGATCTCCTCAGGAATTTGAGTGCCGTCAACACAACAGCTTCAGCTGTTTCGTGTGGTGAGGGGATCGACGCAGATTTAATTCTGAAATTAAATGTAGAAAGTTGGATTGGATTTATTCATTGAGTTGTTCTGAAATTACATCCCTATCCTTTTATGGCTCAAATCATCAATAAATATAAGCGTTGGGTAAGAATATCTTTGTATGTAAGAATATGATATGTAAAATGCTGGTAAAAAAATATAAAGAATATATTTGTATGTGAGAATATGATATGTAAAATGCTGGCAAAAAATATAAACAATGTATTATTATTAAAAAAAATAAACGCAAAGCATGTCACTTGAATTTTTTTTTTCAGAAAGGATAAATACTACGTAACCTTCTAACGTCTGCCTGCTAATATATTATTTTCTCTAGTTTAAAATACAGGAAATTTTTATTAGTTAGTGTTAGTCTGAGATATAGAATAATTTGTAAAAAGTCAATAATATTAATTTTTTCAGAAATGTTTTTGTTAATTGTATTATAGAGAGAGATTGTATAATAATAAAATTAAGAATAATTAGGATATATTAATTTTAATTAAATAAATATTCTGAAAAATAATCATAATTTTTTATCATTTTAATGATATAAAACCACTTTCAATTATTTTTTTTTTATGGGAAGGATTGAAGCTTGAAGGGGTATCTATTGAGCATTTATTTATTTTTATTTTTATGAACAAAGTTTTACGGTTACTCTGAGCCAGCTCATTGGTGAGCAGGCTTTAGAAGGGTAGTGTTGGAAGTGGATTCTGCTGCCATCGCTGAGATCTCTACTAAAGCGGCGATCTGAATTTGAGACAGGGAATGACTAATGATGGGACAAACATTGGGGGATTCAAGTGAACCATATTGCAGGCGGAGGAAATCAAGAGTTCTGAACTTAATGTTGGGACTCATGTTTGGTGGCGGATGGTAGAATGTGTGAAGCTGATTTGCTTCGCTCACAAATTTGCTTCTGATTTCATCGTTTCTTCTTGTTTTTAGTTTTCTTTTCTTTTCTTTTTGGGCTTTGGTTTATTTTTGCCCTTTCTAATTTATTTATTTTTGTTTCAGGCAAGTGGAGTCACATGGAGCAATTAAGATACACTGGTTGGTGGGGAGCACTCATGAAAAAGATGATCACGGTAGCTCTCCATCAATCTGGATTATTTAGATAGATTTTGTTTGTGTCTGTATTTAATTTAATTTAATTTTTATATTTTAAATATTTTTTATTTTAATGGACATATAATATAAAATAAAACTAATCTTATACACATCCCATCTCAAAGACATAAAAATCAATTTATCAATTTAAAAATTACAATTTACAATTTTTCAAGCTATATTGTCTAACTTAATGTATAGGATTCAAATCGCATTATAAAAGATGAGCGCAATAGTTTGATGACCATAAAATGCGAACCCAATTTAATTTTTTTTTTAGTTTTTTCAAAAAAAAAAGAACTCATTTAAGTAAATGCTTACAACTAAATGATTTTCAAAATTATTCTTATTTTTTTTAAAACATTTTTAAAAAAAATTCATGCCAATTCCTATTATCATCACTATTTGTGGTCAACGGGCCATTGTGAATTCCCAACAATTATTATTATCAACCATCATCATCGTTAGTCATTGCTATTGATTATTACCATTAAATAATGTTGATTATCTTGACTAACAAACCATCCCATTACCCATGACCAACTATTATCATAAATCATTGCTAATAATTACTGCCAATCATCATCATTGACTGATTTTATTTTTTAACAAAAAAATTATTTTTAAATTAACATAATCAAACACATTGTTACTTTGTTTTTTTAAAAAAATAGCTTGCAAAATATTTTTTAAAAATTAAAAATGGGACTAAAAATTGAACAAACCTTCACTCTCTTCAATTAATTGATGGTTCTCAATAGATAACGGGAAAACTCAAGCAACGCAGCCAGTTTCATCGATTCTGAACCAGAATCTCAGACCAAAATGACAGGTCACAAATTTGGTGGGATCGAAAAAGCGTGGGAAGAGTTTATTTGAGAAACAAGGACTATGATTTAGCCAACTTTTCAAATAAACAGTAGTAGAATCTCCAAAGTACATCAAGTTTAGGCCTGCTATCCTTTAATAAAGCCTTTTAGACTAGATTCCAATTCCATATGATAAGCATGACGGTTTGGTTTGTTCTATTTTTCGAATATATATGTGATAAAGCCAAGACTGAGTTTCTCCTGAGTCATCTCAATTTCTCTAGGGGAACAAACACTTCTATTATATTATTCTTCCATCCTATGAAAACAGCTGTGGCCCTCAATATGACACTAGAACTGGAATTTAAATTTCATGGTAAAAATAACTTCAGAAAGATAACAGTAGCATAATCCGATCAAAATGGTGAATAAGTAATTCATTGGAACAATTCCTCGTTACAATACCCAAAAAAAAAAAAACATGAGCAACATTAATAAACATCTCAGAGAAAAATATATACATATATACACTGCCTCATGCTATCCTCTAGCCTCAGAACCACAAAAAACTCGATTCTCTCGATCTATCTACACAGCGCCCCCCAACCTATGACATATAACACAGATTATACATTTTGATTCCTTCCCTACACAGACATTAAGAGGAATTTGAGTTCAAAAATGGTTGAAGCTTTCTGAACTCAGTTGGGCATATAATCACAGAATCTAAACAGAGACCACCTTTGGTATGAGTGCAATCGATTTGAGTGAGCGAGAACTTGATTTTGGTTGATGTGTTGGCGCCATTGCCAACCACAAAATCGCCTGCATGGTAATAACTCCATTTGCCAGGTCCTTCCAGAAAACACTGAGAGGCAGAGTACTGCCCATCTGAACTCCATAGCTGTAATCGTACGGGCTTAATGTTCCACCCATGAACATTCTCATTATTGCATACACGTCGTCCAAATCTCCTGGAGGGTCGACCAAGATGTGTTCTGAAATAGAGGCTGTATGTCCCTTCTGGGAATGGGAAATCAACTTCCCCATCAACTTCAAACCACCAAATTTGCTGTAGATATGCTACTGTATTGAATCTGCACGCAATGGAAACAAGTATGGGTTAATTACAACATTATTGGATTAGACTTATTGCTTACAAAGAGCATTTAACTCCTTTTTTTTATGAAATTAAGCCATTTGACTTTAAACTCCATGACTAGTCTGAAAAAAAGTTTGACTTCCTTGCTCTGGATTTACATGCACCATAAAGTGAGGACATTCAAACTTCATCAATATTGACAACCTGGTATCCTTCAAAGCTGCTCATTTTTGTGATTTTTTAAAAAAGAAACCTTCACTTGAATAGTTTTCCGTTTCTTTTCATGTTTAGTACATTCAGCTCAGTCCCCCCCCCCCCCCAAAAAAAAAAGCACATTCATCAACATGCCAGATATTGAAGAGGACAAAAAACGACAGCTGTCACATGAAGCATGTTCATTAACATGCATTTACTATGACAGCGTGGCAAGCCAACCAACTTTTCGGTCATGAATGGCTGCTTTTATTAAACCCAGATGTGTATATTTATTATTGAAATGGATCTGAACATTGAATTCCACCTTACGATTGTAAAGAAATGAAAATCTCAATTAATTAATTATTCTTTCTAGAACATGAAGAGAATCATGCAGCACTAGGGCATGGAGAATAGAGACTCTAATAGGTGTTCACAAGAAAATGAGAGCAAAACCGTACAATTGGACACTACAAGATCCAAAATCTTCAAAGGAGAAAGGATTGCATTAGAGTTATCGAAGAGAAGGATCAGTATAGCCAACAAAGTATAACTTAGTTGGGCTATAATTTGATAATACATATCCCAAGCTTATTCAGTCACGAAATCATTAAGTGACAACAAAAGAAGAGGAAAAGAACGTAAGAGAATAAACTCCTCCATAAGCAAGCGCTAACTTAAACAAGCCATCCAAAAATATTTCTATTACATCTAGAGAACCGAACTATTCTCATTTCTGTGAAATTTCCACACTTGATGCAACGATAGGTGTGAAGAATCTCACCTAGATTCTTCCGTTTGAATATGATTCCAATATCTTCGATCATCAATCCCGGTTATTGACAGTCCCTTTGACGATATAGCCAAAGAAAGTTTACCCGTGTTTTTATCCAGCCAAACTTTCTGCATAAAAACCCACATTATAAACACCTTTACTTAATCTGCTGGCTAAGAGAATCATAGAGAAGGAAAATATTTACGTAACATTACCCCCCAAAAAAAAAAATATTTACGTAACATTACCCCCCCAAAAAAAAAAAAAAACACCCCCCCCCCCGGGCATAATAAATTACTTTATTCTGTTATAGTGTGACTGGGTAGAAATATTTCCACTGATGATAAAAATGAAAGCAAGATAAGATATCACATGGAGCTATTGAAATTAAGACAGAGGACAAGCGACACACCAATACGCTCGAGAGACTATAAATCGTGTTTGCAATCCCTTCATAAATTTAATCAACCCCGTTCCATAAAAAGGAAGACCGAGTCCTTTCCCTCTCCTTCAGCCCCAATTCTATATTTCAAGATCAGAGCCTCTTCAAGTTCATAATACTCGGGAAAACCTAAAACGTCAGCCCCCCCCCCCCCCCCCAACCCAAAGTGTTCCTCGATACCAAACAACTCGCGAGTGGATCGTTTAGGTACCTTATTGCCGTCATCAAAAGTATTAAGCTGGCACAGCTTTGCATAAATTCCTCTCTTTCCCAAATTGGTAGGAAGATCACCAAAGATTTTCTTAACAAGAACATCAAAATTGGAGGGCAACTTGGATTCCCACACAAAATCGGCCAAGGAAGCGCCGTGAAAAGCCCGATTCAAGCTGGCGAGTTTACAAATCTGGGGAGGATCCATATATTGGAGGATCCAAGCGACACAATCCTCGGGTAAATCCCCCAGAGCGGGTTTAGACGGCACAATCGAAGCACCATATCGTGCTCCATGCAAAGATGAAGATCCAACACCCATCCCAAGAAGAGAAACAGAAGGAAGAAGACTGGAATGTTGGAAAACTCAGAGGAAAGCCGGTTCGAGCAGAGGGAGGATTGAAATGATGAAAGCTGGGTTTCTTATAAAAGGACGCGTATCTAGCACCGTACGTGGAATTTGTTGGTATGTTTCCTGAGACAGGTCGTCCTCTTTTGGAGAAAAGTGGATATGGTGTACTAGATAATGACGATGACGAGGCTTATTAATGTATTAAGACTGTATCAAAGCAGGATGTTAGCCAAGTGAAAAACCAAAACAAAACAAAACGGATTATCTTTAACCATTGCTATAACAGAACAGCTTTAATTTTTTTTTATTTGAATTTGGTGAATAGCCTAAACATATTCCTAAATACATTTATTGGATCATATTTCATCAATGCTTGACAATCGTTGATGTAAATTTTTCTTAAAAAAATTCAAAACAATACTTAATATCAAAACACTTCTCTTGTATGTTGTTCAATCCAAAAATTTGAAACTTTATATTTTTTAAATGTCATGTGATAAAATTTTTTATAATCATTTGATTAAATTAAATGATTATTATCATGTAACGTGAGATATTTAATGGGTGAGTGGGTTTTGGTCATTTGCCGAATTCAAATCAAGTTTTTTTTTAATTGCACTTGTTTATGGTTGCTCTTTTCATTAATATATTTCTTATTTTATCTATATTGTATTATATTATACTATTTTCTATTTAGGATTGAGTAATAAATAAATTAGTCTTTCTAAATCCAATATAAAGTCCATCTAATATATATATTTTTTGAAATTCCTACAATAATAAATAATGTGTAGTTAACACTCTTTTTAAAGTATAAAATAGAGTTAATATGCAATTTAAATATTAAATTATAAGTTTAAAAATGATTTAAACCTTAAATTTTTTAAAAAGTGCATTATAAATCTTAAATAATTAAAGTTGAAGCAACTTTACCATTACCATTAAACTTTAACAAACTTCACCAATTTGGGACTCAATGTGTGATTTTCATTAAATGAGGTTAGGGGGGAGAGGGAATATGGAATTTGATAAAAATTACACAATGAGCCTCAATTTAATGAATATTTGTTGAAATTTAACATCATAGATAAAATTATCCTAATTTTAATTATTTAGAATTTATAATGCACCTTTTAAAAATTTAAAATTCAAATCACTCATGAACCTATAGATTTAAATTGCATATTAACCTTGTAAAATAGTGTAAATGTTGCCATTGCCTTACATGCATGTTCACTCTAAGCAAACAAAAACCCATATTTGAATAGAACTATGAAACAAGCGACCATTAAATAAGGCTTTTTTTTTTTTTTTCATATATGCCTAATACAACTAGAAATGAATGTTTTAAATGCTGGATCAAACAATGAATTAGAAAGATCAACGGGTCATGAATTTCATGGTTTAACCAGTTAAAGTGATGATATAATAAATAAATAAAAACTAATATGCATATATATATATATATATATTTATATATTAAAAAATGAGTCAAAATAGTTCACACAGTTTAGGTCCCAAGCTTTTACTCCTAGTCTTCAAAAACTGTCAAGATCAAAGTGGATCAACTATTAGAATGGGTTAAATAATTGAACCAGATTGTTTTCTTCTTCGAGTGATGATTTGATCGGCCCAACTATTTTAGCCAATATGAATTTAAAAACAGTGCTAAATGCTGTCATGAACATGGAAATAATGCCTTCAATCACACAAGCAAGAGATACTCCGGCAATGAGAGTCAACAATAATGGCTTTATTATTATTTTTTTTAATTTTTAATTTGTTCTCCCTTATTGTAAAATGCTAGACCGATATAACATAAAATATTCCACCCTGAAAGAAACCGAAGCACAAGTTGCGAGAATAAACAATGGCCGTGCGTGGATTGCTAATGGGAAGGGACTTGAGGATGTATTATATTGCGTGTTTTTATTTCAAAAGTTATGTTTGATTGACGATTGAGTAGCATTTAATATCATCCTTCCCATTTAAATTTAAATTCATTTTAATATATAGCATGTTGTGATATCATTATTTAATTATTAAAATTAATTTTTTATATCAGCATAACTTCGATTGCGCACTGTATCAAAATTAAATATCAATATCATTCTGTATGGTGTGTTAACCTTTTGCGGTAAAAGGTTTAAAAGAAATATTTCTTAATCAAAGTTAGTAGCAATTTTTCTGGAGTCATGTATCGATTGGTTTGTCTCCGAAGCTTCATTTTTATTCGTGTATGGAATCATTTAAAAAAAAAAACATTATAAAATTTGACAGCAGTTTATTTTATCCATTTGGATCTCTTTTAATTTATCGGTCTTAATACATATGAATTGCTTTAAGAAAAATGTGTTTAATAGTGTAATATTTTTTTCTTCTTTTGGCTACGTACTCTTGATGGTATTTATTAGAATCAAAAGCTCGAAAAACTAGCAAACTCTTCTTAGTTATAGTTTATGTCCAATTAATACACACAGCAAGCCAGTTGCTTGGAGTCGTTTTTTATTTAATGTCGTTTTAAGAAAAAAGCTACATGACTACTTCATAACATGTTTACTCTTGAAATGAGAAACAATAAACTCATTAATTTTCAGTTCATTAATGTCAGCTTTGTCTACATTCTGGTTTATCCATTTTATTTATTTACATATCATCCCATTATCAAACAAGAATAATAATACCTTGTTAATTCACCATGCTCACCCATTTGCAATGGCATAACTATATCACATCTGCAGTTGACTTGTAAATCTTAATTATTAAAAAAAAAAGTTACGAATAATGCTTGTAAGTAACTTTGCATAAAAAGGATTTCCAACAATAAGATAATCTAAATTTTGAATAGACTTTGTGCAATCAATTACGTTACTTAAGTAGATTGGCGTTACAATACTTTTCTTCTACGTCGATTGAGTGAGACCTCCATGATTATATAATTTTTATTGAACGATTTATTAAAATGTTTTAGGGAGAATTTCAAAAAAGACTCATTGACCAAAGATATTAAAAAACAGAACCCCTGTCAAGGGGAATTTTTTTTGTAAATATTCGCCCGATGTTTTATCTGGATATACACTATAAATATAAATTTCCAATATGCGTGTCGGACTCTGGGTTGTTTTACTATTTAATTATTTATTGTCCACGCAGACGGTCCCCACGTGGGAGGATTTAAAAAAAAACAAGCAAAAAAGAAAAAAGAACGTAAAAAATCTACGTTTTGATTTACGGCAAGGGAACATCAACCACCAATGAACAGTTACATACTTGCGTTCATTAATCAGTCTACATGTTCTGCGACCACACGTACTATTACACAGCAAGTAATAAAAAAAATGTGTGAACTAGTATTTCATTATCGCCCGCAAATATTTTGAACATAAAATAATTAAAATAGTGGGAAAGTTGTTGGAGTGTCGAAATGAAAATGGAAAAATAATAGTGTGGTGATTAAGGAGTTTTGCATGGGAGCCACAAGGCTAATGAAAGAATGAAAGTGATGAAGAGACAGCTCAACGTGGTTCTGAGTCAGCTTGGTTACATGTCAACCTTACATTCGTTGTTCATGGCCGTGCATGGCACGTGTTACAGCACGAATAGCCCATCCACTAGATATGGATAAGGAAGACCAGCTTAGCTGATTAGATCAAGGATTAATAAAGTGAACTCCGAAGCTATAAATTATTATTTTATGGCGTCTTCGATGAAGAGTGATTAGTATTTAAAAATGAAAAGCGGCAATATTTTTGTTTTTATATATTATTGGTGGTTGATAGAACCGGAAATATATATACATATATATAGGTTAGATCCTGCGCCAAAAAAAAAAAAAGGAGTTACTGGTTAACTTTTTGTTTTTCCCCAAGTATAGTACCTATCATTATCTGCCTGCTCCAAGTAAAGCTAAAGTAATTTTAATGAGGTCTAGACTAATCTAAATAAAGTGGAACTGTAATTCTCTTGAGTGAAAACTTTTTTGTCATGACTTTTGTATTTTTGGAACCCGAACTTGACACATTTAATTAAATTAGTACAGTTTTTTTGTTGGTTAAATTGAGCTTTTGGTTATGAGTTAAAAATTTTAAACAAGAATAACAATAAGATTCAACAAAATTTTATATCAAATGTTGAGTGTTTAACACAATTTTCTTCATTTATTTAATTTTGAGACTGGCTATAAAAATAGATAAAGTTGAATTAAACAATTTTAACCCATTAAAATTTGACTGACATGGCTCTCCCAGCCTGGCCTGCCCAAAATGGGCTCCCACACCTACCCAGCCAAATTTTATTTGCCTTTAATTTATATTTATCCTTTTGGTGGTTACCGTCATTGATTTACTGGAACAATGTGATTTGGAAATATCACTAAATATTTAGTTCTATGTCTGATTATGTACTGATTTATCATTTTTTATTTAACTACAATAATTATGTAAAATGTTTAAGTCTTGTATTTAAAGTTTAGGAATATATGTATACTTTCATTGCATGTCTCATAAAATTATTTCGGAAATATAATGTTTTTACCGGAACAATCATACTTCCCCATGGTCCTGTGTGCTTATTACAACAATGTTACCTATATCAATAAGAAATACTTAAATTATTGTTATTGATATTGTTTAGAAAATAAAGACATTTTTCAGTTTATCGTTGTTAGATGTATTATTTTTAAAAATAATTTATCTCGCATGTAACATTTTATTCAATGCAAGATCGAAAATAGTGCTATATTATCTGGTTCAAAATTTGATTTGTTAGCCCAAACCAGTGTTAAAAAGGAAGTTAGTCCAACAACTGGACGTATATATTAATAAAAGAAAAAAATAAAATTTCTAATCTTTATAGTTTTATTAATTTTTTTAGTCTTTATAATTTTTTTTAGTATTTTCAGTCTTTGTAATTTTTTAAATATTTTAAATCTCTATAAAAACTGAAATCACTGTAAAACAAAGAATACCCAGTTTTTTTAAAATTATAGGAATTGAAGATTAAAAAAATCTAAAGGATTAAAAATAAAATTCAATAAAATTTATAAGAATTAAATATTGTGTCTTCTCTTAAAAAAAACAGTGCTATTGCCTATTGAACGAGTCTTTGTCTTCTTCTTAATTATTAATCAAAGACAACAAACAAATAATCCAGTCATATTCTTTCACCTGTTCTCGAGGGAATGGGCTGCGCTGATTAGCAAAATATGATGATATTTGAATGATATTTTTTAAAATTAAGTTTGATAATTAAAGATATTTGGATAACTCTTCAAAATCAATTATAAGGATAGAGAAAATGGGAAATATTCAAATGTTAATAATTGGATCGCAAATGGAGAAAAACTAACCTACTCAAAATAGATTTTCACAAGCCAAATGAAATTTTATAAAATTGAGGATGTTTGTATAATTTTTTTTCAAAATTATAATTTTAGTGCTAGAATTGATTTCAAGTGAAAATTCAAACACGCCCTACTCGTTTGCATTTTTAATACCAGTATTGAGTATCAAAGAACCTTTAAAAATGAAAAAAATGATAATAAAATTTCTTCAAATTATGTAAATGATATTTTGATCCCTCAAAATGTTGTAATTTTCGTGAAGTCCCTAAAAATTTTTTTGTCATCATGAAATTAATATAAATGATTAAATTGTCTTTAGTTCAGGATTTCAAATGTGAACTTGCTATTGTATTCTTGTAATTTTAAGAAAAAAATTGTAAATTTTAAAACAAAACTTGTAAATAACAATTAATATTTGCAAAATTTGAGAAATATCATGATTTTAAATGCGAACTTATGAATTGATATTAAATTTTTGCAATTAAAAAAAGAAGTTATGAATGTTAGAACAAAACTTGTGAATAAACAATTGATATTTAAATTAAAGATAATTTAATTATTTATATTAATTTTTTAATGATAGAAAAGTTTTTAAAGACTTTAAAAAAATTATGATATTTTAAGAAATCAAAATATCATTTACATAATTCAAAAAGATTTTATTATTATTTTTCCTTAAAAGCATTGTTGTCTTTAAATATTTTTAAATTTTATCTTCATTGTTTAATTTATTGTGATTTGAATTCCTATATTTTAATTTATTATGATTATTAACTACAAATAAAAGTAAAATGAAAAGTTACACCTTCTAAGATAATATATAAAAGGTATTAGTAACTACTTCAAGGTTATTAAAAAAAGTTAGTTGAAATTTTAATTCTTTTAAATTTTTTACACCTTTTCAATTATACTTTTATTAAATACTTTATATAAATGTTTTGACTATGACAATTAAAATTTTAATATATCCATATCATTTAAAAAATAATAATAAATAAAATAAGTAATAGTTGAAAAATAAAAATAAAATTACTCAATGTATATATTTTGGACCAACCAAGTTTCTAGGACATGTACTTTATCGTGATTGGAGGGAATGCATATTTTTTATTTTTATTTTAACAGTTTTAAGAATATAACTACTACTAATTCTCATATTTTAATAAATGTAAGGTTGGTTAGTTTGCTTTGTGTCGAAGAGGAGGAAGCAGTTCTCTTTCATTACATTGAATGAATATTACTGACAAGAAAAGCATATGGCTCATGAAAAAAAAAAAATTATAATATACAATTTGGTTGCTTCAAAAACTATTTATACAACATTTCTGAATTAAATATTATTTTGAGCTAACTCCAATGTCCAATCCAAGTGGCGGTTCAATCAATTAACATAGTTAATTTCAAGTTGAGCGCTCCAAACCACATCATCATGTCGTGTTAAAGGATAAGTGGATAACACTAATTAAACAAACTAAAGACTTTACACATCAATTACAAAAAATCGTTAAATACTTTGATATAAGATTTCTTTTATATATTATATCAATTTTTAAATCATAATTATATTCTAGTAAATTATTTTCTTCTGTTATGTGTGTTTATTTTCCCCGACATGTCATGTATGTGTTTTAAATGTAGTATAACTTCCACTGTCTTGAAAACCCATATTCTTGTGACGAAATTAAAAGATACATTTTGAAAAATAGTCATAATATCACTTCTAAGTTGACTAAGATATTCTCATACTATCGCCTCTGCTGTAAAAAAATATATTTAAATGCGCATTTGATTAATATAACAAAGGAAAAATTTGTTTTTAGGACCAGATGGAAGACATTTTGCATTAATGACCTCAAAATTTTACAAAAGGTGTTACTTATTTCGCAAACCCTTTATTTCCCCCTAATTTTGCAATATTTCTTGCATAGTTTTTAAAGATCTTTCAAGTTTTGCCATGTATTGCTCAAATTTACAGCCCTTTTTGCTTCTTTTTCTGACTCAATTTTCATGAAACTTCCATTTGGTCCTCAACACAAACCGTGTCTCTCATCTGGTCTTGAAAAGATATTTTCGTAGAATAAATTCTTTCAAATTAAAATTTATTAAAGTTATTACTCAAACACAAAATAAATAACAATGAAATAAATTTTGCAAAAAGAATTTTTCAACAAAAATATTATTTTTAAAAATGTTATATACCTGTATGACAATGTATAATTGAAAAAAAAATTGGAATTTATCCAGTAGTCCTTGATCGTTTCAAATGTTTAGAATTTAGATCATAGACGCAGCCTTCAAATTTCGTTATCTCAGAGCGATGGGCTAGCAAATCAACAAGCTTGTGCTGAGGATCATTTTATTTTACATCACAAATCACAAATCCAGAAAGGAGAAACCAAGGCGTATTGTGAAAGTCAGAAAATATGTTGTTGATAAAGGAAACAAATCCATCCTTTTGCACTTTCTAAGTTCAAATTAAAGAACAACAGATCAGAAATCTAGCTAGAGCTTCTGAGTAGACTCAGTCCCAACTTTTTGGATTCTTTTAATTTGTTGATGTAAGCAATAGCCAGTAAGTGGAGACGAGAATAGAAGGGAATATACGACACGCATAAACACAAACGTTAGTTGCATTTCCATCTTGATGATGCATCCTCCCCATATTAAAGATATAGACATTAGCAGAGCATGGAGGCATAATAGTTGCTCTCCGCCGTTGGTGGGCGCCGTCAAGCATGGCGCTATGGCCAATAGCTATATTTTTTATTAAATTAAATTATTTTTCAGGCAATGCATAAGAAAACAATTCATAATATAAATACTACGACCGGATATTTTTTTTGAGAGCAAAAGAGAGGCGACCGGACAAATTATTATCTTATAGGAATGGTTTGATTTCTTACAATATAATTAATTATAATAAAATTTACAACCATAATCTTTGAAATGAAATATTTTTAACTTAATCCCTGTTGTTAAAACCCTGTAAGTATTTGTTAAAACTTCTTGGTCTGATAACTGAAATTGACACATACATAGGACAAAATATTGACAAAAATACAATAACTTATTAAATACATTACAGACTATTTCAAGTTTTCAACTATAAAGACTTGCTTAAAATTTCGAAAATTATAAAAATCAAATTGAAAATTGAGTGAAATTATGAAAGAAAATAATTTTACTAATTATAATTTTGTTTTCGTTAACAATTCAAAATAAAATGTTCATATGGCACCCATTTGACTAGATTAAAGAGAAAGTATAGTGAACTAAAATCAAGAAGTCGTGCAGTATTTAACCTGATCCCTTGCCTGAGAGTCAAGGAAATCATTTTACAGTTTGCTTTTATGGGGTCGATTTAATTTACACCAGTGTCCATGGAAGCAGCAGCACCGTTGATCTCAATGTTTGAAAGGACAACGACTTTACATCTAGTGCTATATCGCCTCTCTGGTGATTGTGCAGCTTTGCAATGTTGACTATTCCAGATAAATAATAGGGTATGATACGACACTAGCCTATGCTATTAAAAGTACGAGGTTAGAACGACATTCATCGGCTTCAATTGAATCGATTGGGCTACAGATTTTTTTTACCCTAACAACACAGATGTTATTGTTATCTATCTCGACCTTAATTTCTCTCATCATTCCTCTTAATGATTTGATCTCGGAATAGAAACCTCAGTATTAAAATACAAGATTTTATTATCTTCCCTCGGGAGGGCCTGCGAGAGATATAGAGCACGGAAAAGGTAGACACGTAGAAGAGAAAAGATTTTGCAATTTCCTGAACTATAACAATGATGACTTGTATCTCAATCCCATGCCACTGTATTCGTATACCATACAAAGCATCCCCCACGAAGAATTAGCCATTTTCTGTAAGAACCGCGTTGGTTTTGTACTTGGAGGTTGATTTTGAATAGCTGAAGATATACAGGTAATTTCATCCAAATAGTACAAACCCAAATCAAATTGGTGTGGGTTTTAATTTGTATTTTAACAAACTTCATTGCATTGCTTTCTAGAAATCTGGAGTCTGGTCATTAGATTAACTCCAGAAACAAGGCTTCTTGCTTGCTTGTTAGACCAAGTTCACTCAGTGTCAACGCACTTTCTCCATCAGTAAATGCATGTCGAGGATATGGTTTCACCTGTTCAAAGAATAAGATTAGAGTCCCAATCACCGGGAGAGTTTTTTATTATACAATTAATCATACTCAATAATTCAAAACGATTCAGAGTTGGACTGATAAAACTGTAAAGCTCTGGAGTTTACTCACCAATCTGTAAGTTCCAGGTTTCACCACCCTACCAATATCTATGAAGTCAAAAAGAGACTGAAAAAAAAAAAAAAATCCATGAGCAGGTTTAATGTAAATGCACCAAGAGGAAGGACAAACAGAGCATAATTTCAAGCAGGCCTTTTTACCTGCAGGTTGTCAGATCTAAGAAATTGACGTCCACGACGGCTTCCATCTGGCATTCTCACTAGCAAGGTCACAGCACCCTCATCGTCTGAGGATGGTTCTGGTGGCAGAGCAGCTTCTTTTGCAGCTAACTGTCTTTCCAATTCCTGACGCAGAAGAAAATGCAAGTTTTAAACAACTTGAAAGTAGGAGTTTTCCTTCTCTCCAGATGACAGCAGGATGAACTAACATTTATTTAGGTTTTGTATAATCTAGTCAGGGGTACAACTAATGAAAAGACAATTGTTGCAAATTTTCTTGGATAGAGAAATAAGCAACAACATCTCAGTAAACAGTATTTATTCAGAGTTACAAGAACGAACAACTCAATATACAACTGCATCTTTAATAGAGAGTTGACGCCAACTTATTATGCTAGAAGACGAGTGAACAACTATGACAAAATCATTATGTTAATGTCAATATTCGATAATGTCATGCCATTCAATAAAACATTGTTAACTAATATAGTTTTATCATTAGCTCATCTGAACACTTCTTTCAGTATTTATAATTGCTGCATATCACGATATCACTATATTTTCCATAAATTTAAACATTTGTTAACTTTTGTATCGTTTCCCGGCAGAAAATACAATCATTCAAACATGATATTTAGTTTACTGAGTTGTAATAGAGACAGTTGACACGCCATTCCTTGCTTTAGTATTATGTCCATGGCAAGGAAGTTTTCTTCTAGGAAACATGGTAAGTTAGTGCCACTCAATGTGTAGCCCACCTCACAAAATCTCCGCCAGGCCACAACTCTTGTTTAGCACCCCTAGCTTTAAACTGAGCATGACAGTAATTAGATAGGCACTTCTAGCAGGATTTTTTAATGTCAACATGAACAAAATGCATAAGAATTGTTTTTTGTAACTAGATCAATTGTAAGACTAAATAAACTTGGAAGATGTGTGGGTGCAAGGAGTAGTAGCAAGTAGTGAGTTAAAAAAGACATTACCTTTTCCTCTTGTAATTTCTTGTGTGATTCTTCCTCTTTCCTCCTTTCCTCTTCACAGGCAGCCTCAGCTTCCTCAGCAGCCCTTAATTCTTTTTCTTTGTCAGCTTGTAATGATGCGAGATATTCATCATCCTTCATCAAATAAATATCAACCAGAATCAATGTTTCTGCAACAACCTACCATTCTGGCAATCAAGAAGAAATAAATTATACCTGCTGTTCCCTTATCAAGCGCTGAGCTGTGAGTGATGGTGAAGGTAGGCGAGGTGCAGGAAATGGATTGGAAACCCTATTCTGCACGAATTCATTTGGAAAGCCATAACTACTCCCTTCAGGGATTCCACCAAACATTGCAGCCTCGAGCATTACTGCTTCATCATGCTCCTCGGAAGACATGCCACCCCACTTCAATTTCAAAGAGTTCACACATTAGGAATTAGGAGGCATGGACTACTTGAAATGAATCGATGATATGACCAATGAACATGAATGTTAATCCTTGAGGAAAATTCACAAATAGAAGGACTATACCACCTCCTCGTGGATGGCATTTCTGTTATGCTGAGGATTTTTACTGTTATCATGATTTCCTAAGCTTGACAGTGTGCTGGTCTCAATGACATCGGTGTTTTTAGCAAAATCTGTGGAGCCCAAACATACAGGTCTAGACCTGTTCCGAATTAGAGGCTGCTCCTCTACATCTTCAGCTTCATCTTGGAAGAATGAACTCCCTGCCTGCAACCTGAAACGATCATGAACACCCTTGTTAGATTTTAAAATCTTAAAATATATCCTATCCTTTAGGAAAATACTGAATCTGAGGCTGCCAACATGGCAGAGCACTTCCAACTGCAGTATCATAGCAAGATGCATTTGTGAAATGGCCAAAATAAAATGTGAAGAAAAAGACTAAACCTTCCATTTGATGCTGCTATTTTCACAAGTTCCACCTCAGATGACTTAGGTGGCCCCACTATTGGTTCTCCAACATCTCCTTGCAAGCGCTGTGCTTTTTCTTGTTCAGCTGACTGGATTTATTCCATGTTTAGAAGCAATCAAGGTTCCAGTATTGATGAATGATAAAGTAAAAGAAGTCTTTAAATCTTTGAGGTCATTGGGCCAACTTAGTCCAGATAAAATGTTCAAGGAATTATGACATGGGAGAGAGAGAGAGAGATTTAAGATGCATGCTGTACCTTAAGGGATAATGAAATTGCATGGGCAAGTTCAAGATCCTCCAAGTGAGAGTGCCTTTGCTGAAGTCCAGATTCACTTAAATCCTGCACAAGTGGAAGCTGAATCCTAAGGTTAACATTTCAATAGAATAGTGCACAAAAAAATCCATCCAAGAAAGAGATGTACAATTTGTCCGCCAATTTTGTAATCTGAGTACTTTTCCGCAACCTCCTGTTTAGAAGCCTCAATGGCAGCACGAATCATTTGTTCTTCTGTGTCATCACTATAATCTGGCAGATTTTCATCTGAAGGAGCACAAGGTCGAGCACTTCCACCTAGAGAAGTATCAGCACTGAATCATTTCAGTAGACAAGATTGCATTTGTCTGTTCATCCTGATGTGAATAATGGGCAGGGGGAACATTACCAGCATCAGTGATCACAGTCCCATGAGTATCTGGGCCATGAGCATTAACAGTTCCAGTGACATCTTCAGTGATTGGAGCAAGGCCAGCTTGAGGAGAAACAAATTGTGACTGGTTTGATGGATCGGAAAGGGCATCAAATTCACTTTGACCAACAGTTGGACCAAGAAGAGAAGAGGGATTGTGATTTCCTGCTGAAGATAAGTGTGATAGAGAACTTTCATGTTGACGATAAAGGTGTTCATCTGTATCCATGAAATCATCTTGGGGAACAGCAACAGACGTGCCATGAGAGCTGGTCATGGAGCAACAAATTGAAACATCAATATCATATGAAAACATCAATATGCAGAATGCGACAGGTTATACTGGAAGGAAAAGATTTTCTAGAAGATAAAGGATTCATTAATGAAAAGGAAAGGAGTTTACCTAGTTGCCAAATTTCTGTCTCCTTCATTAAAATGTGCATTGATAGCTTCACTAAGATCACCATCGTGCTCCTGAAGACATTAACAAAAAATGAAGAGGAGAGCCATTATCAAAGTACTTAACAATAACAAATGCCTAGAAATTTTATTCACAAAAACTGCACACAGCCGGTCCTAGTCTAACTGACTAACATCAGATGCCACAGTTTGACGAGATAATTAGTAAAAGACAAGTTTACATGTACAACTCTCGTCACAGGCAGGATTTTTTTGGAGGGGGATTCTTGAAGCGATGTCGTAGAAATCACAAAAACAGAGACCTGCCTACACGCTGTCAAATTACATACCAAATCTTTGAGGCTTAGTGGTCCTCGCAACATTGCTAGTCTTTATCAATTAACATTCATTCCAAAATGCCAACCAAAATATTGCAATTAAAGATGAGAAACTGAAAGCCGTTACCGACCGCCTGATAGTAAGATACAGCCAACACGATTTCCCAGTATTTCCCAGCAGACAGAAAATCACAATGGCATGATCAAATTCTATGTTTCCTATAATACTAGAAACTAACGATCACTCGATCAGTAATTACAAAAGAATAGCTAATGCACCGATTTTTTCATTCCTTTCCGCAAAATAAGAATATCGTTTTGAATGAAAATGCGGAATTATCATTAATCAGAATGAAAATAAGAACATTCTGGTTAGTTAGATGAATTATTTCAACACCTACAGCCTCCAAAAGAAAAAGGTCTAAATCAGCAAAAGAACCGAAGGAGGCAACTAAGCGAGAAAACATTATGAGTTTGAACTCGACTCTAGAACTGAAAAAATCATTCAGAAAGAGTAAAGAAATGTTGGCTGTGGCACATAGATGAAAGAAATGAACTCTGCACAATGCACGACAACTCTAACAATGACCAATCAGCACCCAGCAGAAAAATCATAAATAAAAATAATCTTAATTTATCATTGCTTCTTTCTTTAAAGATTCAATTAAAACCAGACTCGAAGACAATTATCGTAAAGAGAAGAAAGGAAGGATAATTAACCTCGAGCTTCTGCACTGCGATTGCTTCAGATAAGCCCGTGATGTTCATGAACGTCTCAATTGCTTCCTGATTAGGCCTTGCCATTGGAATCTGATTGGTTTGGAAGTTGAAACAGAATTTGAGCTGCAAGGTTAACTGTTGCTTCTTTGAATTCTCTTTAATATAGAATTTCCTAGTCGCGCTTCAGAAAAAGTGAGAGATAACTGGGTGAAATATATTTGAAATGGGCATTTTGGGGGTTAAATACTTGCGATGGAAATAGCTGAACTTCTCCAATCTCATACGCCATGGATTCCCTCAGAGACTTGCCGGACAAGTTGCTTCAATATGCTTGGAAAGCCCAACAAGTAAATTGATGAATATTTTATGTAAACGAAAAAGATTTATGTAGCTTTTTTTTTTTTTTTGGTAAAAATTGTTTAGGGGATGTGAAACATGTAACCCTTTAATCTTTAAAACCATAATACAAAAAAGATATAACAAGATCTGAGTAAAAAAGTAAAAACAATTAGTCACCATGAATTTTTAAAAAAGATTTTATAGGATTTTTTATTGACATGTTTCATGTACTATTTACTACTGCCATGAAGATTTTTTAATAACTTCAGTGTATTTATTTTATTTAATTTTTAAACTGATTTTTCAGCTTTATATTATGTAAAAATAGTGTTGTTTTTTTTTTGGCTGAAAAAAAATGCATAGTTGATGATGAGTACTCATAATTTTGAAGGTTAGTTTTGATTTCATTATTATTTTTCCAGAGGAATCTTTTAATTTTATTTGCACTTTATCTTCATTTGTTAATAAATGGAATTAACTTTTATTTTCCTTTTTTGGAGCCAAACCTGTCTCATGAACGTCTATGGCTGCTTTTATTTTATTTTATTTTTCCCTTGTGTTGTTGTTTGTTCAGTTGTTTTTGGGTTCCACCCTAGTTGGCAATGGGAATCCCGATTGAGAATACAGATCTCATCAGGCCCAACTCATCCTGTGTTATAGGTGAATGGGAATCCTTTGTGAGCCTTTGACCCAAACTATATGGGCTCAACAAACAAGCTTCTTTGTTTTTTTTGGGGGGGGGGGGGGAGGAGATTTCTGGGTAGGTAATCCCTTGAGGCCAGTTAGGCCCCAAAAAAAAAAAAATGAAAGAAAATGGTTCCTGGAGGCCCGGAGCAGATTTCTATCTGCCTGCAGAAGAAGTTCCCAGCTTCCGAGTTGCGATCTACCAGTCTCTTCTCCGGCGATGCTCTAGTGATATTGCCACTGTCACATACACTAACGACGAAGACGAGATGAGAGAGTCTAATGGCAACAGCAAGATTCGATGGTTTTGGATTTGGGTGATTGCTTCCATCATTTTCAGGCTCATCCTCATTTACTTTCCCAAAAGCCTCAACCTCTCTTCTCGCCCAGAAGTTTCCACTCCTCTAACCAGCATCCGTCGTCGTATGATCTTTTCTCCTCTGCACTTAAGTATTACCGTTCTTACTTGTTTACATCTCCGTGAAACTCCACAATTTATGCTTACGTTCTATCCATTTCGCAGTGGCCGAGGGATACTGGTTGAAGCAGTCTTCATTGTCACCATATGCAGGTTCATCAGTAACTATTTTTCTTGAATTGAATTCCTCCGTTTTACCATTATGTGTAACCTAAAGATTTCTTCCCCGCTATTTCTTGATCAGGATCAATGTACCACGGGTCTCCTCTGTTATTGACGCTCCTCGGTCCGCTAACGGTTAGAAGGTATCATCTTAAGTTAGTTTGTGCTCCAAAACAACTTCTATTACTGTAGGACATTTTTTCTATTTAATTTTTTCTCTTTTGCAATATGAAGGGTGCTTTGTTTCAATTTCTAGCTCTAGGATTTTTTTTCATTTAACTGGAACCAAATTTGAAATCAACAGTCCAACCCCAAATTCATAGGATCCTGAGGATATGAACAAAGCTAGGTCCTTATTTGCTAAAGTTTGGCGTCAGTTCTATTTATAATATGCGATGCCCTTGCACACACCGTTTGAGATATTTAAGATGTACTGCTTGAGATCATCGTGGCATAATGACATTGAAAAACTTGGTGGTGATACAGAATTGAAGGACAACCGGATCATCTCTTATGCAGGTAACATTCTTTGACTTTAAATTGTAATGACATTCATTTGGTTGTTTATATCCTATTCCATTAATCGTGATTGCTTGGTTTTCATTGGTCACTGATTATAATTATCGGGGGAACAAGAAGGCTTCTCCCTCCCTCCCTCTCAATTTATTTTTGTCGCTAGTACCTGAGAAGATGGGAAAATAATAGTTTCACTAGTAATGCTTCGCTCCGTTTCATCTTGTAACTGTACTAGGAAAAAAAGCATCATGTCAAGCAATCCACGTTACGCATCCATGTTCTTCTCCTGATGCATTTTGTTTATTCAGTTTAATATCATCTTATTTCTTGGTACAGTTTGGTTCTTGTGATTGCAGATGCAGTTAGTGCAATGCTCATTCGTGCTGCTGGTCAAAGCCTTAAGATGTCATCCAGCTCAAGTTTAAAATCCATAGGCCTTCCTCACTTACTAGAATACTCAGGTTATTAGCATTCATTATAAGCGTGATCCTTTCTTTAAATATTAGATGCCACAGTCAAGTCTGTTTTTGCTACTTTCAATTATTTATGCAATATAACAAATAGAATGAACATATGAGTATGAAAGCCTTTCACAGATAAAAATATGCGCTACTGTCAATGGTAGGTTTTCTATATAGTTCTGAACTTTATCAAGCAATAAGTATAACACGTCACTTGCCTGACAATTGATCATGTAATATTAATAATATGCTGCTAAAAATATTCATAATATCCAGTATTTGTCTAGTTGGGGAAGAATCAAGGTGTTTTGAGCACTTGTTCCATTATAGCACTCTGTTGAATTGCACAGAATGTAACATTATTTTCTTTGAAAATCTTAGTCCTATAGGTTAATGTATAGACAATCTATTTGATGTAAAGAACTTTAGTTCCATTTTTTCTCTGTGGAGAATTGTAAACTTCAATGCAAATTCTGCTTCCCTGTTGATAGTCTCTGTGTTGCTTGCAGAGGTTCTTCCTTCTGGTGATATTGCTGCTCTTGTATACCTATGGAATCCTTTCACAATAGTAGCTTGTGTTGGTTTGTCCACATCTGCAATTGAGAACTTGATGATTGTACTGTCAATTTATGGAGGATGTAAACGTAAGCAGCTAGCAACCCATTTATGAATGTTTAAATTACTCATTCAGTCATGACTCTGTAATGAATGTATAATCTTGTGCACAGCACAAGAATATTCTGGAGTCCTTATTTGTGACTTCTCATTTTGTTGTACTGCTCTTCATTTTGCTGATCAGCATAGAGATGACTTAAAGAACATTAGGAAGAAATGACATATGTTCTTCTGGTTATTTTTGATTTGGTGTTTAACTTTATACATATGATATGCTGTAGGACAAGCTCCACTGGCAGCTTTTGGGTGGGTCATGGCTACACATTTGTCTCTGTACCCTGCAATCTTGATTATCCCAGTATGCTCTTGCCTGAATTCATTACGTGAATTTTGCAGCATTTTCTGCAAGTCTTCTGTATTTTATTTACACTTCAGATGCATGCCTCTTCCCCCTTTTCAGGTGGTGTTGTTATTTGGCTATGGTCCAGATGCTCCTCCTAGGAAACTGTTACAGCAAAGGACAAAAATGGACAGTTCGTCTTCAATTGATAACAGTTTTGTAGAAAAGGATGTGAAGGATCAGCTAAGGGGGCTGAATTTCTTTTCATGGAAGCCAGTCTTGCATTTTTTGTTCTGGATTTTGCTGTGGTCATCCTATGTTTTAGTTTTATGTGGCATTTTTGCCAGACAGCATGGTGGTCTCAAAGAGTTGTTTAAAAGGTTTTGCTCAAGTTCTTTATCAGTACTTGTGCTCTACTGTAATTTTCCAGGTGCCAAAAGATAGCTGCATGTTGTCTTCTGTGTATTGAGTTTGTTGCATTGCTAAGTAAGATCAAATGCTTTTTGAACCATACACTTCTTATTTGCTAGGTTTCAAAGTTGAACATAATGTTGCCGTCTGGTAATTAGTGAAGACCACTGCTGGTGAAGTCTTTTCAGCAACTAAAGAAGAGCATGAATGAGTTATTGTTAAAAGTACAGTTTTACACCATTAATATCGGTATCTTGGGGGAAAAGGATAAGTAGTTGGCTGTTTTCGCTCCTCTGTATGAATGGGGTGAAATAAGAGTTTTTACAGGAACACCTGCTGCTATGTAGATTTTTAAGTTGAGAAAAGTTATGGACCACAACTCAGTCTGTCAGTCGTACAAGTAATGTTAGAACACTGCTACTAGGATGAAATAAATGAAAAATATGGTTTGGGAGGTGATAGTAGTCATCACTTTGAGTAGTCACTTTTATAGCCTTTACTGCATATATCATGAATGTTATGCATGGTTTACAACATCAGGGGGTAAAATCTAGTAAATGATTCTGAATAAATTGAGTGCAAAGATGGTCATTGTTCTTGCTATATTTTCTTGTGGATTTACTATTATTCTTCTTAATTGAAAGCATCTGTTGTAATCATGTTACTTTATGTTTAATTTTCTGCCATAGTGATTGGTTCTGGCTTGTTTATGCAGAACTTATGGCTTCATTCTTACTATACCTGATCTGTCTCCAAACATAGGTGTTCTGTGGTATCTACTCCTCCTCTCTTGTTTGATCTTGAATGTTATTCCTCCCATAAACACTTGCACTTATACGGTCTTCTCATATTTGAATGCAGGTACTTCTTTGCAGAAGTTTTTGACTTCTTCAGAAATTTTTTTCTAATAGTATTCCATGGGAATGTTTTGTTGATGATTGTACCATTAGCCCTACGGCTTAATCACCGCCCATGCTTTCTAGCTTTTGTATATACTGTGATTGCTTGTATGCTGAAGTCATATCCATCAGTAAGTTGTCCCTTTTTGCCATTACCCTCTATCTAAAACTAGGTTGAAGTTTTCCATTAGACTCTAGCTATTTAAGCGTGTCCCAATCCCATTATCAATATGAGAATCTTGTTAGTAGGCAATATGTGAGCATCCTTGTAAGCATTTTGTGAGCCATGAGACTTACCCTAACTCTCGTGAATCTAACTCACCTAAATTCTTGTTTACCAAAGGAGAAAAAGGTAAAAAAATTGTTTTATGGACTTTTGCTATCAATAAAGCATCTTGTTCAAATAAAATTTTTCCACATGCACACATTATTTTTCATAATTTATAGCAAGGAGTATGTTGAATGATGCCGGCATTCCTTAGATCATATACTCTTGGGTTCAAACCAATTTACAAGCGGGAATTGCTCAGGTGAGACCATCCGTGCACTATTACTTGCACTTGCGTTCCCATGAACACCAGCATAAACGAGAGAGAACAAGCACCTTAGTCGGAAAATATTTCCAAATTTGAATTGGTTTGACAGTTGCTCAAATGCATCAATCACAAACGTCTTGTTATTTCAATTTTTTTATGTTCATTGCTTGATTTATTGTGGGTTTGCATTCTTTTGAAAGGTGATTAGTCCCTTCATTATTCTGTTTTCATTTTGATTAGGTTGGTGATTCAGCTCTATACTTGGGTATACTGGGGTTATTTGCTTATGAACTCTCTGGTAAATTCTATTTTTCTTCTGACCTTTTGTTGACAACAGCTATCGTTTTAAATAGTATTTCTTCCATGATTTTCAGACATGAAGTTTTCATTCTTCCTGTTTTGTGGTTATGTTGGTGTTTCACTCCTTAGCCCTGTGATGCACAATCTATGGATATGGCGGGTATGTATCCTTTTTGGCTGATCTACATTTTCAAAAAGATTTATTATCCTTTTGATCTTCACCTGTCTAATGGAATTGGCAGGGTACTGGGAATGCGAACTTCTACTTTGCAACTGCAATTACTTATGCTTGCTTGCAGGTGCGTGATCTCTACTTTGTGATATTGGTTTTTCTCCGGGGCCCCATCTCTCTGTCCTTTGTGGGAACGTAAAAGGGGAAGAGTTTCTTTCTTTCTTTGTTTTTTTTTTTTTTGAAGGGGGGTTTTTGTATGTGTTCATCAGCATGGCTGGAGTGACCTGGCGTCGTCTAACCTATTCGATAGCATGAACCTTTAAACTGCTTATTCTATTCACTTTTGAAAAATATTAAGCAAAAATGTGAATAGAAGCGGATTATCTCTTCCTTCATGGTGGAACCAGATATTTTGCTTTACTTGGGTAGAGCGGAAGCATGATAAATATATATTAGGAAAGATATAATTTCTCCAAGTTTTCCATTTCCATTGCAATGGATAGGTAGATAAAGGATTGATGCAAACAATCCTTCCATCTATAGTTGAGTGATTCTGTGGAAGGCAAATGTGCTTTTGTCTTCGCAAGCCTGGGACTTGCATTTGAAGTTGTAATAATTGATAAGAGATCCATAAGTCATAACCATCCTGTCAGCTTAATGAATATATATTTTACTACTCATTGGCAGCTTATTCTGGTGGTTGAAAGTGTTAGTGCCGTGCTCAATCACGACAGAATGCTTACAAAGTTAACCGTGGCAAAGCTTCAAGATGTCAAGCCTTGAAGAACTCATTAGAAGCATGCTTGCATATATCAACGGAGGTTCTCTGGATTCTGTGAGCTCCAGAAGAAGGATCATGACTTGGCTTCCACGATCCATGACTGTGCCATTGTAAAATCCTTGTGCCAATCCTCTGTATGTGCTTGAACAGGAATCACTGTGATCCTGGTCAGCTTTTTGATGCGATACTCTAATCATGAAGCAGATTGTCAGTATATGAATAGGATTTGTTTTAAGAATAGAGAATTACAAAAAGTCTTATCTCATTGCTCAACACTATTGGTTAATGTATAATAGTGATTTATCGTGTTTCTTCTACAAGGTACACTAATTTGGTCAACTTGTATGACTGCAATTTCCGGGTCTAATTGTTATTGGTATTTTAAAAAAACAAAAGAAAATGTGAAGCACCAGCTTCATATATTTTTTTAGTTTCTCAGCCTATGAACGAGTGGCATCTCTGACGGGTGATTAGCATTAGACCTGGGTTGACACAAATGCTTGACTGAATTGACTTTCTTGCAGATATGTAGGAAAGAAAAGAGTAAAAAGGTGGTTCAAAGTGACGTCATGGCTGACTATCTTTTAGAAACAGGGCCCCCCTAGAGCCCCGGAATGTAAGGAACAATGCACTGGTTGGTCGGATAATTTGGAACATGCCTTGTGAGGGATCAACTGCAGGTAGTAGCAGGTTGCACAATTGCGTGTGGATGGCTCCCTCCATTATTCATGTTGTTATGCTGCTGCTGTGGCTACTTTGTGTTGCGTTTCATTGACCACGTGCTTGATGATAGTAAATGCCATCTTCATCCCCCTCAGATTCCATCATTTTTATTTATTTTTTTCTCTTTGGTGGTCTGTGCAACTAGACCTTGCCAATCAATTATAGGCTTCAACCACTCAAATAAATCACATCTTCCCCCTCCAATCCATAACAATGCGGGCAAAACAGGAAACCATCAGAACTAGTATATTTGGTGATTTAAGAATTGAAGAGAGCAAGATGCGGGCTATTGAATGCTCGCCGAGGATGAAATTTACGTCTGATCTAGCACATCGTTTTTCGATTTGAACGCTTGTCATCTACATGCTTCTGTGTATAGCCCAGGACTTTATCTACTCGCAGTACAGAATACAATTAGGAGGTAGGCTATATAGCCTTGAAATCTTACAGCTTGCTTTGAGGATATTGACGCTCCCATGCAAAATGCTCCTTTCCTCTTGCCTAGCTTCGTCTCTGTCCTTTGACAGATTTGTAATTAAAATTTTCAAATGCTCTTTAAATACTCCCCACCCCCAACCAAAAAAAAAAAAAAAGCAATTATATATCCATAAATCATAAAGATATCTCCATGACATACCATGTTTATTTTTTAAATATTGTATTATATTTTGGCTGCCTTGGAGTTGGAGGGTTAACTTTTGCTTTCAGCGTCTCAAGGTAAATTATCGAGTTCGAACTTTGAAGAGAAATGGTCACGTGCAGTTTAGTGAGAAGGAAACAAGAGGAAGTTCTCTGTTTCCCGTTTCCATAATTCAAGGATGAAAGCATCGCAGCTTCGCTTTTAATTTTCTCACAATTTGTTATCATTAATTCATTATATTCTTCTTTTATTTTTAGAAAAATAAAAGGGGTAGAAAAACAAGGGGCATAAAAAATCTGTTGGCCGAAAAGAAAAGGCCCAACATATCTGTCACCGCAATCAACGTACACTATATATTCGTGGTGCAAAATCTGTTGTGTAAAGGTCAAGGAGGAATTAACGAGAATTTGATCTAGTCAAAGAGATAAGTTACTTACAATATAATAAATTAAAGTTTAAGTTTCTATTAAAAGAAATTCTCATATTTAGTATTTGATTATGTGAGGATTGTTTTTAATAAAAAGAAATCTATGAATAATCCAATAAAAAATGAAGCCAAGGACGAAGTTGAAGAAATGTGCTAGCATTTAGGAACTTTTGCTTTCACCCTTCGATGGTCAAAAGTTATAGTTTTGACTTTTGCCTTTTGAATCAACGTGAAGGGGCTATTGCTTATTCAATAATTGCGTTGGTCCGGAAAAACGTCTCAAGGGTGTGGCTTGTATTGCAAATAAAGTGTCAATTATTTGTGACTGAGGAGCCGATACTGAGCAGGTAAGGGATGAAGACAAGTTAAGCTGCATGCCTCACATAAATGGCATTAGAAAAAGCTATATAAAATGCCCTCTGAAGTCGAAGCTTGCATTTCAAGGGACTCTGAACTTCCACTTTATAGAACATAACAGCACTGTTATCGATATGGTTTATTAAGAACCACACATTTTCCTGCTCTCTTGGCTCCCGTTAATTGGGACGATTACTCTTAATTAATCACTTTGACTATACCCCATTCTTTCCTCCATCCTAACGTGACATCTCCAACGAGTCTTGGGAATATATATATATATATATATATAATCTTCTTCCTGAGTAAATGTGAGCGTGAATATATAGAATATGTAGATCTTATCTTCCCCACCACATGTGCACGTGGGGGTACTCAGCAGAAGAGAAGCTAGATTAGTAGATTGGTACGTGTTCATTGTATTCACAATGAATTTTCCACCCGGTCAATTTTACATCACAACTTAAATCAATAACTTAGTTGCAACTTGCAAGCACTCGTTTTTGATATTATGATCTGGTTCGTGTAATAAAAAAGACAGACTTGGATTGTTGGTGGTTAAAGTCAGGCGTAAACTATATCTTAGCGTGTCAAGGTCTACTTTGAATTCTTAAGAAGCAAAAAGTGAATATATAACCCAACAATCAAGTTTCTTTTTGTTTTCTTTAATTATATGAGCAGTCATATAATTGGGAATGTTTTGTACATACACTTACACACATATTTATAGTTTCTTAGTGCACTAACAAGTATGCTTTTGATCTGTATGTACCTCGTGGGTGGGCTGTAAAATGTTACTATTTCTGCTTACATATGTCGAAAAGGGGAACATCGTAGAGTGTTAGAGACTTATACAATGTTTAGTAAATAAAAAATTGTTTTTCAAAAAAGTAAATGAACATGTCTCATTTTCTTTTAACGTACATTCTTTATTTCTTTTCTAAAAAAATACTTTTTAGTATGCCAAATATGTAATTGGATTTTGACTGTTCTGCTATTGCATGTTTCAAGGGTTTTTTTAATATGTATATTTCAAAAAATAATAATAATAATAATAATAATAATAATTTTGAGTTAAGCACTAATATTAAGGATTTGAATTTTAGCCAAAAATGTGTACTAACAATGGTGAGTACAAAAAAAATGAAGTGATACCAATGAGAATTGGGATTCAATAGAAAGAATTAGTCCTTATAACATAGTGAATCAATACTCAAATCTTTATTATAAAATACGTTTATATTTAATGCCTAATTATGTTTTAAACATGATTGTTTGCAACAAGAGAGCACTTGTGTATGATAAAAAAAAATTGAAGTGGTGAGTATATTTGGATGTCATGGAATTTTTAATAGATAGAACATTGAATAATAATGAAACAATGAGGTTTCATCATCAAATCTTCGGAGTCAACTGTATGGATCCACAAAAAGCCGAAAAAACGAAACTCTATGGATTAACTCAACAAACGGGAGTAAAATAGCATCAAGTGGAACATGCAACAGGAGATCTGAAGTGGGCCAGCTGCATATGGGTACCCACCATAAGATTTTGTGCCAATTAACAATCAGACATGTAGGACCCCTCTTTCTCACCAATTTCCACAACAACATTTCAATTCTCTCCTCATCCATTTTTTTTTTTTTGAAATAACCATGCTTTCTCGAAAAGGGAAGAGACAAGAGAGAGAGCGCAAAAGGGAAGCCAGAAGAATAAGAGAAGCCTCTGCATGACCTCATGGCAGAAAACTTTCCACCATGACTGTTGTAAACCTGAATTAAATAAAAAGGTTAATTGATCGTGCCAAAAATTCAAGCAATATAATGGTCTAGCTCATCTTTTTGCCAGAAAACACATTCAACCATTTCACCTTGCAGGCACTGGAGAGATCAAATTCAAAGATTCATGAGATTTCTCATAATCTCATAATTAATCCATGCTTCTAACAGCTAATGAGACATCCCTAAACCAACTTTACCTGACACAGTATTAAGCCTCGAGAACCTTCTTGTTTCCCAACTCATGTAAAGGAACTGCAAGACCCGTTGCCAGATATTTGGGTACGACCAGTCCTATCTGTGCGCATTGTTCAATTAATTACTCTCCTGATTATATGTATCTAACCAATTCTGTGGTGACACCTTGTTCAAATGAAGATATTTAAATAAAAAAGCAATAATGGTGGGTCTTCGTTCACACAGTAAACCTATCTATTATCATGGTAATTGCTGCAATGTGGTCAAGTCCGTGGCTCAATGGACAGGTGGGGCGGTGCTCAATAACTAAACTTTTACCACATCAAGAAATAAAAACAAGACCATGTATAGTAGTTGGATGAACTTCCTAGAACCCTCCAGATAATCACCAATGATGTGTGTCTTGAGATTTAAGATAATGGCATTTTATTAGTTAATATGGGAATGTGTCAGCTATTTGGTTCTGGGAGGAAGATCTAGGAAAAGATTTCGCCAATTATGAGAACGAAAGGAAAAAGAGTAGGATGGTGTGCCTTCTCTTGTGGGCATCATCAACCTCTAGATTGAATAATATTTAGCATAGATATTGCAAAAGATTTCAAGTTGGTTAAAGCTTCAGGAAGTTGAAGACTTGTAAGCATTTAATGATCCGTGTGGAAGATTTACTTGAGATGCTTAGTTCCGTCATACAGATTCTTTGAATCTCAACTCCTCTATCAAATCTAGGAAATTCCCTCAAAATCTCCCAATGTCTTATTGGGACACAATAATCAGAAATATGAAAAGTAAAAGTTATCGTTTTAAGAGTGAAGACGTGGGAAAAAGGAAGCATCGGGGAAGGTTTCGTACTATGCAAGGCCTTTTAAACACATCATATATGCCGTTGACAAAGAAATTATAGTAGTACTTGTCTCCACACTGATATAACTCCAATTATTCTATTCTATCTCCAACTACTCATCATACAGCTTTTTGAGCAACCAACTGCTCGAAACGAAAGAGAAGTGCTCAAAATTAATATATTATTTTCCCAGGGCGTGGCCTGCCTATATAAGTAGATCTTCTGAGATGCATGCCAGCACTGTCTACTCCTTTCTGTCCATTCTTCCCCTTCTTCTCACCTTATGCTCTCTCCTCCTATTCATTTCTCTGAACCTGTCCCTCCCTTTTTCTGTCAATACCTTCACTTTTTCATATATTATCTTTTCTGAACAAGTGAACAGTTATTAAGAGTAGTTTAGAAAAAAATGTGGTGCCTTTGCGTCGCAGCACTGCTTATTATATGCATCACACATTGGGTTTACAGATGGAGAAATCCCAGATTCAATGGAAAACTCCCACCTGGTTCCATGGGATTGCCACTTCTGGGTGAAACCCTTCAGTTTTTCTCTTCCAACACTACTCATGATATCCCCCCCTTCATCAAACTGAGGATGGAGAAGTAAGCTACATGAACAAAGCTTTCTTTTGTTTTACAGGAAATGTACTTTTGCATGTCTCAGTTGTCTAGTTAGCTTTTTAATTTTTATGGGGAAACAAATTCCTACTTGCATATTCAGGTATGGACCAATATTCAGGACCAACTTGGTAGGACGTCCAGTTGTGGTATCAACAGACCCATCTCTCAATCACTTCATATTCCAACAAGAAGGACAGTTGTTCCAGAGCTGGTATCCAGATACATTTACAGAGATATTTGGGAGACAAAACGTTGGTTCTTTGCATGGTTTTATGTACAAATACCTCAAGAACATGGTGCTACACCTGTTTGGTCCTGAGAGCCTTAAAAAGATGCTCTCCGAAGTTGAACAAACAGTTTTTGCAACGTTGCAGCAGTGGTCCTTCCGGGAAAGTGTTGAATTGAAGGAAGCAACAGCAAAGGTAATTTTGATAATACCAAGTTGCTGCTTAGCTATTCGTTTTCTCACGGAAATTTAACTGACAAACAGTTTGATGTATTTACAGATGATATTTGATTTGACTGCTAAAAAACTCATCGGTTATGACTCGGCCAAGTCCTCAGAGAATTTAAGGGAAAACTTTGTTGCATTTATCCAAGGACTCATTTCATTCCCTCTTGACATTCCTGGAACAGCCTATCACAAATGTCTTCAGGTAAATCTGCCAAAACCAAGTCAATATTGTTAACCCTACATGTTTTTTCTTTAGCTTTTTCGAATAAGATTTCTAAAGGGAAGCTTACCCCTTTAACTCTCAATCTCAGGGTAGGAAAAAGGCAATGAAGATGCTGAAGAACAAGCTGCAAGAAAGACGAGCAAGGCCTCGGGAACAGCAGAGTGATTTTTTCGATTATGTAGTTGAAGAACTTCAGAAAGAAGGAACGATACTCACAGAAGACATAGCTCTTGATCTCATGTTCGTGCTTCTGTTTGCAAGCTTTGAAACCACCTCTCTGGCTCTTACCTGTGCCATCAAATTCCTCGTGGACAATCCCTTAGTGCTCAAGGGATTAGAAGTATGTGGAATGAATATTAAAATTTTGCATTTATTTTATAGTTTATACTTGTATAATTTCCTACATTGTGCAGTCCATCGTATTTAAAAAAACCCTGGGTATGGTACCTTGATTAGGAAGAACATGAAGCTATCATAAAACAACGTGAAGATCCTAACTCTGGAGTCACGTGGAAAGAATACAAATCAATGACATTTACATTTCAGGTGGGGCAAAATTTTTATTTTATTGAAAGACAAAGTTAAATATCCTTTATTTGTATATGGGTCACTGAGAAGGGCCTGACTGATCGCAGTTCATAAGTGAAACCGTGAGACTCGCAAATATAGTTCCAGGAATCTTCCGAAAGGCACTGAGGGAAATTAATTTCAAGGGTATGTAATGAGCATGTCACAGTTAGCCCATTATTTTATGAAATGAAAAGTACAACAAATCTCACAACGTTATGTGCCCTTCAGGATATACCATACCCGCAGGTTGGACAGTCATGGTCTGTCCCCCAGCTGTACATTTGAACCCTGCCATATACAAGGATCCTCTTTCTATCAACCCATGGAGATGGGATGTAAGTCAAATTCTATTTATCTATATATTTTATATAATATAAGAACTTTGTAAATGATATTATTTACTCTCTTCAATCCAAAATATAAGCATATTTTTTGGTCAATTTTGGTCTAAAATGTAAGCAATTTAGTATTTATAATTTTTTTTTTACTTTACCCCTTATATTTATTAACCTAAATTCTCATGACTATGAATTTAGGCTTTTTTTGTCACATATCATAAATTAGAATTAAAGGTAAAAAGGAAAGACAATACATATTTTTATGAGAATAATAATCTTATTGAGATGCGGATTATTTTATGCTTGTCCATGTAGACCATCTTATCATATATTACAAATTAGAATTAAGGGTGAAAAGGAAAAATAATATATATTTTTATGAAAATAATAATTTTATTGATATGTAGATTATTGTTAAAAACTGTTTATATTTTGGACAAAATAGATTATAATTTATAAACAGTGTTAAACCTACACTAATTTAAAACTTAATTTCTCATATGTCATAGCTTCTTCCAAGGATCCAACAATTTGTGTACATGTCTATATCACTAGCTTCTAGAATTATTGAAGTCTAATATTCAGAACTCCTCTTTCACAATTTAGTGACTCACAAAAAAATATGGTTACTGCCAGCAGGGGGTGGAAACAAACGGGGCATCAAAAAATTTCATGGCTTTTGGTGGGGGCATGAGATTTTGTGTTGGAACAGAGTTCACTAAGGTTCAAATGGCTGTCTTTCTTCATTGCCTGGTAACAAAATTCAGGTAATTAAGAATAAGATCATGCTGCGTCTTGCATGTGCAGTTCAAATGTGAAACACAGAGTAACCTCTTTTTTCAGGTGGCGACCGATCAAAGGAGGGAACATTCTTAGGACTCCTGGTTTACAATTTCCAGATGGTTTTCACGTTCAAATCATAGAGAAAGATCAAAAGATGCAGAAACCAGGAAGGTGCAAGGGCATGAATATGGTTGTGTCATGACATAGGAGATGGAGAAGGATTATACTTGACATGTTCCCAACCAATGGTATTTTCAAGCAGAGCATGACAAGACCTAGTGGAAGCTAGAGTAGTAATCGGGAAGGTCCCTCACTCAAGTTTTGTTCAGCTCACTGTAAACTTTGTGTTTCATACATGAGTTTATTCTCAATATGCTGAAGGGAAAAAGAAAAACACAAAGATTTAAAAGCATACATCAGATCCCCAAAAAGGGAGAGAGAGGAGGAGGGGAAATTTTCACTTTGTAACATGCAGCGTGTATGTATCAAACTATAAATCTTATCCTTTCTATTTGATTATCTCTCACTTCACATCATTGAATAACATTCATCTTCCAATAACATACCTTCCTGACACGAGGGAGAGGAGGGTCCAAGTAAGGAAAAGATAGGAGAATCCAAAGACTAAAAGATGGTGGTAACTATATATATGTTAGGGCCACTCTTCTCTCTGCTTAACCTCCAGCTCAATCTACAGCTTCTTTGTGTTTTTCATAGTTTTCTTGCCTCTTTGTTATGTTTCATCACTTTCTCCAGTCCCTTTGAAGCGTGTCGTTCCTTTCTGCGCTTGTGATTCCAAACTTTGTCATCAAGATGATGCATAGTATCTATATCCTTCTTGTGCCCATGCTTGTGTATATCTTTCTGGACGTTGTGCAGATAATAGTGATGATCAGATTCTCTTTGAGAATGCCTATGCTTGTGGTCATTATAGCCGCTTTTCCGCCTGTGATGGGAACTATGCCTAGGGTGCTTGAGTTCCTGCCTATGATGTGGGTGATCATGAATATGCTGGTGTCCCCTGCCAGTTTTTAACTTGTGTTTATCCAAGATCCTCCGATCACCATCACCACAGGTATCTTCCCACCATTCATAAAGAGGATCGAATAATCCTTTCTCATGCAAAAGCCACAATAACACGAGCACTGCAATTCAACTAACAGTATCTATGATCCATGCGCACAATATAATTAATTATTATTAATTACAATTAGGATACTAATATGCACTAAGTAAGCCGTACCAGCGGGAACGATTGCCAAAAGCAGACCAAACAGCACTATCCAACCCAAGCATATGTACTGGATGTGGCACCGCAGGTCAAAAAACCCTGAGCATTTTTGTCTGCTCATTTATCCCAGCAGAGAAAAAAGGGGTAGGAGACAGGAAATTTCATCAGATAATTTGTCAAGTAAAGCAAGACCAAAAAAAATCTTAGAAAGGTGTGATTAAATTTATAACACAACAGACACGGATCTTCCCAAATCCTGCTTCTGTAGATAGATGGTTCATGTAATCATGTGGAAATGAAATTCAATTCTGATTGACAAGCTATAATTCCTCCTTAATCGAAGTGAAATCAAAATTCATACCGAGTGATGGAGTTTATAAAAATTCAAGAAATACACATATTTATCGCGTAATCCAGAGTGATAAAAATGGGATATGAAATTTCTAATAGAAAATAATACCTGCAATTTTTTCCAGTGATAAAGTCTTTAATACTTGCCCATATTTTGTTCCATATGATTTCAATAGAATCAAAGAAACCATTTTTACTAGTATCTGGTGGTCGAAAAGGGGGACCCTGCGCTAAAAAAAATTTGAATGACACTCAACTTCAAATGCTCTTGTTTCCATACCATTTAGCCAGAATTTTTTTGTTCGACAATTAAAAGATTTTTTTTGGTAACTATATGTCAGAATTTCTTTGCTTAAACCTCTGGCATGCTCATTTGTCGCTAACATGAAATATGTTGCATTTTTTCTTTTTCCTTTTCCTTTTGGATAAAATAAGTGACATAGAAAATTAGATTCTTCCTAAGTCCTAACTTCAGGATCTAAGCTGAATTCCAATTTCCTTGATAGAGATAAAACTACTCATAACTCCTTAAATATTTACGTTCACTCTTTAAATCTCAAGAATGTAAAATTTTATGGAATGGGATGGGAGTAGTGGCGATGTAAAATTTCATGGAATGGAAGTGGGATAGCAGCTAAGCACTCGGAATAGCAAGGCAAGTACAATAACTGACTATGCAGAATAGGTTGGCACTTTTGATAGCTAACCAAACAGGAGCATTTTTTTTAATTACGATTTGTGGTTTTGAAGCATTTTGGTAGTTAATTACTGAAGTGTATCAGTTGGTCAAAATTATAGTATCATAGGAGAAGGCTTAGTATCGTGAATATTATTGAATCAATACAGTTGTTTTCTGCCTATTCTTTCTCATTCTCTAGTGCATATGCTGTTATGCACCGCAAGTCCAACAATGAACAAGTAATATTACACCTTAAATTCCCCTAGCCTACCAGCCCATATAAAAAGATTCTATATTTTCCCCATAATTTTATCGATTTCAGCTTTTAACTTCATTATAATTTCTTTGTCCTGGTTCGAATTATTCAAAAGCATGCTGCCGAGCTCAACAAAATTCAGATACAAGAAAAGAACAAACCTGAGATCCATTGTCGAGAACAGTTGCTGTAGTAGTAAACTGGCACTCAGCTCTATCAACTTCATTGTAATCAGAGTCCTTTAGTATAGCTTCGAAAGGAACACAAAAAGAAGACATTGAAGTAAAAAAGTTCTTCTGACTCTGTCCTCAGAGCGGATAACAACGCAATGCAATAATGAGCATCAAATTTACCTGCACAGGTGTATTTTGCAGCTTGATTTGTGGTTGGGAAGATTTTAAATGATCGGGTGGTAATCTCATTCGGCTTCATTATTAAGAATTGCTCCTGAAACCATAAGAACTTTCAAAGTATAATCTACACATAAATTACCTTTAAAACTGGATTGTTGTTTTTTGTGTTGGGGGGGGGGGTGTTCAATCTGTGGAACGTAAGTATTTCCAGGAAGTACCTCCATCAAGGTGACATCCTTTGAGCAATTAAACTGAAAGACAAGAAAATACATCAAAACCGAAGCATCTTGTCGAACCCTTTGTAGAAGTACAACAATGTAAGCCCAATTAATGTGTCCTCAATAAAACACGTATACGTAAAAAACATTGGATCTATTACTTTCCTTTGCTTCGTTCATTAAAGAAATTTGATAACCACGCTCAAATTAACAGACTAAAAGACCAAATAACCAAACTGAGATTGAACAGAACTCCACAAACACCTTTAAGAATCAAACAAAAATGCGGTGTGTGTTGAAATTAAGTTTATTCACACCAACCAGTTAATCCAGAAAGTTGGATTAACATTAATTAATTGAATGTTTAAGAAACAGAAATAGATCCCACGGAGCTTAGCAAAGGCGTTCTCTAATAGCAGAAATGTTAGGGACTATGATAGGAAAAGTTGAACAGCAAACTACCGTCAAACTATATGATGCTTCCACCTCACCGGTATTCTTAGTAGTGATGGTTGCAACTCCAGATTGAGTTAAAGCTTCAAATGTAGGGACGCTGACACTTATAATTTTTCCAGGGCTCCTAGAGAAAAGCATTTATGTTAATACAAGAAGAAGGGGGGAAAAAAAACGCTGTTGTAAATTCATGGAAAATCAAAACCATTCTCCCAAAATCATCCCAAATAAAATTAACTACATTTTTCTGCTATTTCTTTTCCAAATTGCCCTCTCCATTAAAATATATTCTTTTGAGAAATGGTAATTCCTTAAAAGACTGGGAACTTTAATGTCTACTTCATTGACCTGGACCTGATGATTGAGTTAACCCAAAAAAAATAAAAGAAAAGAAAGAAATGTCTGCAAGTGATATCACATACCTTTGGTAGACATATTCTACGTCATTGGCACTTAATTCTATCACGAGGTTTGTATTAAGAACTTCTGTGATTCCTATGGAGAAAGAATGGGTCCCTGCATTCTGCCAGCAGGTCAAGTTACATATAATTTATAATAGAAAATCCGCTACCGTAAATTTAACCTACAATTATTGCAACATACTGGATGCTGGTTTATCCTTTCAAACCTTCCTTCCACGCCATAGAGTGGAACCTGATTCCTACTGATTCTGTTTAGGTCAGCCTGTTGAGGACAAGAAAGTTTCTTTGCAAATTACGACAACAGCAAGAAAACTGTATAAAATTTACCAAAGAAAGTATATTCAATTCAGATATATACTGCCAAAAATTAATTCATACATGTGATAATTCCAAAAAGAGCACAATTACTAGGAAACTTAATTATCATATATATGCAGTTTGATTTCACCAACCTCCCGAAAGTTCCACAATTGATTGTGCAAACAACTCCAAAAAGGCGAAGAGCAAAAGTTTGGCTGTCCATTGAAAGCTTCATAGCTGACACCAATTTTATTACATTCAAGACCATCCAAGGTAAATCTCACTCTCTCCAGCAGCATCCATGCAGAAAAGTTCCTCCCCAAATCCTGTGGTTGACCAGGACCACCCTGCCATCAAAGAAATACATGCAAACATCTATTGTTTTCAATATATTTCTTATAACAGTTAAATTGATAAATGCAATTTATGGTTATATCAGTGAAACAAGCATACCTGCCTTGGAACAACAAGATAGAAATCCTCAAAAGATGGTATATTTGTATATCCAACAAAATCTCCAATAAGATTAACCCTCAAAAAGTTACCATCAGATGTCACTGTTCTATTTTCAGGACCCACAACCACTTCCTGCTGACCAAAATGTGGACAGACAAAATCTCTATTAAATACAAAGAAACCCAGAACAGAAAAGGAAGTTTAGAAAACCAAAAAAAAAAAAAAAATTGCAAAACAGTCATTTTACCTCAAGACCGAAAAGCCAATCAGAATTATACCAAATAGAAAGCAACAAGTAAAGGGATCAAATAATCAGCAACCTGTTATGTCTAACACTAACAGGCCACATAACTCCACAGTTAGTGGTGATATCATTCTATCAGTTATTCATAAGGAAAATATATTATAATTTACATTGCTCAATAAAAAGTTTCCCCTGTGGTAAATAAACCTTTCATGATGATATGGAATGCAAAATCTGTGGCACAAGGTGATTGATATCATTGAACAATATATAGCATTCAGAGAAACCAAAAACTACATACCGAAACTTCCGTTCCAGTCTTCAACTGTATCCGAACACTAAATCCTAATGTCCGTCGCCCAATACCAAAAACATGAAACCTGAATTGGCAAGCAAGAAAAAAATTTTAGAGAGAAAAATGGTGGCTGCTATTAGTTCATTAACGGTTAAAATGTTAGAGATAAAGAAGTCAAAGAAAGTCCCACATTTAGAAATTAGAGGATAGATTAAGGCTGTATAAAACTTAGGGTGTGTCTAATTAAATGGTTTAACATACAAAGAATATTTTAATTTAATTTAATATAAAGAACATAGAAGATCAACAAATCTACCAATGAAAATCACAATATAATAAAAGAGATGGGAGAAGCTTGCCATTCGCCAGGAAAACGAACACAATGTGCAGTGTTGGCCTTTCCTTTTGTCAGTTTGTCAACTAGTCAAATCAACATCACCAAGCCATGCTAGTTAATAGTTTCGTCTAGCCTCAAAATTTAAGAACGATAAAAACATTGCCACTTACAAAAGTTTCCACATGATGAGGGCATCCGACGCTGAGGTCCACAGGGGCAACAAATTGGCTAAATGAGAAAGCAGAAGGAGGAAATATGTTACTTGCGAATTGAAAAGGAAAAGGGAAAGGCGTTACCAAATGAAGAAATCTAGCACTTCGTTTCAAGTACGAAGTAGTCAAATAACTCATTATTTTATTATGCAACAACTCATACTCAGGGTACACGCCTTGTTCATAGTCTAAGAAGCAAATCCAACATGGTAGAAAAGTCACCTGGGTTTTCTCAATAACATGGCCCTCTTCATCTCGCAGCCTACAAAGCGAACACCAAAAATTAATCAGTGAAATCCATATTGCAGCCCACGTTGAGGCTAGGGTAAATCTCTGATTAATAATGCTATTCAAACGTGGCTTGCCTCGCGCATATCTTTACAACTTCTTCACCAGCATCTGGCTCACACTTCCGCGTCTTGACATAATACTCTTCAGGTTTATATGAAACATCCTGTTAAAATGCCATCTTACAAATTTAGTGCTCCTAAAATTACAGATATCAGGGGACACGATTGTTCTAGAATGACAAACTAATAAGAAAGACTTAGTCAACAGTTAGGAAAAGCGTGAAAATGAAAATTCCCATACCCTTATATAAGTTAATTCGTACAAAGCATAAGCAGCAGACTTGTTGACTGTTATGACTGGTGGTACTCGCAATGTCTGCACCTTGTTGGTTGAATTTTCCTCCACCTCCACAATTTCCGCAACAATTGAGGCTTCTCCTCCACTCTAGCATGAGAAAATAAATGCCCACTTAATAAAAATAAACAGAAATACCCAACTGAATTAGAAGAAGCAACTTCACGATTGATTGATTACGTCCAGCATCCGGAAAGTAACTCTAAGGACATTTGCTGTACTTCTTACATAGGGTGACTAGAGATGATTTGAATTCTTGGCCTTCTGTTTCGTTTAAATACATTATGCTCTTTCTGCCAAATTTGCATGCGAATCTCATATAATAGAAAAAATCCGAAGTGTGTATCCGAACAAAACTACATGCACAACTAGTAGAAACTCTCTCTTCCTGGAAACTGAAAAAATCCGAAGTGTGTATCCGAACAAAACTACATGCACAACTAGTAGAAACTCTCTCTTCCTGGAAACTCCCAGGGAGAAAGAAAGTCGAAGAAGTGAGTGAGGATTACCGAACCACTTGGAACAGCCATGTTGACAACGATTTTCATAGTGCAATTGAGATCGTTGGAGTTGGAATTTTTCTCGCACTTCTCGAGCCTTGATTTAGAAATAATTTGAACTCCAGCAACATCGAGCGGATTCAGATAACTAAGAAACCAAAGGGCTAAGAAGATGATCGTGGTCCTCTGCACTTCCATTTTCTTGCTCAGAATTGTCAATCCTTGGCGGGTTCTTCTGGAATGACCAATGAAATATTATTTTAGCGCGTGGCACGATACGGTTTTGGAGGATTGCTTAATACATGTTGAAAATGGATGGAAACATTGAGTATGCATGGATAGAAAAATCGCATTATCTTGGCCTTACCATGCATGACTATGCTGTTGTGAGCGGTTATATATGCCACGGTTGAAGAAAACGGCTTTTAATTTGGCGTGAGAACAACCGAACTGCGCCTCTCACCCGAAGTCTAAACGCGTCGTTGCACTAGTTTTTTTGTTATTATTTAAAAATAAAAATATTAAAAATGGAGGCCTTGAATAAAGAGAGAATTACATGAAAGTCTCACATAACAAAATTAATTATTATAAGGTTTATTGACAACTGAATTAAATTACATTAACAACTTCAATTATCAATGAAACTTATAATAATTAATTTTTTTATAAGACTTAGTTATAATTCTTCCTTAAATTAAACTTTATCTCTTATGTACTTTCCTCTCTCCTTGCCTTCTTCGTGATCTGCCATGGACAACACACTGTTATGGCTATTCTTCGTGGAATGGACAAATCATCATAAATTCATAATTATAAATTATTATATACCCTTCGATCTTATTTATAAATCATATTCTACAAGTTTTATTTAATTTATTTATAAGTTATAGTGTGAATTTTTAAATAATATTTAAAAAATATTTTTAAAATTAATCTTCATGAAAAAGAAAAATTAACTTGGTATTACTTTTTAAATTTATTATATAAGAACATATTTAGAATTTTACACATTTTCATTTCTTATATTTTTTTTATATTGGTATTGATAAAATTGATAAAATGATATATAAAAAGAACCAGATGAGAGGATAAGATATGATAATTTAAATTTAGTAGTTTTTTTCTTTTTAAATAGCTGATCGAAATGATAGTAATAGTAATGAAAGGTCGCTATCCTTCAAGCGTGATCCGTGTTCTATCAAAAAGTAAAGAATCATGTTAGTGAATAATCTTCAAGTTCACAGGGCCAGAAGTTACAATGGTTGGTTCTTATTGTCTCAAAGACCCAAGTCACTTATTTCAATTTATTCACAATTTTAAAGGGGAATGCGTGTTGTTTATTTTTCTGTGGAAGAAAAAACAAATGAAATAGCATATTATTGAATCTTCTGTGCTAATTTGAATCGAACTTTAACGATCGAGGAAGATATGGAAATTCCTAGAACAGATATTTTTCATCCAGTCCGCTTCGAAGATGATGTATAGGACTGCTTTTGCATACTTGATCTAACTGCGAGACGATGTTTAATTCATTTGGTTATTGCAAAGATGATATGTTCCTTCCACTTATCCTACTGGTGCGAAGTGAGCTGTTCTCTAGTGTCGTCTTACTTAGAAGTGAAGCTTGAATATGAACCTTTCCATGACGAGTTTGCTCCACTAATTAGACCTTGACTGCCATAAAGAACTCAACATTTTATCAATCCTTTCCAATTCATCGTTAATGAACGTATTTAATGAGCCAAGAATGGCTGCACGTAGGGTGTCATGCAAGCTTCATAAGCAAAGCCTATCCAGCTTCTGGAAGTTTGGACAAGTTTGGGGTGCCTGTGGGATATTGACAGACCTACGTTGGAGCCAGGAAAATTTTACATGATAAGACCCCAAAAAAATTGTATATGCCCCCTTAAAAAAATTCCATTTACTTCCATCATTTTTAAAAAAATTCACTTACCCCCTTACAAAAATTCACTTATCCTATATAAATTTGTATGACCTACAAATAACTAAAAAAATTATCCCATTCAAAGATAGTTTTTTTATTTTATTATAATTTTATATTATATGCATTGTTATTAGTATTTAATTTGATTATGTTACATCCTTATTATACTTTTATAAATATTTAAAACTATTTTTATAAAAAAATATGAACATTTATTTAAATATAAATTATATTTTTATTAACTTATTTTTTTGTGTCCGTCATTGCTGAAAAGTGTGTGTATGCAGAAGATGTTAGTGTGAAAGGGTTTTGGACCTTGGCCACATTGTGTAGCATAGCATCTAGACTTTGCTCTCAAGTTTTGCTAAGTTAATTAGGCGATAACCTTTATTGTCAAGGCCTTGCTTGCTTGAGACAAGATATAGTTGGGCTCATGTATATTATTCAATGCACATGGCTTTCCAAGTTTGAGCTCCAGGATTTGTGTCAGTGAGCTCTTCTCAATTCCTAAAATGTAATTTTAATTAGTCTCCGATTAATTGAACTTTCATATAGTACTTTCTTGACATTGACATCTTATTGATTAAGTTGAAGGCTTGTAATTTGAGAAGTTGAGGTTTTACATTACATTTTTCATACATCACATGTAAGGATCATCCAAAATGATTTATTTTTTTTATTCGAAAAGTAAGTAGAAAAGTTGCAAAAACCTAAAAGATAAATGAATTATCAAATGCCAATCACAAATTGATGTTCTAATTCGAAGTCGTTAAAAGCTTAATGAATCAAGAGATCAAATATATTTTTTATTAATTGCTCGTAATTGTCATTCTTCTTCTATAGAGGTAATTATATTTAAAGTATGATTAGGCAACGCAAACACCTCTCCTAAATGAAATTTGAGCCTTGTTCATCAGAATATATATAATGTTACTTGAGGTTATTATAATAACTATTATTATTATTATCATCAAACTTTTAAGCCAACTTTTTGAATTTATCATTTTTAAATTTATAATTTATAAAATTATATTAACTCATTTATAAATTCAAGCTTGATAAAATTCAGTTAAACTCGTAAGTTGATTATTTAAATTTACCATCTTTATAATTTTAGTTTATAAAATTGTGTCAATTTACTCATAAACTTATTGAACAAGATTGGTGTATATTGTATAAAACTTGGTTCATAGAGATAGTAGGACCCAATTTAATGAGAAATAAAACTAAAAACAAAAATCAAAACTAATATCAATTAAAAAAGGAAAAAACAAACAAACATAAGCTTCCCTATTTTAAAATTTTTTATTTGACTATAATAATCTATGAATGTAAATGACTTTAATTTTAATGATTTATATTTAAAATAAATTATGATTATATTTTATATTTTAATTATTTAATCACATACTTTAACAAATTATTCATTAATAGAGGTAAAATTTTATGAGTTTACAATTCAAGTTTATATTTTAAATTTATATTTCAAAAGTTTATTTAAACTTATAGGTTTAATAATCTTGATAACCATAATGGTTGGTGAGAAAATTAAAATTGGAGCCGGCTAGGCTGCGTGAATCCGTGGCATTCATTTTTGGAAAAAATTACAATCAATAACTCCTGCCAGCAATTAATTACATTGCAAGAATAAAAAATTCTAATATTGCTCTAAAAGGCTAAAGAATCTAAAGGTAATTAAAATTTATTATAAAAAGACAAAGTTATCATTGATGTATTTTTGTTGTGATGGGAGAATTGTTTATTGTTAAAATAAAAATGAGACTTATTTTTTTTCAATAGAGGCTTGTTCATCGGACTGTAATAATTCATTTACTAAATTAATATTTTATAGTTATTAATTAAGGAATTGCTTGTTGTTAAAATGAAAATATGAATTATTTTTTTAAATGAAATTTATTCACTAAATCATAACACTTGTTCCTCTTCTCAACTAAGTTAATTTTTTTGGAATTGTTAGTAATAAAATTGATTGTTGTTAGAATGAAAATGAAACTTATTTTTTCTTAAATAAAAACTTGTTTATCAAATCACAATATTTATTTTTCCCTGTCATCAAGTTAATTTTTTAGAGTTGTTAGTAAAATAATTGATTGTTATTAAAGCATGAATGAGACTTATATTTTGCCAAGAGGTTGTTAAAATAGTATATAATATACATATGAAAGATATTTTTATCTTTTTATAACAAAGATAGGCATTTTGCTCTTGCAGAGGAATATAATAATTATTTGATCCTGTAATGTAATTACTTATTTTCAGGGTCCCTGATTGTGATTTTCTCTTCATGTTTTTAGTGCTTTTTGAAAATTGACGTTTTGATCCGGTAAATATTTTATATACTTTAAAATACATTTGAAGCAAAATAAACATTAAGGTGTCGTGGTGTAGTTGGTTATCACGTCAGTCTAACACACTGAAGGTCTCCGGTTCGAGTCCGGGCGACGCCATTAAAAATGTAATTTTTGAATTTTTAACTGCTTTTGCGCGGACGCGGTTGCAAATAGCCAATTGTGCCAGATACGGTCAGGTCCCACTCATATTTCCTCTCTTTTATTTCAACTTTGCAAGTTCCTTCCTGACGCGTGTAACCCATGCGGCAAATTTAAATTTTTTTAATATTTATTTTTATTGTTAAAATATTTTCAAATAGGACTGAACCTTGTAAGAGATATACATTGTTATTTAAGAATATTATATATTTATATATATTAAAATTTATGAAAAAAATTGTATACTTTGAAATTAATGTATCAATTTTGTATTAATCTATACTCCTTTGATTCTCTTTATAAAATTTTTATCAATCCTATCAATATTTTTATAAAAAAATATAAAGAATAAAAATTTACAAGATTTTTAAATATATTTTTATATAATAAATTAAAAAATAATATCATATTATTTTTTTATGAGAGATAATTTTAAAAATATATTTTAAATATTATTTAAAAAATCAGGTGCTATAATTTATAAATAAAATTAAATAAATTTTTTAAAATATAATTTATAAATAAAATTGACAGAAATAATTTATAAAAACTTAATCGCTGTCATAGTACGTTTAAAAATAAACCGGTGAAAGCACGCAAAATAAAATAAATTAAACCTAGTGGGTGAGAAAGACCACTGAGAGGAAACTTGGTGCTCGACTGCTCGTGACGGTTCATGAAAATCCCGCGGATAAGCCGTCAGGATTGCAATTTGCAACCAAAAAGAGGGGGAAACTTTTGCTCATTATTCACAAGAGCCATCGGATCCGGATCTAACTCGATCACATCCAAAATTCACCGTCTCAACACTCAACCAGGCGATTTATTGTAAAACCTGCGACTTCGATAACCCTTCCTCGATTTCGCATAAAACGCTAATGGATTCCCTCAACATTTTAAATACTCTATGATTTTTCTTCTAGGCTGAACCGGTCAGGAATCAAGGCGTGCAGTTCCAATTTCGAGTCGGCTTTGATTTGAAGTTTAGCTTATTGCATCCCTTAAGGGAACACCCAAGACATGGCGACGACTAGGTCACCGAATCTTTCGTCCGACGACATAGTCGATTCGACGCCGTTTATAGCAAATTCAGGCGGGTCTTCCGATGAATTCAATTCTGGCCGTCGATTTGTTCGCAGGCAGAGCCTGCGCCAAGCGGCTCGGTTCCTGAGGCAGGCCAGTGGCCGTAGAATGATGCGCGAACCATCGATGCTAGTCAGAGAGACTGCAGCCGAGCAATTGGAGGAGAGACAGGGCGATTGGGCTTATTCTAAACCCGTTGTGATCCTTGATATTATTTGGAACTTCGTCTTTGTTGTCGCGGCTGCTGCCGTTTTAATTTTGAGTCGAAGCGAGTCGCCGGCCATGCCTTTGAGGTTGTGGATTGTGGGCTACGCTCTGCAATGCATCCTTCACGTGTTCTGTGTTTGCGTTGAATATAGGAGACGGAGGCGTCTCCGGAGGCGCCAATTTCCACCATCCTTGGACGAAGTGAACGAAAGGACTGGCAGCAGTGGAAATCTGAGTCCAGGTTCAAGGGAGGGTTCTGGGCAGTATGTGGCATTGGCGCAATTCAACGAAGAGGGTACAAGGTGAATTTGTGCTTTATCTGGTTTAATTTTGGGGCATAATTTCTGCCTTTGCACTTTCAATACCTGCATAAATTAATTATGAGCGATGATAATATCTATCTTCTGATACTTGAATTCTATCTAAAATTAGTTGTGGCCCAAAATTTAGAAGCTGAGGAGTCTCGTTATACCAAACCAGAAATACTCATAAACCACGAGTGTTAAGTCACCTTTGGTTCTATTAATTTGGCTGCAAATGGGACTTGTGTTTATATGCTTGATTTAAATTATCAAGGAAAAAGAGTGTCATTGTACGTTTGCTCAGGCACTATCTGCTTCTGAAATCTATGGTAACCTTCAAGTCCTAAATTAGTTTCATAGTTCGTAAATGTTGTAATTTGTATGTTGATATAATACTTACAATACTTTTAAGCTTTTTTTTTTTTTAAAGGACAGGAGTAACTGTTCTTTTAAACCTGTGACCTTTCATATATTTTTACCCTTGTAGTTATCCTTTTCTTAAGAAAACTACTAAAAAAAAAATTTAATGCTTTCTTACGTTTGTCTTTATTCCCTGTAGTGTAGCAAAGCATTTGGAGTCAGCGAATACATTGTTTTCATTTATCTGGTGGATCATTGGATTTTACTGGGTATCAGCTGGTGGTCAATCTTTAGTCCTTGATTCTCCACTTTTATACTGGTTTGTTCTCTCTCAAGCAATTTGTTCACTTATATAACTGTGAATTATTGCATTTTATTACTTAATTGAGTCGCCTTTCAGTTAATTTGCTGTTATTTTTGTTGAGTTTTACCTTTGACTAAATTAACTCTCTTTGCAGGTTATGTATAGCTTTCCTAGGTTTTGATGTTTTCTTTGTCGTATTCTGTGTTGCGCTGGCATTCATCATTGGTATTGCTGTATGCTGTTGCCTTCCATGTATTATTGCACTTCTATATGCTGTTGCAGACCAGGTAACTTGGGAAATTTGCTGTTTTTCGCTCTTGTTATTGAGTTGTTGTGGTCCTATGAATCTGTTGCATCCAATGTTTGTTGAGTAGTTCTTTTTGTTTAGTGGATATGAAAATTTTTAACTTCATTAATTTGGCTAGTTCAACCTACTTGACCTTAGGCATATATAAATATGTATTAATAGTGTATTCAAAACATTTTTAAGTTGTCATGGTTGTAATGAACTTTGATAGGCTGTTTTAAGATAAGGTAATTCTCTGAGTCATGTTTTACCTCTAAGCTAACCCTTTCCCATGACAAAAGGAGACACATGCACCCACACATGCACACAAGCACATCAACGCTGGATTTAAACCTAGGACCTCTTCCAAGATAGTGATAGAGTTCCGAGATAATGGATGATCTAGGAAGATAGATATTATAATATTTTTAATTTATTTTATATTTAATATTTAATATTATTGTTTAGATTTTATTTAGGTATTTAGTTATCTAGATTTTATATAGATACTTAGATATGTATATATTTATCCACATATTTAGTTATTTAGATTTTATTTAGATATTTAATTCTTTAGATTTTATTTAGTGTTTTATATAGATATAAATTTTAGGAGATTTTATTCAGTTTTATTTAATTATCTAGTTATCTATATTTTATTCATCATTTTAGATTGTATTTAGCATTATAAATATGTTTAGCAACTTAGAAGCAGACACATCATAAATAAAACAGACTTTTGAGACTTGGCCTTTTGGAGATTCTCCTAAGAGTAACTATTGAGAGAAATATACAACGAGATTCTTGTTCTATATCATTTCGATAGATTTATTTCTTCTGTTTTCTTCTATTAGTTCTATGCTCTCTTATTAATATTATGAAATTAGATTCTGATTTCATATGTTAATAGAGATTTATGTTCCTCATTTCTCTTTAATCATCTTGGAACTTATCAAAGCGGGAGGTGTTATTGCCACTAGGACAACTAACCGTTGACTCTTAATGTTGTCATTAATGTGTTGTTACTGCACAAGGATGTCAATATCCTTATGAGAAGCATATTTTGAGCCTTAGAAAACTGGGAACACTTATGGTTTCAATTTTTTTTTTAATTCTCGGATTTAATGAAGCTGAATGGTATGATGTGAGAGTGGAGCGAGAATTATTGGAAATTTAGAATTTTTATATGGTATGAAACAGAAGCCTGGATGATAGTTCTTCAGGGTTTTACTACTTTGGAGGCTTAGATATGGGCATATCGTTGAATGTGGTTGGGTTCATGATGTGACTTGGGATGTGCTGCAGGCCTATAAGAGGAAATTAAAAGGGAAGCAAGATTCAGAAATGAAAAATCCAGCTGGCCATGACTCTTATCCGGAGGGTCCAGGTTTTATGGAATAGATCATTATTTGTGTAGGGTGGCTGCAGGTTCAACTTAGATTATAGAGTCACCCTTTACGTGCTTAATATTTTGATATCGTTTGTTTTGATACTCAGACTGTGTTTTGTGAATCATAGATTGGAGAGGAGAGTGCTGGTCTCTCGAACACCATTAGAAGACCTTTGTGTGTTGATCATTTCTGTTCTTCCATTGTATTTTGTTTCTGTAATGGGGAATAGGGTTTTGGTCAGAATCAGTGACTCCCCTTTGTAACACTGATTCGCTTATTCAGCATTTATTTCAACACTTAAAAATTTCCCTTCATTTCCTTTGGCTTTTGTGTTTTATTTCTGGTATGAACTGATTAGATAGAGCTGAGCTCTATCAGTTCATTATTAAACTCAAAACTGCAGAATTTCATGACGGTTTTTTGTTGGGTGTGGGAACTTATAGCTGGCCAGAAGCGTGATTGTCTTAGACATGTCTCTTGCTTAACCTCTGCAAACAAACAGGGATTTGTCACTTTTACAAATACATAAAATGGGGGGAATGCATTTTGATGTTATGAATAAAATGCACTGTTTTGGCCTTAATGTTTCCTTTTTGGCTTCAGGAAGGAGCATCAAAAGAAGATATTGAGCAGTTGCCTAAGTTCAAATTCCGAAGAATTGACAGTAGTGAGAAACTTGCTGGGAATGCACAAGAACCAGTTGGTGGAATAATGACTGAATGTGGCACTGATTCGCCAAATGAACACATTCTTTCTGAGGAGGATGCGGTATGTTGGAACATTTTTCTCACATTTGAGATTAGCCTTGCCTTTTTTTCTTTTTTGTTTTTGGCCTGGTAGCCATCTTGATCCATTCTTCTGAAGATTTTTAAATGTCAATTGTCAAAGGGAGCTCAATGTAGCAGGCTTTCCTATAATGAGCTTATGAAATTATGCTACCATGATTATGTGATGCACATCAAATTTACCTATAAAAAATTTGCACGGAGGAGGATACTATGTATATCCATTACCATTTTGTCCGTATGCATTCTAGCATTCCCTTTGTCCTGTTATTGCATTATACATCAGAAGAGGTTGACTTGATAGTTCAAGCTGATGTTTGGTTCAGTCTGTTTTGGTTGTCTTAATTTTGCAGCTGTGGCTCATTGGGTCAACAAAACATGGTTGTATTGGCCTTAGTTATCTATGGAAGTTCGAAGCAATTAATGTTTTGTTTATACTTATATTTTTATTTTATTTTGATTTATTGACTACAGGAATGCTGCATCTGTCTATCTGCTTATGATGACGGTGTTGACCTTAGAGAACTTCCTTGTGGCCACCATTTTCACTGTGCCTGTGTGGACAAGTGGCTGTACATTAATGCTACTTGTCCTCTTTGCAAGTACAATATCTTGAAGAGAATTAACCAAGAGGAAGCGTAGGGGACTGCGGACGTTAGAAAAAATTTCTAGCTCTCATGGTGAATTGGCTTATTTTTGTTATCTGGGCGTGCTATCCACAGCATGTTGATATACTTTCAATCCAGGCCAATTTTGCAGTGGCTTTGAGCTTGTGTATATAGGCTTGTTCTTATATGGGCACTTAAAGTCACCCTAGTTGGCTGTACGATCTGTAAATTCACCGTTAGACATTTTTCATTCTCATCTGCCCATGTTCAGTATTTGTAAGGTTCGTACGGTGAAGACAGTAGGAAAAGAAATTTATGAGTGTATTTAAGATAAGACAGCCTGTTAGGCGAGTTGACTGCGACGTATCTTTTTTTCGGTTTGCTGTAGTAAAGGCTTCTCTTGGAACATTCTAATCGGGCTTCGGTTTGAGGTAAGTCATTCGATATTGGTCGACATTCTCTATTTTTTTTTTTTTTGGGTGGGATTTGTTGGTCGATGTTCTGTAGTAGAATGTATCTTACATGAAGTGTTGACACTTGACCCCAAGAATACTGCATTGAGGAACAATTTCCAGCCATGGCTTCCCAAGAATGTAAGCTCGAGACAAGCGAATTGAACGTCAAGGTATTGAAGGTTATTTAACGGGAGAGTGACATTTTAAGACTTAACGGAATTTATCCCAAGGGCTGATCAATTTTATATCGGATATTGTCTTGTGAAAATAAGTATATATTGTTATTAAAAATTGAATCTTAACTTAAAATCTTGTTTGTCTCTCTCTCTCTCTCGTTTTGTTCTGTTCTGTTTTTATGTTTTATGTTTTTATGTTTTTGTTTTTGTTTGAAGAATCAATTTGGTTTTATGCCAGGTAGATCAATTACAGAGGCGATTTATTTACTAAGGAGATTAATGGAAAAGTATCGTTGTAAAGATAAAGATCTACACATGGTTTTTATTGATTTGGAAAAAGCTTATGACCGTATACCAAGAGAAGTGCTTTGGAAAGCGTCGGAAAAAAAGGGAGTGCGGATTGCTTATATTAAAGCCATACAAGATATGTATGAGGGGGTAAAAACTAGTATAAGAACGCCTAGTGGTCAAACAAAGAATTTTCCTATAAAGATTGGACTACATCAGGGATCATCTCTGAGTCCTTATTTGTTTAACTTGATTTTAAATGTTTTGACGGAACATATTCAAGAGGAAATCCTGAAATGTATGCTCTTCGCGGATGATATAGTTCTTATAGCAGAGACAAGAGAAGAGGTTAATTGCAAACTTGAGTTATGGAGGAGGATATTGGAGTCGAAATGTTTTCGTCTGAGTAGAAGTAAGACGGAATATTTATATTGTAAATTTGGTAAAAGACTATTCGAAAATAATTTGGAAGTGAAATTGGGAGATCAAATTATACCTCAAGTGGAAAAGTTTAGATATTTGGGAGCCATTATTCAAAATGATGGCGAAATCAGTGGAGATATTTCACATAGAATTCAAGCTGGGTGGTTTAATTGGAGAAAAGCTAAAGGAGTTATTTGTGACCGTAAGGTGCCTAATAAACTTAAAGGAAAGTTTTATCGTACTGCTATCAGACCGGCAATGTTATATAGTAGTGAATGCTGGGCTCTAACGGGACAGCAAGAGCATAAAGTTGGAATAGCAGAGATGAGAATGTTACGATGGATGTGCGGACATACACGTAAAGATAAAATTCGAAATGAGCACATACGCGAAAAAGTGAGGGTGGCACCTATTGAGGAAAAAATGATAGAAAATCGGTTGAGATGGTTTGGGCATGTACAAAGAAGACCAAGGGAGGCACCAGTGAGAAGAGTGGAACATATAACTTTGAGTCCGATTAAGAGAGGTAGAGGAAGGCCTAAGAGAACACTCTTGGAAGTTGTTGAACGTGATCTTTTAATTAATAATATTTCTAAAAGCTTAATAAATGATAGAGCACAATGGCGTCTTGCAATCCATGTAGCCGACCCCACCTAGTGGGATAAAGGCTTGTTGTTGTTGTTGTTGTTATGTTTTTGTTTTTGTTTTTGTTTTGTATTTTGTTTTGTTTTGTTTTTTTTTTTTTGGTAGAATTGTGAAACCTTGTTGTGCAAAGTGTTGTTGAAGGATTTGCTTATGCTGTATTTTCCAACCAAGCCTGTAAATGTGGCCTTGGGCCCGTACCCTATTCTTTCCCAAACACAAGCTGCCAGTAAGGACACCAATAGCAAGGACTAAATCACTTGAAATTTTGGATAAAAATATCTACAATTAATCATAAAATTTTCGAAACAAAACTTGAGTAAGATCATTGGTAGCAAGAATATTGTTTCAAGTAAATGAAATCATGGTGAAGGAATGGTTTGTAGATGATGATAATATTACTATAAACATAAGATACTTGGCCTGGCTGCCATTGCTCTCCTCCATAATATTCGGGGAAGGGAGAAGCCTAAACCTTTTTTTTTTTGGTTGGGGGGGGGGGTTTAGAAAGCAAATATATTATATTAAAATAAAAAGATTAAAATACAATAACATTATGGGAGGATCAAGCCTGAGAGCTAGACCCATATGCGGCGTTTACTTGGAATTTGACGTTGTGAGCACAATGCAGGGAGATGGGGTGACTTGAAGCTTTTGACGAAACCTAAACCTCTATACTATATACTGCTTCCACTCACCCCTCAATGAAAAAAGGGGAAGCGACATATGGAGTATTCTTTAAAGGTGTTTATTAAATATATATATATATATATGTATATAAATATAAATTATTAAACATTAAAAGTGAGGTCAGAAAATTTAAATAAAAAACAGAAATATCCTAGAGCAAGATCAAATAAGAATCTAATTATTTATTGAGTAAAGGTGCAAATTTACCTTGAAAATTTTCCTCCAAGGATGCTTGGTATCTTTAACTTTTTTTAAGAGCAATGTTACTTCAAAACTCTCCAAAACAGTGTAATGTTGCCCTTCCATCAAAGTTAATCACTTTGTTTGACTTGATTTGCCACGTGGCATTTTTTAAAAATTTTAAAAATAATAAAGGTGTAAATTTATCCTGAAACTTTTTCTCTAGAGGCACCTGGTATTCTCAACTTTTTTTGAGAGCAATATTGCCCCAAAACTCTCCAAAACAATATAATGTTGTCCTACTATCAGAGTTGATTGTTTGTTTGACTTTACTTGTCATGTGGTATTTTAAAAAAATTAAAAAAAAAGCATTTACAAGTGGCCTCCATCAAAGCATCCCTAGCTCTTTGACTTCTTCAATTGTCCACATCGTTCGCTGGTTCATGGTAATTGGTTCACCGTCCCCCTCCCTCCTTATATCTTAGTTGCACATTGCTCATCCTCCTTTACAGTCGACCATTCTTCTTGTCTTCATTCCTTTCTCCTCCACCATTGCATTTGCAAGACAAGAGCTAAATGAGAAACTTTATAGTCATTGCTCACATGATGACCATGTTTACTTCTTGTTACTTAGCGTTGGTCAATCTGAGTTGTTAATTTTTTGTTCCTGTTTTACTAGATATTTTGTGTTATTCTTCAATTGTTGGGTTCTTAATTTGTGTTCTTTATCTGCTTCCTTTCTGCCCCTTGTCTTTGATTATTTTTTGATGTTAAAAATTTAGGTTCTATTGTTTTTCTAGATTTTTTTTATGTTGAAAATTTAAGTTTGATTTTTCATCTTAGTATTTTGAGTTATTTTGCAATTTTAGTGTGGTGGATGAAAAAGAAGAAGTTGATGAGGATGAAGCATAGCTCTTTTTATTTTTTTTTAAATGCCATGTGGCAAGTGAAGTCAAACAAAATAGTTAACTTTAACAACAAGGCAACATTGCACCATTTTAGAGAGTTTCGAGGCAACATTGCTCCCAAAAAAAAGTTGAGGATACCAAGTACTTCTGAAAGAAAAGTCTCGGGATAAATTTACACTTTTATCATTTTTTTAATTTTTAAAAAAATGCCATGTGGCAAGTCAAGTCAAACAAAATGGGTAACTCCAACGGTAGGGCGACATTGCATCATTTTGAAGAGTTCCAAGGCAACATTGTCCCCCCAAAAAAGTTAACAATACCAGGTGTTCCTGAAAGAAAAATTTTAAAGTAAATTTACACCTTTACTCATTATTTATTATTTATATTATGCCATTTAAAAGCATAAACTTTAATAATATAAAAGCTGAAGGAAACTTTTCGGGTGGACATTTTGGGAATCAATAGTGGCATAGACACTCAATGGTATTTGCCACTCGTGAATCACCTACACATTGATGTGGATGCCTCAGTTAAAAGAAATAGACTTGGAAGTGTAATAAAAAATTATTAAAGTTTTAAACAACAATATGGTTTTGTCTCCAATACCAAAGCTGAGCTCTTAACGATGCATGAAAGTATGCTAGTGAATTCAACTGTCCCCTATCTGCATGTTCACTAATCTTCAAATATTTGTCATGACATGACAAGGTTATCTGATCTCGTTCTCAAGCACTCTCACACAGAAGGCATTGTTTGAGCTATCGTTCAAGCGCCCCTTTCATTTCTTGCTTTAATGGAATAAAATTAAGATTATGATCAATAAAATTAATGGAATACAAAAGTGCATAATTCTTAAACTTTTAAGCTTCAAGCCAAAAAGAAGACAAAAATTAAAAAAGTGGTATTTTTTGAGGCCCCCTCTTCCCAGAACAGAGTGCTAATGATTAGAAGATGTTCTTGAGGGAAGGGAGCAAAATTTCTAAAGAGAGGAAACAACAAAATCATCAACCGAGGCCACCAAAGATTAGTTTAAGTACCCTAATTCCTGATAATCATACGGATCCTGGAGGGGGAATGCAAGAACAATTCTTCAAAGCCGTTGGCGAAGGGAATTTAGGTGAAATCACCAAGAAAGTCACTTTTATGATGGAACGTGAGGATTGATGTTTCTAATAGGTACTCATATTTTTTCTCTCCTTGTTTTATATTTTATGGAAGTACTAATATGGAATTGTAGGGGGCAGTTGCTAGAGCCTTCCCATATAAAATTAGAGATTTGTTAAAAGGAAGAGAGGCAAATGTGCTAGTTCTTTTAGAAACTAGAGTTAGTGAAACAAAAGCTGATGGTATCTACAAGAAATTAAGATTTTCAAATTGGATAAGAGTTGAAGCTACGAGTTACTCGAGTGGTATCTGGCTACTCTGGAATAGTAAAGTGTGCTCCCTAAAGTATTTCTTTTCCACCACTCAATTATTACATGTTTGGGTTAAGTGGAATGAAAAATTCACACCTTTTTGGTTGACTTGTGTTTATGCAAAGACTAATTACAGTCTTCATAACGGCCTTTAGGATAGCTTTGAAACTTTGGGTAATATCATCAAGGATCCTTGGTTGGTGGTGGGGGATTTCAATGCTTACTTATCTGTGGAGGATAAATATGGAGGAGCTTCCTCAAATTCTATTTCTATGAAACAGTTTAATAGAGTAGTAAACAATGCAAATCTCATGGAAGTGACTACAATGGGAGATCGTTTCATGTGGGAAAATAATTATGTGAAAGAAAGGATAGATTGGACCTTTGCAAATTTTGAATGGACTTCTTCCTTCCCTGATTTTAAGGCATACCATTTAAGGAAGTTTGGGTCATATCATAAACTCATATGGATTTAAAGACCCAGTAGAGTAAAGCAACATCATTACCAAAATTTGTTCAGATGTCAAGTAGCTTGGTTTCTTGAAGAGGGCTTTGTGGATGTCATAAATAAGTATTGGAAAGAGGGATCTTATTCTAATAAAATAAATAATTTCCAATCAGTAGCAGAAAGCTGGAATAAGTCCAGAATTGGCAATATTCCTGGAAAAAAGAGACATTTATTGTGCAAATTGGAGGGTATAGACGCTATGACAAGAAGGAAAGACTCTCAGTACTTGAAGCAAGTTGAAGAAGGACTTTGGAAAGAATACAACAAAGTCCTAGCCCAGGAAAAACTCTTTTGGTACCAAAAATTAAGATGTAAATGTTAAATTGGGGAGATAGGAATAACAAATTTTTTAATGCTTCCATTACTATCAAGAGAAAGAAAAATAGAATTGAAGCACTTAAGGATAGCAATGGGTCCTGGATTTTTGATCAAGAAAGGTTGAAATAAGTTGCATTAGGTTACTACCAGAATCTTTTTGAATTTGAGTTCAGTGGTCAAACAAGAGTATCATCCGTAACGTCATAACCAAGACTCTTTGAGGATGAATTATTGGATTTTTCTTGCAATATCTTTGATGAGGAGATTAAAAATGCCATATTTAATATTGGCACTTTCAAAGCTCCAAGTCCAAATGGTATTCAAGCGGCTTTTTACCAATAATATCGGGCTTTGGTGGGGGAATCTATTTGTACTATGGTTAGAGAAATGTTTCTAGAACCTAAACTTTTGGAAGGGATTAATAAAACTCATATTGTCCTCATTTCAAAAGTAGACAAACCTGAAAGTATGAAAGATTTCAGATCAATCTCACTATGTAATGTAAGCTACAAAGTAATCTCCAAGATTATTACTAATAGGCTTAAAGGGTTGATGGATAAACTTATTGGTGAACACCATAGTAGCTTTATTGTGGGAAGACGAAGTACAAACAATATTATCATTACCCCATAAGTTATTAATTCCAAGATGAAAAAGAAGAGGAAAAAGGGTTTTGTGGCTATTAAAGTGGACATGGAGAAGGTATATGATAGACTCCAGTGGCCTTTTATTCAAAATTGCCCTATAGGAATTAAGACTAAATGGAAATATGTGTGAAATCATTATGGCTTTTATTTATATGTCAATAGTAAAGGTGTTATGGAACAAGGAGCTAACAAAGGAATTTAAACTAATGTGAGGTTTAAGACAAGGAGATCCTATCTCCCTGTGCATCATTAATTTGGCATGGAGAAGCTCAGTCATATGATTAAGGATGAAATCTTAAGAGGGAAGTGGAAACCTATTGAGCTAGCGAAGGGGGCCCTGTCTATCACATTTATTTTTTTGCAGATGATTTAATCTTGTTTGGCGAGGCATCTTTAAGTCAAATCTAAACAATGCATCGATGTCTATAGAATTCTTGTGTGGCCTCAGGTTATAAGATAACAAAGAGAAAACAAAGCTCATTGCTTCCTTAGATGTCCATTTTTGTAGGGTACAAGAGCTTAGTAGGGAGTTAGGTGTGGGAATAATAGGTGACTTAGGCAAATACCTAAGCATCCTACTCATCCACAAAAGGGTCACCAATAATGCGTTTATGCATATTATCACAAAGGCAAAGAAACGAATGTCAAGCTAGAAAAGAAGCTATCTCTCTTTAACGAGAAGATCGGTCCTAGTTAAATCAATCATCTCTACTCTTCGAAGCTATTTCATGCAAACTATTCTCCCCCCTTCTAGTGTTCTAAATAAGTAGGAAAAAACCAATTAGAATTTCTTATGGGGTGACAATGAGGAAATAAAGAAAGTTTATTTATCAGCTTGGGACGTAGTTCAAAGACAAAAGGATTTCAGTGGCTTAGGGATAAGGGATTTGAAGAAGTAGAACATAGCTTTCATTTGGAAATTGTGCTGGGGTCTACTAACAAATTTAAAGGCACTTTAGGTTAAAGTTTTGAAATCTAAATATAAATGTGGAGATGGCTCTATCCCTATTGTCAAAAAATGTGTTGGAGCCTCTATCACATGGATGAGTATTCAAAAGGTGTGGGATTCTTTCCTTCATAGTATAGGAAAATTGTTAGTCTCAAGCTTGTAGACTTCCTTTTGGTTTGAAAGATGGCTTCCTAACAAAGTATCGCTCACTGAGTTGATCAATAATGGTAGAGAATTCATTGATGTCAATGAAACAGTGAGAGATTATATACTTCCTTTGGATGGTTGGGATGTGTATAAAATAAGACCTTGGTTTCAGAATCAAGTGGTTAACCTCATTACCAACACGAGTGTTCCTGGTGAGGACAAACACATATGGCTTTATTCAATTGACGAAACTTATTCTATTAAATTTGGTTATTCTTGTCTTATTATAGGTCTAGAGAACAATCGAGACCTAATTTAGAGAAACATCTGGAGATGGAATATCCTAGAGAAGATGAAGATATTATTTTAGCAATTGGCACATAATAGAGTGCATACAACTGAATTATGCCTGAAACGAGGGTTGGCTACTTCCAGTCCTTGCCCCTTTGGATGTAGTGAGGTAAAGGATTCTATGCATCTTTTTCGTGATTGCCATCACGCTAAATGATGGTAGAGGGAGTATATTCGACTAGATCTGGTTGATAAATTCTTTGAGCTGGACAGATGTGAGTGGATACATTGAAATATGAAACTTTAAGTCAAGTAGGACTTTACCAAAATTGTTCCCTGGAATATTTTATTTGCTCACATTTGCTGGAGCATTTGAAAGAATAGGTGTACTGTTTTCTTCCAAGAGAGTAACGAATGCATGGTTGCAAAACCTTTAAGCTTTATTCATAGAGTGGCAGCTGATTTAAAGATAGGATAACAAATAAATAAAGTTGCTACACAACAATAGGTAGGGAATACAAGCAAGATACCTACTGATTTTATTAAACTAGAGACAGATGGATCAATTACTACAAATGGTTTAAGTAGTTGCAGTAGGGTTTTAAAGGATGCTATGGGTAAATGAATCTTGAGCTTTAATCAAAAGCTGGGTCACATTCCTTCTGTTATGGTTGAGATATGTGGTATTTTTATAGGTTTGGAACTTTGTTGGAAAAGAGGGTTCAAGAATGTGGAAGTTTATTGTGATTGTGTGTATGCTATTGCAACCATCACAAAGGATAACCATATTTACCACCCTTTTCAAGATATCATTGAGGCCACTAGGAAATTGATTTGTAGAAATTGGTCCGTAAATTTTAATTTTATATTTAGGGAAGATAATTGAGAGGCTAATTATTTAGCAAAAATCTATCATAGTATCTCTACTAACTCTAATCTCTTTAAGGTGCCACCACAAATAGGAGTCTGAGTTTTGGGGTGGTACCTTTTTTTTATGTGTTTCTTTTGTTTTTGTTTTTTTGTTTTTTCTTGCTTATTTTTTCTTTTTGTTTTTTTCCTGTTTCTTTGGTGGCTCTCTTTTGCTTTGGCCTTGGCTGCCGTTTTGTAACTCTTGGAGTTTTCTTCTGTTTTGAATGAAGTTTATCCATGTTTATTCCCAAAAAAAAAAAAAATTGAAAGTTGAAAGACCTGAGAGAGAGAGAGAGAGAGAGAATTTGGAAAAAAGTGACAACAGGGAAGACGTGTATATTGTGTGAGAGGGAGAGAGAGAGAGAATAAGTGAAATTTAAAAAAAATTATTCTTTGCTATTTTTTGAAATAAAAAAATAAAATTTTAAAATAATGCATAAAATAAAACTCATCCAAATCAAATAGATAAATAAATGCACAACAAAATATCCTTCTCAATCTGATCAGCTTAAGTTGGTGGTATTTAAAGGATTCGTTTTTTGGTTTCAGTCGCAAATAATTAAAATTCATTATCAGTAATTCATATTTAAGCGAGTGTAGTTGAACAAAGCTCACCAATTTATTCATCTTTGGAAATTTTGGTACAAAGAACAAAATGCAAACTTATTTGGCAGAGGAAGGATCAAAGAATGCAAACCACCTGCAGATCCTGCAGCTCGTTTAATTTGCAGATTTGAAGAACATTCAATACACTTTAAAGCTCCCATTTTCTAAGTCCATTTTAGTCAAATAAATTTACCTTTTGGTTCTTTATGCTTATTTTCCCTTCTTTACGCAAAAAGAAGATTGAAACCAATAAAGAAGGACATAGAATGAAACACAAGAAATTAAAACACGACACCTACACAGAAATGGACTACTAAAGCATGCATGGGATGCTTCTGCTAACATTTTCCACCATGAAAAGAGTTTGTTTCTGCAAAAGTAGTACACTAAAGAGAGAATTACCGGATTAACGCCCAGATTTGATGTGTCCCTCTTCCATCGTCCCAATGGGTATTCCGATGGCCAGAGGAGCAGAAGCAGCGTCACAATTATCCTTCCACTGAATACTCAGGTTGATTATGGCGCCACCCACGCAACCGTCTCTCCCTCGTAGCCTGTAACTCAGACACCGAACAGACGAAGGAGGCGGCGGAGACCCGATATCAGAGGCTGGAATCAGACACCACCCCACCTGACTCGGCCACAAGATCCGCCGCTTGCGGTATATCTGAACGTAGAGACACGACTGTGTGTCTGAGAGGAAGCTGGAATCTACTGGCACGCGCACCACCCCTCCTTCTCCTGCTCCGTCGTCTTGCAGGCTCCCACTGTACACCTTGGGTTTCTGATCAGGGAACGTTGTGACGGAAATGAAGTGTGTGGTGGGATTGGAAGTCGCAGGCGACCTCAATATGAAGGACGAGCACCACGAGGAGAAAGAAGACGACTGGGTCATCAGATTCAGGCCCTCACATGACAACACTGTGATCTCCAGCTCCAACATGCTAGTCATCATGTCACTTTCTCTCCGACGCAAAAATACAAGATGAAGAGCAGTAACAAAAGAGCGAGTGTATTTATCAATGAAAGGGATCGGAAGGTGGATTCCAATGTAGGAAACAACGTATGAAACTACGTAGACGTGGCAGCAATCGTTATCTGCTATATATATTATATAATAATGATTATGTGATTTGGTTGATCGATGTGGAGACTAAAGTGGACGTGGGGATGACCGTTGAGCAGCGAGTGCTGTTTCCTGCGAGGTGCTGGAACTTACTTTCTTTTTTTGGGAGAATTTCAACAAGGACCGCCATACTTATTTAAATTTAAAACTCTTAAATTTTTGAAATTTCCGTTAATTTGATATTAAAGTTATGAAAGAAATGGTAAAATTACCCTTCATACATTTAAATTTAAATTAATATTAAAACTTTACTTATAGAATGTTATTCATTATCTTACTTAACTTGTTTTTATGTTAGGTTTTTAAATTATCTTGAGACAACTTGTTAGTTTCTATACTATACGTTAATTACTTATAAATTGTTATTCATTACCTTGCTTTGCTTATTTATTATCAAACTTTCACTTAATTTCATTACAAGGAAATGAACAAGTAAACGTATGAAATAAACAAATGAATTAAAGCAGTTTTAATATTAATTTAAATCAATTTTATCATTTTTTATAAATTTAATATCAAATCAATACTCCTAAATCGCAATAGGATTTAGAGACCTTAAATTTAAATAAGTCTTGTTCAAAGGTCTTTATTGAAATTCTCTCATTTTTTTAAGAGTATTGATATATAACTAATTCCTCATTCTAAAAAAATTAGTTAAAATTACAATATTTTAAAAAATGATATATTTTTTTAACTATACCCTCATTAAATATTTTATATAAATATTTTAATAATAATAATTAATAATTGACGGTTAGTCAAAGGAAGGATAGAGTTGAAAAAAATTATAAAAATTACCCAACATCTCTTATATTTAAAAAAAAAAAAAGCAAAATAAAGTTTATATAGACAATGATTATATTCAGGAGCAAATGGAGCAGCTGGCATTCTAGATCTGGCTGCTTCAATCATGAAAGGCTTTTGGAAAAATTGTGCAGCTTTGAGTAGTCAACCAATGAACTTAATCAGGTAGTGGAGATTGATGGTTTTGTGTTGCGGCACATATGATTGTGAAATCCGTCTAATTGGGTTTTGCTACTTTTCACTGTGCCTATTCTCAGCACACATCAATTGCTGCGTGCCTTTAATTTCCTTCTTTCCTGTCCCCATCTCATCAAACTGTATGTTTTCTGCCTTTGTTATATTATAAAATGGCAGAATGGAACATAGACACACGACATTACCAATTTTCTCATTCACTGTGGTCTGGAAAATTAAAATGAATGAATAATAGATCCAGAGTGTCAATGGCCAAAGTTAGGATATACATATAATAATTTGCTTATAATAAATAAAAATAGCTCTGGAATTCGGACTCGTGAGTAGTGCGTGGACATGCTGTTTTTCCACGAAATAGACAATCCTTGAACGGCGCCGCTTGTCCTTCCCATACAATTCCCAAATCCCACGTAACTTATATATGACGTAATAGGCTAACGTAACGTTTTAGCCTTTTTTTTTTTCCCCCCTCAAACATTATGGGAATATCACCAACAACAATTCAGATTAATCTAAACTCTTGCTAGATGATTCTTATTATTACTAATGACAGCCTCACGAATATCTCAAAAATATCTTGACATTGACATTTAACACAATGACATGTTTTAAGATTTAAATTCGAGATTTTAAAATAAGTTAGATTGGATTCAACACTCTCACCTGTCATTTATACGTTGATACAATTGCATGTTTCAGGAACATGGTCCAACCTCTGTGATCTCCTCAGGCTACTGATAGTCTTGTGCGTTTAGGGTTTGGGCTGAAATGACGTTTAAAAATCAATATACAATTAATGCAAATGAAATCACCCCTGAAAAAATATTGAAGATCACAGAAAGCCACTTTTATGTTGGAAAGAAGAGGGGTATCGGGCACCAGAGAAACAGGACATCTTCCCGTCTATTTCCAAGAAATTGTTAGATCATTTGAATAAATAAATGGATATATTTAAGAATTAAATGGTAGGCCCATAACTGCATTGACTTCGAAGTGAAGTACATCGTTTATGGTTTTAAAATCGCACAATTTCTTATAAATTTTATTGACGATGATTGACTATTTGGGCATCTGTTGATATTGATTGATACGTTTGAAGTGTACTTTTTTTTTATTGGGCCAAAAATTTGAAGTATATAAACAGGTAGCAAATTTCAAACCATTTGATTGGGACAAATCAGGACATGTCGGCCCATGGCAAGATTGCTTGGACGAATACCCTACTGCTTTTGCTGTACCACTTTCTTACTTCAAGCATGAAACATTCATTAATCAAGAAATCACTCTTTCCATATAGTTTCTTACATTTAAATTATTATTATTGTTGTTGTTATTAATTAGGTGCTACCCTATGCACTGCACACGATAGGTATATTTTTAATAAAATAGTTTTTATATTTTAATGAATTTTAAAGAAAGATATAGTAATAAATATATACTTTTAATTAGGAAAAACATAACTTTAAGTTTAAAAACAGTACAGTAAAGATAATTTAATTTATTTTTTGGTAAAAAAAATATGCAAATAAATTCAATTCAATGATCCAAGTTCACTAATCTCTCTCCATTAAATATTATTAATATTTAAAAATTATTAATATACACTTTTCTCCAAAAAAATTTCAAATATACCGCTCCCTTGAAAAAATTTGAAATTTTATGATTTTTAAATATCATATAACAAAATCTTTAATATTCGATTAAATTAAAAACTGTTATTATATCACACGAGATATTTTATATAGAATGAGTAAAACTCAAATCACTTACTAAATTCAAATTCATAAATTTTTTAGGCAATGCAAATTCCATACGCTATATTTAATTTTTAAAGACGCTTCCTTACGTCACAACATCAGTCCTTCAGTGTTTTTGTATCCCGTATCATAAAACCGATCGAGGAAAATCTAACCCACAAGCTGACAACAGTTTGTTTTTTTTTTTTTTTTGGGTACATAGCTGACAAAAGTTATACTAATTTCAAATTGAATCTGTCCAATATTGAACCATCATGTTCATTCAAGAACATTTAAAAAAATAATAATTCAGACCTCTCAGTATCCCAGTGGCGTAGCTCCACTTCAGATAGGCTGAACTCAAATGGAAGATCCAAAAATGAGTAACCCGATAACAATTCTTCGACCAAAATAACGAAAATCTTAGAAAAGACCAAATTTCTGGCCCGAACAAAATATGTCGATTCATGTGATGTGTTCAAAAAATAAAAGGCAATCCCACACTATGTACATGGACGAATCCGCCATTAAAGGCAAAGTTTGTGGGATGCACCGTCACCAGCAAACCAAAAAGTTTGGAGAAGACCAAACTCAAATCCATGGACCTCAAAGCAATATCTCGACTCATTCATTGGACCTCATTGTCATGATTTTTCATAAAGGAGCCCCTTTCTACCGGGCACAGTCAAAATTCATTGATCCCTAACTTGGATTGTTGGACATCACGTCTCAATTCCTAATGCCCGGTTAGGCAGGCACTGGGTACCTGGCCCAAAGAAAAGTAGGCGCCAGGCCCTTTGACCTTTGAAACATAGCTCCACACGAGGAAGGCTACATTAAATATTAAATATTGAATCTGTGTTTTCGTCATGGTGCAGCTTCCCTTATTGATGACTAGGTCAACATTAACGGCACCAAATTAGGCGTTTGCATTGACAATTTTGAATGCTTGTTTTGTCAGTCAGTCCTCTTGAATCAGGTGACGATGGGCAAAGAGAGAACAAGAATCAACATTGCCCAGGTGGCGAAGTGGACACCAAACACTAATTGCCAGTTTTGAACTTCGATCCGAACCCATTAATCATTGATATTGGTACATTTTCACATGGGACATCTCAAGTTCCAACACCACCGGCACAAATAAACAAGAACAGAGTATTTCCCCAATTCAGTCATCTTTCTCCTCAACCCCTTCAAAGGATCTGAAACCGTAGTGCCAGTAAACCGACATTTTAATTGCGTTCCCTACTATTGGAAAAGCTTACTTTAGTAATATAAAATCATGCAAGGACGTCATTGATTTAAACAGAATAACACTGGCCAACAACGAACAAATTTTGCTAGAATACAAAAGGATCTGCTTAAACTCTAATTATTATCAATCGCAGGTTATAATAGGTTTTAAATTTTTAATAGTTACAGCACTTTATAAACGTTAAAAATTTATGCAACTAGATGTCAGTAACGTCAAAAGAATAAGTGGATTAATGAGTTCAGAAAATCATACCGGAGCGAAGAAAAAACAGGGTGTAAAAACTAAATAATGGAAGCGTAAACATACTTGAATCCGATCGAAATCACATCTGCCTAGAATAACCAGGTCGCGTTGCTGGTTGCTCTATCCACGTCCGATCCTGATCCGTCATTTTCGCTTTCCCTTCGCAACTTTTCACTTTTCACACCCAACCAAAGCATCACTTATTTTCTAATCCTTCCCGCTCCATTGACCACTTCTTCGTCGTAACTGTGCAGCAACAACGGGAAGAAGATGGGGCTTTGAATCACGTGACTCCCAGCCTTTGGCACGTGAGACTCGCTTTTCAGTTTACAGCATCCGAACATGGCAGCACAAGATGTAGCGAGCGTCACCCAGATAATAACTCAGCGGGCAGCGGCTATTGTTTTCCAAGCTCTAACCAGGGTGTCTCCTGATCGTCGGAATTACTGCCATCTAACGGCTCTATTTTTACATCGGAACCACCATCGGGTTCCTGGGACGATTGTGTTTGATTTTGTTCTTTTTCTGCCTCCTCAACCTCCGAACTCCGACGTCGTTTTGTCCCGATTGAAACCCCAAACAATTTGGGCACCTCCACTTCTGCAACTTTCGTCTCTTGCGAAGCGCCGCCTCCTACGGTGGCTTCCTCTGCCGAAAGCTGCGTCGCACGTAAAAGCTCCAACGGTTTTGCTTCGGCGGCACTACCGGACTCTAATTGGCTTGAAGCATAATTCGTCATCAATGACAGTATATTATTACACAACCCCTTCAATTGACTCAATTCGTTACTCAATTGCATGTTCTCTTTCCGAAGCTGTTCATTCTCTTCTAAGAGCTCGGGTGCAGTGGTGCAACTTGTGGTGCGCTGCACTGTGTTAGGTGCGGCAACCGGAGATGTGTTCGAAGAGATTACCTGTTCCTCACCGGAGTTGGTCGGAGACACCCCTAGGGCGGCGGCAGGTACTGCAGCCACCGTCACTGTATTGGCCGTTGCTACGGCAGCCGTGGGCGTCGATATTTTCCGCCGTTGAATGTCCCGAAGTAGGCTTCTCTCGCCTCGTCGGAAACAATCATTAACGAATTCCCAACGATCGGGGACAACCTTCCGAAATCCCTGCCAGATCAGAGGTAAGTAAATAAACATCATCTAGGCTGGTGAGAAAACAGTGGGAAAATCGCATATTTGTATTCATAAAAAAGGAATAAAACAGTAGTAAAAGTTAATCTTACATAGGTATTCAGTTGACGGACGAAACTGGAAAAGTTATTGTGTTTGAAATATTTTGGAAGCAAATCCCGGGCGAACTCAGCGGGTCGCCAAACTATGAAACTCGTTCCATCTTCGTTCCAGGAAATCAGGTCATCCACAGAGGGGTCGTCTACAAGTTGGTAGGTTTTCGTCAGAAACGGCGTCGGGATAGATCTCTGCGAGTCAGTCGGTGCGGATTCACCGGTCTGCTCCACCGGCAATGGCGCCATGAGCTCCACTTCCAGATCTGAAGCTCAATGTTCTCGTTCCTTCATAACTATCCTCCAACTGTTTGACCACCGTGTTTGTTTCGAAGACAAATACATGTATGAGAATGGGATGATTCCAGGCCAAACCGCAAAATCGACAACTAGAAAAAGGTTATATGAAAATAAGTACTGCAATCTACAAGGAAGTCAAACTATCCTAATTAAGCCTAATCCATGTGCCTTATAATCAGCCGCACTGTTCTGACATTACTATTAAAATAAATGATTAGAAATGCAGACAAATATAATTGAACAGAAAGACTAACATGACGATACATGGTACCTTGACAGAGATGGATGAATTAAGGCTCTCGAAAGTGGAAACTCGTCATCCAACAAGAAACGCAGTCGCAAGCAGTTGAACCAGAAACGACCTAAAGCAGAAGCACCGGTTGCGGCAAGAGAGGGAAGAAGGGAGGTGGTAGGTTTTTCTGTTGCTTCTAGAAGTTTCTGCGGCGGGAGTAAATAATAAGGGGATGGGGTTGAGGAGGGAGGAGGGAGAGAATGAAAGAGCAATCGCGGGTTCCAGAAGGAAAAGAGAACGGAGGAATTTGGAAATCAATAATAACAGCGGGTCCCACGTATGATGGATCGAGAGAAAGCGAAGGGATAAGAAGGCGCTAGAAAAGTCACGAGTTGCGACTTTACGAGAATGAGCCGGGCCGCTGGTTCAGTCAAATCCCGGATCGAGGATACTTTTGGACCTCCACAATAAGCTCACCCCGTCTTTCTCTTCCATCCGCTTATTGTTGACATTTCTTCGATGCTCCTTTTCTCGTCCGTGGGTCGAATCGGTTCTGCAAACTGGGCACGCCAGAGACCCCTCTGTTCTATGACGAGGATGGATTCGGATAAGAGAAGACTTGACTATTTATTTTAGGAGTAGTTATCCATCCAATCCGATGATTAAGCTTAGCTTTTGAAATATATCGGATTTATTTGTAACTTTTAACCTGATAATAAAATCGTATAGCACAAGCTCTGGCGACACGCAATAATAATCGATGCTGTTTTATCATAATGATTCCTGAGAACATTGGGCGGCCATCCACGGCCCATCTTTTTCTGACCCAATACGTTGTTGAATGCCAACATGTATGGGATTGGGAACGCGCATGAAGGCTTCGACAGTAACTCTGAAGTCAATCTCACCTCGATGACGTTTAGCATAGGCTTCAAATCCATATTATGAGATTTGTTTGGAAAGTTGCTTCAATTTAAAATTTCCCATTAAGATTAAATAGTTTAATTCTTTTTAATTATTCATATTCTAATATTTTTGCATTTTAACATGCACAGTGCTTAAATAAAAATAGTTTTTAATTGTCAATTTTTTTAAAAAAAATAAATGCTTCAAATATCATACTCTTTCCGTCCTTATATATAAGATATTATTAATTGAATCACACAAATCAATAAAATTTGATTATCTAATTAAAAGTATAGCATCATTTCAATTTTACCTTTAATTATTGTAAATAAAAATGAATCTTTTTTTTAAAGTAAATTAATAAGAGTATCTATATTTTTTCTTTTTAATTTAATAAATGTATAATGACTCATTCATTAAAAAATATATTGACAATTTATTATATTTAAGAACAAAAAATGTTATAAAAAAATTTCTTATATATGGCAACAGAGGAAGTTGGTAACTACACCATCTGAAGGGTAGCAAACCGAAATCTAAGATACAATTAATAGATACCATGCATGCCGTCTTAGAGACTGTGCGTGTGCGGTGATGAAAAGGATTGATTATCATCTTCTTTGCTTAATGCATGTCCATTGAAAAAGTCCTTTAATTTTTACAGGGAGGTTGAGACTTCAAAAGCTTGTTCTTTTGCCCCGTTTGATGTGATGGAACATCCTTTTTAAAGGAGAGGAATCAGAGTAAAGAAAAATAGAAGAATTAGGATTTGTGCGCTTGTGAATGGAATGAATTAGACTTTAAAATATGTTGGGTATGTGCGGGAAATAATAAATAGAATGTTGACATAATTTTGGTCTGATATATCATGCATGCATGTCTTACAATGATGAGGACGAAGTTAAATAATAAGAAAAGATGAAAAGAATGATAACAATATCCAATTCTAAAATAATTTTAAGCAAATGCATAAATGTAACAGAGGCGTGGTTCCATGGAAGTCCATTAGCCACTTTGGAAGGAAAGAAAGGTCATATATCATCAACAACAGAAAGGTACATGAAGGGTGGGGGATATAAAACACACGATTCTCCGAGAGAGTTTCTACTTTCTCGATCGTTCCCACGTTATTCATCTTCGCCGACTATTGTGATTGGAAAATTATAACCAAAAAACGGGAGAAAATAATATCTTGGGGAGGATCTTAAAAATCATTATTATTTATAAGGGCTGGATATTAAAATATAAATTTAAAAATATTATATTGCCCCTAATCATATCTTCTATGTTCTTTCTAATCACATCTCATATGCTCTATGTGACAGTTACTAGCAAAAACACATTATTTGAGAATAAGTTATTTTATTAATAGGAGTTGAGTCTAGCAGAAAGATTTATTATTTTATAATGTGATAAATCAAGGTTTAAAATTCTATTGGAAGATGTGTTTGCATTTAGTGTTCCACGGCATCTCGAATATAATTGCTTCCAATAACAGAATACCCATAAGTAATGAAAAAATAATAAGCTATTTTCTCATATAATAAGGAGATAAAAATAGCAAACTAAGACAAAGCTAAATTAATGCCTTAGGAACCTCCAACAAGTTAATAATATTCCTCCTAAAAATCCACAAGTCTAGGTATTAAAACAATGCGTTTTTGACAAAATTGAATAATTCTTTAAAAGAAAAAATTTTAAAAAATTATATTGTTTTTATTAAGTTTAATATTAATTTTTGTTTTTGGGTGTGAAATTAAAAATTGCATAACCATATTTTTAAAAGAATATTTTTGTAACTTGGGCAATACCACATGATAATTTTGAGGCTGATAGATTTTATACTAATATTATAATAGTTAATTATACTTACATTAATCCTTCATCCTAATTTTAATTTTCATGGTCTTTTATGACAAATTTTAGCAGTATTAGATCCCTCTTCCTAATTTTAATTTTCATGGTCTTTTATACCTCCTCTTGAGTATTGATCACACCTTTGTAAATGTTAGTTGTCATAATTTTTTTTTATTTCATTGTTTGGTTCTCTATTAATGGAACCAAGCACCTGTCAAATAAAATTTTTTATATTTAATGTATAAGAATATTTTTTAACACCCATCCACCAATATCTACAGTCTTTTCTCATTGAAAAAAATAGGTGGGTTTAAACATGCAACCTCCTTGCTATAGAGAAGATTCAAATAGTGGCGGAGCTAGCAGGGGATTAAAAGAGTCCATGACCCTTGAGGATTTTAATTTTTTCTTAATATTATACATTTCAGTCTCTTTAAAAATGGTGAAAATTTTATATTAGGCAACAAAATGTGCTCAGTGATTACTATTGATGGGGGAAGAGTCAATACGAGCAATAACTTGTGAATCAAAAGATAAAAATTAAAGTAGACTTTCAGAGCCTTAGAGGCTCTTGACATAATTCTCCCATAGCAGAAAAAATTTTAAAAATTAGATCTCTACGCATATCAAACTCATGATACTGCAATTCATATTCTAATTGATTTTTCTTAAAAAATAAGTCTAAAGAATACGATTTCTCAATAAGACTACAAATTTCCCAGTCATTAAATGTCTTAGATGTATATTTAGGGTTTAAAGTTATGCTACCTCTTCTAGTATTAAAAATTTTTATTATTGGGCTTCCTTCAACATTCACAGTCCAATTTTTGCAACAAATTTTCAAGACAAGGCGAGAGATAATGTTCTCACAAGTTCAACAATAGTATAACCCAAGGAGGATATTGTTAAAAAATTTATCATAGATATGATAGTAGCTGATATTCATGTGATGAAACATTGATAAAAAAGTTTAAAAGATAAACGCGCATTTTTTTTAATTATATATTCCAACAATTGAATATAATACATTAAAATATATTATATTATATATATATATATATATATCATAATTTGTTTTCTCACACTTTAGATTGTTAAGCTTTTCTTTTGCTTTTCTAGAAATCAAAAGCTAAGCCCAGATAGTATTGTTTACAGGGACTAAAATCCCCAGCCAAACACATTAAATTAGTGAGGGATTAGAGAGGACTTAATTTTCTCACTAAAAATTAAGTCCCCACTAATCCCTCAATAACTCAGTGAGGAAAATACTATTCCTTGTTAAATACTAGCGAGTCATAAATTAGTTACAAATTTAATGAAGAAGCTAATTCCTCATTAAACACAAATTAGCGAGGAATAAGCTAAATTTAATGAGAAATAAGGTCCTCACTAAATTATGATTTTCTTGTAGTGAGATAGGGATCCCAATCACATCTCATGTTATGAAAACCCCTAGTTTGATTGATGTCTGGGAGGTCCTGTAGCTGTTGGCAAATAGAAATTGGATTGATAATTTTTACAATGAGTTTTTCATATTCAAATCCTTCACAATCTTGAGCCCATGATAAATTCTTCACAACTCAGCTTCTAAATATGCTTTATTTTGTAATTTTAGCTCTCTTCATCTACATTCCTAGCTCTGCCCTTAGGGTGCCATTGCAAATTTGCAACACTATTGAAGCACTAGTTATACTCCTTTTGTTTCAAATTATAAAAACTTTTAAAGAAAATTTAGTATTTCAAAATATAAGACACTTTAAGAATTTTAAAATTTATTAAATACATTTATTTTAATATTATCTTTTCTCTATCACTATTCAATAATTAAATGTAGATTTAAAATTCTTAATTGAAGAGTATTTTTAAAAGTTTATATTTTTATTTTAAAAAAATAAAGTTGATTGATTTATTTAATGATATTTATTAATATGTGTAATTTTGTACAAAATATCTTGTAATTTGAAATAGTGAGAGCATTAGGTAAGGATGAAGTTGTAAATTTAAAAGGCTAACCTATTCTGACCGTAGACTCAGTAATGTATGTAATGAATATAATGGTGAAAATGAAAATTAATTACAAAACATATGAACACATATAGTTTACGAAATAAATATCATGCATAAGTTACACACTAATTTACTCTATATTTAAACATGTTTTTATCAAAAAGTTATTGGGTAGACTCGATACATCACATTAATTGTGGTTTGTCTAAAAAAAATATGACATTTAAATACAATTAAATATAAATTGATTCTAATATAATATTAATGATAGTATATAGAGAAAATGCAAAAAATTAAATATGCATTATGTTATAAGAATAAAATCAATTACAATAATATCACAAAAAATTTTATTTAGATAGCTTGGATCATTTTACTTGAATAGATCACAAATGATATGATACACTCGATTTATTTAAAAAAATTTCACTTTTATCAGGATAAATGATTATTTTGAATTTAAGGGTCCTTCTACAATAGTAGAAAGAATCTTTTTTTTCTCTTAAAGTTATGCAATTTAGATGGAGAAAATACAATCATCATCCCTATAATTTTATCAAATTTTACTTTTAGTCTCTATATTTTTTTTTATGTTTTCATTCTTTGTAATTTTTAAAAGTTTGAGTGACGTTTGTTATTCAAGTCCTTATAATTTTATTATTTTTAATAATTTTAATCTTTATAAAAATTAAAAAAATTATAAAAATTATAAAAATATAAAAATTATAAAAATTAAAAAGTAAAATTTGATGAAATTATAAAGAATAATAATTATGTTTTTTCATTTATATGCCCTTTTCGAACCAATTGTAAAAGTACAATTGAGGGGCACCCATGCAAGGTACGTAAAATCGGACCGGTCATTGAACCGGTTATGGCACTGGGTCACGGGTTAGTGGTTCAATTAGGGTTGAACCGGGGGTTGAACTGGTGGCAAACCGGTCATGATTAAAATAATACAATTTAAATAAAAAGACATTAATTATAAAAATATTCAACTAAATTCAATCACTCAAAAGTCTAACAGTAATAAAATATAATATTTTAAATATCTATCATGATTCATTACACTTACAACTCTTCAATCTCAAAAGTCTAGAGAAGAGATGGAAATAGAGTTGGAGAAGAGTCAGAGACTAAGTTGGAGAAGAGATGAAGATAGCAAAGACAGAGATAGAGCTGGAGAAGAGATGGAGATAGAGCTAGAGCCTGAAGAAGAGACGGAGACTAAGCTAGAGAAGAGACACTGATTAGGTTAGGGTGAGAGAGGAGAGACACAGATGAAAGGCCGAAATAAATGCTGTCTGAAAATCTGAATTGGACTTAGCGTGCTCTATCTCTAATTTTTTATTTTTTGACTTTAGTTTTACTTTTTTTTATTATCTTATTTCTAAATTCAGCACTCTGAAAAATAAAAAATGAAAAAAAAATTTCAAAAAAAATAACCCGGTTAACCCAGTCAACCCATCGGGTTAACCGAGTTACACCGGGTTATACCGGGTTAACCGAGTTACACCGGTTTATTTCGTCACCGGTTTAGGAGTAAACTCAGACCGGACAAAAGATCGGGTCATTGGTTTTCGGATTGATCCGGCCGGTCTGATACAGGTTTCAATACCATGCACCCATGGCATATGATGGCAAAAGTGGTATGTTACGTTACACGTGCAAGCGTTTCAGTTTCCAAATAATTCAAGTCGAAGCCTTTGAAACGTATGATAGCATCACCAAAGGCAGGGATGGGGCCTACATCCTAAGACATTAATTGCGTTGCTTCTTAGACTAAAATTCCTTCAAACTCTTTGCTCTAAACATTACAAAAATCACCATCCCAAAACTGACTGCTGAATCTTTGGTCAATATTCCAAGCATGCCAAATAAACCTACCGCAATTTCTCAACACAACGTGTTTCAAGCTGAGCAAACAAAAGTAAAAAATGTGCAGTAACTTAATTAAGAAGCCTGTGTCTCCAAGCTAATTACTGGTAAGAACTATGGCTTCCCCATGTAGCCCCACGGATTGTTGCTTGCCCAACACCATTGGTCCCTGCACATTTCTTCTACGCCATATTTTGCCCTGCACAAACACAACCAATAGTAATCATATATTTCATCGAGCAACAACCACAATGAATCAGCTTCATTAAAATCCTCACTGTTTTTTTTTTCCTTTCACCAATTCAACCTGATTAGTTATATGTTCTATTCACAAAAGGTTAGGTTAAGTTCTTACTTCCATCCTAGTTCTTTCTCAGCCTTCTCTGTTGATGCATACACAGCAACAGCATCTCCAGGCCTCCTCGGACACTTCTTCAGGGGAATTTTCTGAACATCAAATAACAACCATCAACAAAACCAGTCAAATCTTCATCTTTCATCGTCACTCATGCATGTATACAGGAACTCAGGAAGATTCATAGTTATTACCTTTCCAGAAGCTTTTTCAAATGCCGCAACCATTTCAAGCACGGACGTACCACGACCAGTTCCCAGGTTGTAAGCCTGACAACCTACACGAACCAAGTTTGTCCAATTATGCTTTTAGGTAACGCAAAAAAGATAATAAACGATAACATCATGTATGTATAAGAAACAGCAACATAAAATCACCTATATTCTCTGCGTTGAAAAGCTTGCGCAGGGCAGCGATGTGACCATCCGCCAAGTCCATTACATGAATATAGTCCCGTACCTAGTTTTTAAAACCAAATTAAATTGTTATTGATTCCTTTAGTGCATGAAATATTATTACATGTGAAGGTTTACGAACCGCAGTGCCATCTTTTGTGGGGTAATCAAGGCCAAAAACGTTAAGCTCAGGTAATCTTCCAACAGCAACTTGCTGTATGAAAGGCATGAGGTTATTGGGGATTCCTCTCGGATCTTCACCAATGTTACCACTTTCATGGGCTCCTACCGGATTGAAGTATCTCAGTAAAACGATCCCCCAATCTGGTTCTGCCTTTTGAAGGTCTCTGGCAATGTCTTCCAGTATCAGCTGTATCACCAGTTTCACGTGTCAAAGAGCAACCACAAGTTTATACAATCACTGATATGATGTCTATCGAACAAATCAAAGTCATGCTCACCTTGGTTCGTCCATAAGGACTAACGGCCATTAACTCCGAATTCTCGTCGCAAGGTATCTTTTTAGCTTCACCATAGACGGTTGCAGATGATGAGAAGACCATCTGATTCATTCATCCATAAAACCCCTTAAATAATTAGACAAGTAATAATGAAACCCCTAAAGTTATAAGGACGTAAGATTTCACAATGTTATTCGCAGAATCAGGGAAGACAGGTAATGAGATCCCTTCTTTTGCCTACGATAGCAGAAACATAGGTTAAAACGATAACCAATACATTCTTAAGTTACGAGGATGTCATAACCATGTTATTCGCGGAAACGGGGGAGAGAAGCTAACATCCCTGTTTTATTACAAGACATGTACACGAATGATACATTTTTGCATGGATGGAGGTAACTATATAGAAGAAACATAAGTTAAATTGATCACCAACACGTAATGAAGAATACAAGTTTTGTAACCAACCTTCTTACAGTTGTACTTTTTCATGGCTTGATAGAGATTGATGGTGCCGATCAAATTATATTCAAAATACCGGAGGGGATTTTTAACACTTTCTCCAACAGCTTTTAGCCCCGCGAAGTGGATCACGGCATCAAATCTGTTTCATCATGATCCCAAATTAGAAATCCCAGAAAAACAAATCTTTCTCCGTAAAATCATTGTTTGCATCGATTAGAAAAACATGCTTATGGATAGAATGGCATGCATGGTTATAGAATTTAGTACTACTCCCCACGTACTTGGTCTTGGAAAACAGTTTCTCCAAGTCGCCTCCATTCCTGAGATCACCCTGAAATCAAGTCAAATCAATACGATCAGACCATAATACTGTAAAAATGACTTAGGATAGGGGAGGATGGATTTGATTTATTGAAATTTGATTGGTTTGATATCATACTTGGACGAAGTCCAGGTTCTTAGAAAGGTCGGGACCGACCAAATCCCGGACCCGGTTGACGGCTTCCATGACGGAATTGTCAAGGTTATCGATGATAGTAACGTTGAAGTGACCTTTGAGAAGCTGAACAACGGTGTGAGAGCCGATGAAGCCGGCCCCTCCGGTGACCAGTATAGTTTTGGCTGAGGAAGCCATGACGGAAAACACAGAAACAGTGATGCGGGGGGAGAGGAAGAGTGAGGTATATTTATATAAGAAGTTTGAGGGTTCTAAATCGGGATATGACAATGGGCATGGAGTGATAGTCTCCGAATGTTGCTGAGGTTGCCTAGTTTAGTTCCATTTTAGGATGTTTACTTAATTAGAAATATGATTCGTTAGTTTGGGGCGCACCCATGGTATTTTCCTTGTTCTATGCTCACTTTCACATATTTGATATTTCTCGTTTTCGGGCACCACAGTTTTCAATTCAACCCGCTGCATTATGGTCTCGATTGGGTCAATTTTCTTAATCAAATTACGATAATGAAGCAATCAAACAGATCTCACATTCTCAGAGTCCTCTTGAAATCCATGATTTCGTAAATTAAAACATTTTAAAAGATATCATGGAGGTGCAGTGTTCTCAGAGAGAGGAGCGCAATCTGTCCAATATTCCTTTATTTATTTAGTTTTTCGGCTTCACAAATCCAATTGTCATTCTCTAGTGGGCCTTTGAAGGACCCAAGCTCACCACGATTGTTGAAAGTTGATGGACTTCCTTTTCTTTTGTTTGCCTGTTTGTTTTCGTCTTTTTAGGAGGATGACAGGACTGAAAGTGAAATCAATAAAGAACCATCAAATTCCAAAATGATTGCCAATGACAAATTCTCCTAATGACAAGTTGACAACGTTATCTCCTTCCGGTTCTGGGGCCAAGATTTGAACCCGAGTTTGGCATGTAAGCATGTGAGGTTTTTACTTGATTATTAAAAATATAAAAAAGAATTCCAAAATGACAATAAGGAGCCAAAGATCCTTAAACGGTAATTATGATTTAAAAACAAAATTACTTAAGTGCCCTCAGTCTTCGATGACAATTAATTGAGTTTTAGAAATTTAATACTTATCTTCAAAAATGGACTGGCAAAATTCAATAAAAAATATTCAAAATTAACTTGTTCAATTATTTGTAAGTTCTAAGAATTCGATACTTTTCTTTCCTAATTTACATCTTGTTAAAGAGTAATTCCTAGCAATTGATAAATTGCATTTTTTAAGGCAAAACAGAAAAAATGACTTGGATAATTGTTTATGATTCCTTCTAACTTACAATTGACTTTCTAATTTTTAAGATGGAACATTAAAAGATCAACTTATATAATAATCTGAGAGTTTGAGTTGCTCTGTCATTTGTCTTCCTATATTTTTTACATTATCATAAAGTAATTAACATTTGGCCTTTCAATTTTTAAGACAAAACATTGAAATCCGATTACTAGCAGAATTCCAAATGTACTAAAAATCTAAGGGGAAGAGGGGGAGAAGGATATAATTATGGGAGAATTACATAAAGGTTCAAAATCAAATAAGAAAATTAATTACCTACAGGTTTAATTTACTTGTGAATACATAACTTAACATGTAAATCCAAAAGTTTGACTTGTAAATGAGATTGAGAAAATAATTGATTTTATTATTTTATTTTTTTAACTCTCGCCCTGTAATTAACGTTAAGGACAAGTAAGGAAAGTTAAGGAAGGAAAATGACACATAAATTAAAGACAATAGAAAGAAATTAATTACAAAGGAGGACTAAGGTTTATGAAAGGGCATCTGGCCCAAAAAAAAGGTTGTAAAAGAGTAGATGAAAAATGATACCTTTGTGCAGTTGACGCATTATGAATCACATAAGCTCATTTGGAAATTATGGAAGATTAGTTGCAGATGAATTATAAATTGTGGAACATTTTGTAAACCGTGGAAGCCATATAAATTTCAAATCACTTGTTAAAGCTTCTATGATGTACAAGAGATTTGCAACTAATTTTTAACCATTTATAATTGAGCTTTTAACATTTACAACGGAGCTTCCACAATTTATAACTCATTTTCAACTATATTTTTTCAAGATTTGTAACCTATCTTTGATTTACAACTAAGCTATGTGTCAATTGCAAAAGGACATTTTTACCGCTTACTTTTTTAAAAAACCTTAGTCCTTCTATTCACTTTTGAAAATTTATAATCCTTTATAATAACTAATTTCCTTATAATTAATGGTCCTTTTCATTGTCCCATGAGAAAAAGGATAGTACAAAGAAAATATGTTTGTTTGTATGTATGTATGTATGTGTTAAAAAATAAACAAAAAGGCTTGGACAACCAATCCTTCCAGAGTCTTGCATATGATAAGAGAAATAAATCAAGTATAGTGTATTTAATTGACATCTGATCAAGGGTATAATTTAGGTTCTTTGCTCCGATATGATTAGGCGAAACAAGGGTTGGTTTCAATAATACTTTCCTCATTTGTTAGGCAGTAAACAAGTATGATCAATTTGACAATGATATGCAAGTCATCATACTTTAGCAGGGCATAAGTTTAATTCTTAATCCACTTGAGTTCTTAAAACCTAACTCATAATTCAACTTTTTTTTTCCATTAAAATGAACGAATGAACAGGAATATGGAAGAAAAAAGTGACAGACTTTTCTAATTTCTGGTTTACACGGCATCAATTATTAGTAAGGATATGTTGACAAAACAGCAGCTAGCTTTCATTTCTAGAGGAGAATTAATGCCATCAGGTTTATTCGATGTTTTGAGTCAATTAAACCGAACGACATTTCCGTCTATTGATCATTGTGCATGGACTCGTAATTTTTCCCTCCATTTAAAATAATTCGACTAGACTCCGTTTTCTTTTAAAATACCATGTCAATCCAAAACCGGGTGCTTTCCTCTAGCTTTTGCCCCTCGGTTTATATACCCGCCAATGGGGGGGAAAAATCCACAGTAAGGATCTCCCCTTCTCAATAAGGAAAAAGATGACATCATCAGAATTAGATGACAAATTAACCTAAATTTTAACGAGAGAAAATATATATATATATATATATATACATATATAATTTGCATATCTAGGCGTGAAGATCAGTATTGGAGCAAGTTCTATGAATATTAGTGCCTTTTCTTGTAAATTTTGGGACATTTTTAAGAAGCTTTGCATGTTTGTTCCTCATCAGTGTCATCAAACGTTCATCAGAATTCATGGGATAGGACGTGGATAATGGAAAAGTTGATACAAAGCTCTATCCCTTTTCTTGTCTTTCGCTTCTAATCATTTCTTATGTAACTGACATGTCAATTACCCGCACGTCCCCAGACTGATCTCCTTGTCTTGGAGTATTATATTCATTATTGTGTTAATTAATTATAACCGAGCATCTAGACAGACTTTTATTGCTCGATCTCGTTATTCCTGCAATATATTTGACCCTGCGGACACATTGCGTGTGTATATTTCACTGCGATATATATAATATACTGAGTTGTGCTTTGACGCATGAGCTAGATTCGAACCAATTATTCAAACATCGATTCCTTGCATACCAGGGTTTAACTAAATGAGGGCAGAAAATTCAACCCTATGCTGGCTCCAATAATCACGCCCCAATCCACATGGAGCTATACATTTAAATACAATTACCTGATCCATTTTTCAAACTATAGCTATGATATTTGTCGTCGATGTCCAAATTGGACTGCCACAACCACAGTCGAGTTCCATCACGCATACATATTCTTCAAAGGTAACTTGTCCTCTATTCCATCAATTTACATGACTTCTCATTGTCTAGATTTTCAAAAAAACACAACTGCTAGCTAGCTTCCTGAACGCTATATAAACCCCATCGTTGTTATCCCTTTTCTTCACGAAGCACAATCGCCACGAAAATGACAATCATCAAAAGCTTCCTTATCTGCTCTCTCCTTCTGGCTCTTGCCTTCTCTTTCACCCACGCCGCCAGGTTTGATGTCACCAACAAATGCTCCTACACTGTGTGGGCGGCAGCCGTGCCCGGCGGTGGAAGACAGTTGAACTCCGGCCAGACTTGGAGCTTTGACGTGGCAGCCGGCACCACCGGGGCTCGCATATGGGCACGAACCAACTGCAACTTTGACGGATCGGGTCGTGGACACTGCGAGACAGGTGATTGTGGAGGCTTGCTCCAATGCCAAGCCTATGGATCACCCCCAGACACGCTTGCAGAATTTGCCCTTAACCAATACAATAATATGGACTTCTATGATATTTCATTGGTGGACGGTTTCAATGTTCCCATGGAGTTCAGTCCGACATCTAACGGGTGCACACGTGCCATCCGGTGCACCGCCGACATCATCGGACAGTGCCCTAGCCAGTTGAAAACTCAAGGTGGCTGTAACAATCCCTGCACTGTGTTTAAGACGGATCAGTACTGTTGCAACTCAGGAAGCTGTGAATCCACCGATTATTCTAAGTTCTTTAAGGATAGGTGCCCTGATGCTTATAGTTACCCTAAGGATGATGCTACCAGCACCTTCACTTGTCCTGGAGGAACCAACTACGAGGTTGTTTTTTGCCCTTAAATTAGATTTCTTATTCTTAGCTACCTCCAAATAAAGGACTTTGTAACGAGACGATGTTGTCTTTACTGGAATCATAATAAATTCTCAACCTATATATATATATATATATATAACTGCATACCTCAATGGTTGTCTTATAATTATATTGTTTTTTGTTACTTCATTTTTAGAGTCTGTTAAGATATTATGTTTGTTGGTTAATTATTATGATTAGATTTGTTATTGTACATGTGCAAAGCTTACTCGGTTTGGGTCTATAAATACTGTACCACATACTTTGAATAATACAAGTCAATTTTATTTTCCCAGTTTCTCTATCTGATTCCAACTTTTTCATAAATAATCCAATTATTCCATTTTTCGTGTGTTCGGTTGTGCTTGCTTTCTTCTTCTTTGCCCTTATCCTTCTCATAAGTTGTCATCTTGATATGAACAATGTACTTTTCTATGGTATAGCATGTCTTATCATGATTACAAATGTCTTGCATCAAATGGGAGAATTTATGTTGCTAAGCTACAGATGTTCAGTTTAATGAAAATCATTTTCCTTTTCATTCTGCTAGTGTTGCTTTTATTGCATCCACTTGCCCTTAAACTTTAATGCCCTCTGGTCAAATCCCTCTTACTTCCACATATCTGTTTCTGCTCCCTTTCCTAATTTTCCTCCCTCTACTTCATCATCCTTACCTTGCTCACCTCCTCTTTCTGCTGTTTCTTCTTTTCCAGTTACTACTTATGTTTCTACTTTGCCTTCTATTTCACCTTCTGCTTCTATTGCCCCTTCAATTCCTCATTCTTCTCCTATTTCTTCTATTCCAACTCCTCCCACCAATAATCATCTGATGGTAAGACAATCCAAACATGGAATTTTCAAACACAAAATCCTTTCTACATCCACCTCATTCTCTCTTGATGATCCTCCTTCTGAGCCTTGTGTTGCTCTTCATGACCCTAAATGGAAACAAGCCATGCTTGATGAATATCAAGCTCTTGTTCGAAACAAACTTGGTCTCTTATCCCCCCTTCTAATCATCATGTGATAGGCTATAAATGGGTACTTAGGCGAAAGAACAATCCAAATGGTTCCCTAAATAAGTATAAAGCTTTCCTTGTTGCAAAAAGATTTCATCAAACTTTTTCCCCCATGGTTAAGCTTGCCACCATTCATAATGTGCTTACACTAGCTTTCTCCTAGTCTTGGTGTATTTCTCATATAGATGTTGATAATGCTTTTCTAAATGGACACTTAGAGGAAGAGGTTTACAAGAGTCAACCTTCAGGTTTTGAAAATTCAAATCCTACTTTGGGTTATAAATTGCATAAAAGTCTTTATGGGCTAAAACAAGCCCCACGTGCTTGGTTCCAACATCTCACCACTGCTCTACATAAAAATTGGCTAATTTAGTTTTGTTGCTAGTAGCTGTGACCCATCTATGTTAATTCATTCTTCAACTTTAGGTTTGACTTATGTTTTAGTCTACATTGATGGCATTTAATTATTAGAAATTTAGCCTCTTTCATCAGTAGTTTGAAGATTTGGCTGAACTCTAAATTTGCACTCAAAGATCTTAGGTCTCTTAATTATTTTTTGGGGATTGAAGTTAAAAATCATGATACTAGTGTTATTTCTCTTTCTTAGAAAAAGCATGTTATTGATCTTCTTACTAAAGCAGGCATGTTATACTGTAAGGGTGTCGTTACACCTAAGGTTTCTACCACTGAACTTAACAAATCAAATTTTGTTGTCTTCTCAAGTCCTCAGTTGTATAGATCTATTGTTGGAGCTCTTCAATATGTTACAATCACATGTCCATAAATTTCTTTTAGTGTAAATAAAGTCTTTCAGTTCATGCGATTACCTCGAGTCAATCACTAGCGGGCAGTAAAAAGCATTCTAAGGTATCTTAAGGGTATCCTTAGACATGGATTGTATTTCTCGAGACAGCCTTCTCTCAATCTGCAAGCCTTTTGTGATGTTGATTGAGGCAATGATTTGGATGATCTACACTCTACATCTAGGTCTTACATATTTCTTAATAGTAATCTAATCTCATGGTGTGCCAAAAAACAACCTACAGTTGTTAGGTCAAGTATGTGCAAAATAAAGAAGTTTAGCTAATGTCGCTGTTGAACTCACTTGGCTCCAAAATCTTCTCACTGAATTAAAAGTACCTTCACTCTGTCATGCTCCTCTCATCTTTTGTGACAACCTTAATGCTATCTAATTGTCTCATAATCCAATTTTGCATTATCAAACCAAGCATATGGAATTAGATCTATTCTTTGTCTATGACAAAGTGCTCTAGAAACAAATTCAAATTGATTTTATACCCTCTGCAGATCAGATAGTTGATGTGTTCACTAAACCATTGTCTCATGCTTGTTTCTCCACTTAGAAGACTAAGCTCAGGGTGTTTGATGTTGGTTAATCCGCCTTTGGTTCACGGGTGGCTATTAGAATCTATTGTTAACCCACCATTAGTTGATGGGTGGCTATTAGAGTCTATTAAGATATTATGTTTGTTGGTTAATTGTTATGATTGGATTTGTTATTGGGTATGTAAATATTGCACCACATACTCTGAATAATACAAATCAAGTTTATTTTCTCAGTTTCTCTCTCTGATTCCAATGTCTTAATATTCATGCTATGCCTTTCTTTGCCTCCTCGAGCTTTGGCCTTTTGTCATTTAAGCTTTGTTTGATTCAAGGGAAGGGGAGAGGAGGGAAGGGAGGGGGAGGGAGGCTCCCCCCAATTTGGGGGAGGGGAGGTTTTAGAGGGGAGGGGAGGGGAAAATTTAAAAATTTTCCCTCCCCCCAACCAAATATACCCTTAAAGTTCTTATCTCTCTTAAATATAACATTAAAGCAACATAAATCTAATACATAACATTAAACCTGGCCAGCAAGTCATCAATTAATTATAATTTCTTGTTTTACTTGTTATAATGGGAAACTAAGGTCCCATTTGTTTACTAGAATGAAATGAAATAGATTAAAAAATAAAAATAAAAATAAAATGATCAAAGAGAATAGATGAATACATTTATAAAAAGAAGGGGTAATTTTAATTCATAGGTTTAAAAATCATGATTTATGAGATTTTTAGAGAGTGTGATAATTTTTACATTTGTAGTATATATTATTAAGTCTTGTCGTGGAGAAAAAGGTGATTTAGTTCATTTTTATCTTAATTTTTTCAATTCATTTTATTCCATTTCATTTTAGTAACCTAATGAAACCTAATTTATATCCTAATAGCAGTCCTCTTCTAGTAACGACACATGTGTATCTATTCTTGTAAGAATATATAATTATATATATTTCATGCTTTCATGTTTTTTGACTTATTGCATTCAAATATGAGATGACATTCATAAATTTAAATGAATTTTTAAATGATTTGCACAAAATTTCACCTTGTCCATCAAAGTTGGAGTCAGAAAATTTTATTAAGAGGATCGAGATAACAAATTACATATGATAATTGAAAGAAAATTAAATCTATATATATAACTAACATAACATAAATATTTCAACATATATATTTATATTTAATTTTACACATAGACACACAAACATAACAAATATATATATATATATATATATATCTTTATTTTTTAAGTTTTGCTAATTAATTTTTAATGATATAAAAATAATTAATCATTATGTTTATGATAAAATTTTTGGCAATTTCCTTCTCAATTGAAACTATCATTAAATTGGCAAAGATTTTCATCTTTCCCATGAACACTGAATAATTTAAATGTATCATTGAAATCTAAAGTTCTATTTAATCTAAAATACTTTATTGCTTACTCATTGAATTTACTATTTAATTCTTTCAATTAATAATTTTAATAAAAAAATATCTCATTTGTCACAAATTCTTTATGTTAATGAGATCTGAGTATATCATAGTAAAAATCATTCATATAATAAATTTTAATAGCTTGGTTGTTACAAAAAAAAGTATTTTTTTTAGAAGAACATATCTTAATCATAGTCTCAAGCTTTTAACTTTTGAATAAATAATGTTATAGTAGATATCAAATGCATAGCATTCAATATTTTAAGAGCAACTATAATATTATCTTGGTGAAAATAAGTAAATCATATTACAGCTATATCTTCAAGTTACTGAAACAATTGGACTATACATACATAAAAGAGTACTATAAAACTGAAATGTGAATTTCACCTAATGTCTCAATGTTTCTATAATGTGACAACTCAGGGGGCTAAAAATATATAACTTGTATACTTTACCAAGAAAAAATTAAAAAATTAGAGGAGTCATGGTCCTTATTGGTTCCCCTGTCTCCATCCCTGTTGTCCATAATCACACGTGTTATCAACCGCGTCTATAAAATTCCAGTTGATTTTTGCTATATATGCAGGATTTAAGCCAGTTATGTATTGAACAATAATGCACTGAGAAAAATAAGTAAATATATACAATATGAAGTGCCAATCAACCTGGTAAGTCCAACGTGAACGTGTTTTTTTTTTTTAAAAAAAAAAAAGAATAAAACTTGTTGAAAATGGAGAGTCTAAGGCAGTTGTTGATCATTTCTCTTTCTTTGTGGGCTAACTTTCTTATAGCACAATTATACCCACTACTAATCATGATTTTTAAAGTCCACTTAAGGAACATAGTGCGTCAATAATCATGACTAATCTTCTGTTATCTTTATATTGAGGAAGTCTTCATCCGTCTTAATTAAGTTATAAATTAAAAAAGATGTTGCATCAGTAATTTTAAACGAGTATAAAAGAACTTTAAAACTGAGAGATTTCTTGCATCTTGTGTTCAACTGGAGGACTTTTCATTACCTGTATCACTATTTGGATTTGTGGAGATGAAAACGAACAATCAATAGCAAAAGATATGCTTTAGTTGAAAATGAATGTCATTGGGTTGAGCATGGCCCAAAAGCTGATCGAATTAAAGCCCAAATACTGCCCACGATGCGCAATTACATGACCCTGTGGATTGCGGACCACGCTACGCGCATCCTCAATCAGGCTTAATACTCTGTAACGAAATCTTCTTGGATTATAAATGAGCAACCGTAGCTGGCGTTTCTTTTTAAGCAAACTGTGTTGCTAAGGCGTGGTAGATCCCTGCAACTCCTCTCGGATTCGCTACTTTTTCTATTCATTCTCTGCGATCCAATCATTAAAGATGCCTCAGGGAACCCTTGAAGTTCTTCTGGTTAGTGCCAAGGGTCTTGAGAATACCGATTTTCTTAGTAAGTTTCTCTCCATCCCTCCTCCTCCGTATTGGTTTTGATCAAATTCAGAGTCCGCCTATTCTTTTTTTGTTTTTTAAATTCTGTTTCAATATGTTTATGTGCTTTTGAACAGACAACATGGATCCTTTTGTGATCCTCACCTGTCGTACTCAGGAGCAGAAAAGCAGCGTGGCGTCAGGTACTGTATCTTATTTAAAATCCAACGAGTCAATGAAGCATTGTCACTGCTATAAATGATCGGCGCCAGATCCTAATATAAACGTTTCTGTCATGATGGAAAAAATATGGTTTTCTAGTTGAAAGGATCCCCAACATTGATTTAGGCTCGTTTCCAAACTGTACCAAAGGTCTCTTTTTCCATTCAATTAGTCAAAACAGTAGAGATTGGCACGCATTTAAGGTGATAAATTGTGAAACCAGGTAAAGGATCTGAACCGGAATGGAACGAGACTTTTGTTTTTAACTTGACCGGTGACGTTTCGGAACTCACATTGAAGATATTGGACAGCGATGTCGGCTCAAACGATGATTTCGTGGGAGAAGCAACGTGAGTTTTTTCTTTTTCATATTTATCTCTCGATCTCTTTCTTCTGGTTAATACGAGGTCATGACATCTTAGGGATCACTGACCTGACCTGTAGAATTATTTAGCATTCCATCCCATCCATGCCGGCATAGGAATTCTCTTGACTTTTAAGAAACGTTGCGAGAATTGCATTCCAGCTATTTGTCATTTGTTGATTGGGGTGTGGTAGTGATCGGGTTCAGTTATTTCTGATATAAAAAATAAGTGATTCTGATCAATTTGAATCATTGTAGACGGGTTGACGATGCACTTTTAAGTCCAAGGATGGTTTTTCCTCCTAGAAGAATGTCCGAACAAGTCAGGATTCCCTAAAGACGTACTAGGGAAAAAAGAAACAAGTCGACAAAAAATATACGTGAAAATAGGATTGGAAAGTAGGAAGCCGTGGTTATCCATAAAAAATGGTAGGCCTCAAAAAGTTGTTCTCAATGATCACAAAGGGGTCCATATTTTACTTTAAATCAATATATAACAAAATTAAAATAAACTAACATAAGATTGTGAAAAGTTACTGATTTTTCAGTAGCAAATGTCAATAAATGATTTAGCCCATAAAAAATCATTGGACAATAAATTGGTGCATGAACTTACGTCGCATTTTAAGACATTTTGTATTGTTTGGGAGTAAAAGGAAACGTTAATATTATATATCAAAAACGACTTCTTCAAGATCTTAACCTATTATAAATTAAGACATTAATGATATAATTACTATCATTATAACGGGATATTGCAATCACATAACGGATAGTCCAAGCAGAATATTCGGACAATATTGCCTGGTCCAGGACGCAAGGGGTTCAAAAATAGATATTATTCAGAGGGATATAAATCATGATGATTTCTATAGTCGTGAGGTTGATCATTCTTTGCAGCATTCCTCTAGATGCTTTGTTCACTGAAGGAAGCGTCCCAGCAACAGCATACAATGTTGTCAAAAATGAGGAGTATCGCGGGGAGATTAGAGTTGGCCTCACTTTTACACCAGAAGTAATTCTTTTTCTTTTCTTTTCTTCTTTCTTTCTTTCTTTTCGTGTGTGTGCATGTGTTTTAAATACACCAGAGGTAATTCTGTTTTCTTTAGCTTCGTTTTTCACGACGTTTCTACACAAAATTACGGTGAAGAGGAAGACGAGGCTCGTGGCGTTTATTTTGCCTTATTTTGTTTGTTTTTAATCTCAGGAGAGCAGAAGCGAATATGCGGATGAGGAAAGCTTAGGCGGGTGGAGGGAATCTAGTTACAGAGACTAGAGATATACAGTGTTGTATATGTGAGGATCTCTAAATCAATGGTGTCGTTTCGTTTGAAGAACTGCATGCTTTGTGTTCAAGACTCGTCGTTTTGCAAATTACCTCCGTGTTTTATTATTCCCCGTTCGTTTCGTTGCTTTTCTGTCCTGTCCTCAGATGCCTACAACTTTTGTTCTTGATCATCAATAATAGTGACTACTTTTTACAATATCATGTTCACAGGCGCTAAGTGGCACAAAAGCAGCCTGATTGATCATATCGGAAAGCTTTTATCTGAGATGATGAAGTGCCTCCAATATTGAAAATCGAATCCATTAGTATGCAAAATAACCTCAAACCAACGCTGGTTCTACCCTCAAACTTGAAAACGAACTAACAAACTTTGTTCAGGCCCTTGAGGTAAAAGGAAATTGTTTTTGACCCCCAAAACTACGAAATAGTTTGTTGAAGCAGTTTCCGATCCCATAGGCTTGGGATTTTGAATTTCAATATAGACTGAAACGTAATTCAAATATTGTTGGGTTCCAAGCATTGAGTCATAGAATCTAACGACAAATCCAATATTTGTAGGACTATCATGCATCAACGCTTTGTTTAATACAGAGCTTTTTTTCTTTTTTTTTTTCGGGATATACTTAATACATAGAGCTTCGTGGCATACAAAATAGAGTAGTTAGTTTCTTAGTTCAAACAGACATGTTCAGAAGAATATTCACTACTATGTTACAAGAACTACATCAAGATGGGTAACGACAATTCATAGGCCGTCAACAAAATTAACATTAGTCATCATGGGGCAACACAACAACGTTTGAGGATGTTACCTTGGAATTTTCCTATTGCAATGAGAATGATATTTCTGAGGATCAACCTCCACGCCAAGGCTTGTTTGTGGCTGCTGCTCTGGTATGGACCTATCCTCCGAATTGTAGTAGGATGATATATCACTTTGAGAAAAACTCGTCAATCCAAAATCTGGCAACGACGAGTAACTGTCCCTCTGGCCATTCCAAATGCCAGCTTCCCCCAAACATCCTTGAATTGGTAAATCTTCCTCTATTGTTGTGGCACCTGTGAGAGTCTTGAATGCAAATTCTAGACTTGGGTCTGACCAAGAATCCATAAACGGATAACAAAACTGAGCTTCAGGCTTCTCGCGGCTCATGATTTCAGTTTCAAGTTGTGGTTGCTTAGATGGAACAGCTTCGGCATCAAGAACCTGAGGAATTTTCTTTGACGGCTCTTCATGAATTACTGTGCTTCCAGTTATCTGATGACTCGCAAGTTTTGTACTCACGTCTTCCATACAAAGGGGCTCCCCTTCACTCAAATTCCTGGTTATATCAACTTCTTCACTACAAGACACCCTATTCTGGCAAAATGGGGAGCTGGTCCTCAACTGAGTTTGTTTCGAAGGCTGGAAAAAAAAATTAGGCATCATGAATTTACTATTTTGGGATTGGTTCAAGTCATCACAACTTTCTTCTTCGCTGGGACTCTTTACCACACCGTCAAGCAATTCCTTGTCTGCTTGGTCATTGTTGTCAGAAGTCATAACTGGCAAAATGTTGGCAGCATCATCCACAGGCAATGTACCTGTTAGGGTCTTGATTGCAAATTCTAGGCACGGATCTGACCAAAACTGCTCACATATTTGTGACTCTGACATCACACCACCAAGTTGTTCAGCTTCAAGCTTCTGCCGTTGCTCACTGGCAACAGTTTGGTCCTCATGTAACAATTCTTCAATAGTTTGAGATTCATATGACTTCACACTCTTGTTTGATGTGTCTCTGAGTACTCTTAGTTCTGAACTGCAAGATGCATGACGTGAACACTCTGTTTCTTTCTCAACTGGTAAGCAAAGCTGTGTTTCTGAAATCATCACAGTTTCAAGCTCCTGCAGTTGCTCCATGTGAATAGTTTGTGTTTCAAATAATTTCACACTCTCATTCAATCCTTCAACAGTGTGGGTTTCATATGGCTTCTCACTCTTGCTTGATGTTTCTTCAAGTACTCTCATTTCCAAGCTGTCAGATGCACGAAGAGTATGCTCTGCTTCCATCCCAAACAGTAAGCCAACTTGTGTCTCCAAACTCTTGTCACCAATTCTATCAGTTTCAAGCTTCTGCTGCTGATCCTCGGGAAAATTTTGGCCTCCAAATGACTTTTCACTCTTGTTCGATGGTTCACCAAGTACACTTGATTTCAACAAACTTTTAGGTGCATCAAGAATAACCTCTGGTTCTTTGCTAGCACTAACTAGCTTAGAAACTCCATTGTTCAAAACCACAGTTGCAGTTGATTTATCTTTTCGTGATTTCCTAGTTGCATATTCTAGAGCTCTTAAAGCAGGCATTACCTCAGGTTCGTGGCCAGCAAGCCTCCTTGACAACCGGCAAGGCAACTCCTTCTTGCTCTTCAATTTTTTTGAATTTACAAACGCATTTCTGTCACTGCTGCTTTCTTTAGCACTGTCAAACAGCATAGCTTCAGTAGACAAATTAGGGCCATTACCAATTGAATTCTCAACAGGTAGCACACCAGTGAAAGTCTTAATTTCAAATTCCAAGCATTGGTCAGACGAAGAATATTGGCAAGCCATGGGCTGCTGAGATTCTGGTTTCACATAATCTATCTCTTCATCTCCACACTTTTCTGGTTGCTCATGGGTAATGGGTGGAATCTTAGGAGATTTTAAGCTTTTATTTGATGTCTCTCTATTTAATGGAATATTTATAAAGGTAGAAGCATTATCTGCAGCATCAACACCCAGCCCACCCTCAGCTTGCCGCAATATAGCCTTGACCCTACTTTTAGACCTTCTGCTCTTATATTCAGGAGCTCTTTTACAGACTATGGAGTTGGTCATCACCTCTGGTTCTAATCCAGCAAGTCGCTTTGAATTTCGCCGGCATGGATTGCAATGATTTTTCCTGTTACTATATTTGTTCAAGTTAACATGAATTTCTGAGGCATCACTTTTTCCAATCTGATCAACTGGCAATTTCTCTTCTTTCATAACATTAGCTTCAGAAGCCAAACTTTGATCAAAATGTGAAACATCCCTAGCAGGTAATTCACATGCAATAGCCTTCATTTCAACCTTGAGGCTTTGTGCAGTGAAATCCCGAGATGGAGAGTACTGATGTTCTACCTCTTTGTCACCTATTTTCTCTGGTACTAGTTGGTATGGTTGATCTCTGTAAACTAGTTCAACTTCACAATTGCTGTTTTTCTTGAGTAACTCTCCACAGGCTTGTTGCACATACTGAATTTCTGGGACAACATTCAACTGCTGAGATGATTTATTTTTCAAGTCAACATCTATAGGTGTCACACGTTTCCTTAAGCTTCTCTTTGGAACTTGACGAGCTGGTTCATGGGTCACAGTGTCGGCTAACTGATCAGCTTTCCCAGCAGCTTGTCTCAAAAGCTGGTGAGGCACATTCAATTCCTTCTTGTTTTTGGATATGCTTGCGCAAAATGGGTTCTCTTCATTAGCCTTCTCCCCTCCATTCAAAATATAATTCTTCTCTTGTACATCAGCTGCAGGAGTTAAGCAATTTCAAGTTACAGTAAAGCATATATTTTTAAATGATTTTAAGGTGCAAACATTGGCGTCACTTTGCTACCTAGATTAGATCGTTTAATTTCAGAACTGTCTTCAGCTGCATCCTTAGGCAAATGCATCTTGACCACAGAGTCAGATGTCAAAACAGGAGAAACCATAAATTCAGCAGAAACCTTCATATTTTGCCCTTCTTTTGAGCTGCTGCAGGCACCTGACAATTCTAAGACACTGTCAGAAACTTCTTTGCCTGCAGCAACATGCATGAAATAGAAAAGAATGGGTATTAGACACACATGGCACATTTTTCATCACTCTTGAGTTTTGATTAACATGTGCATTCAATCAACTTTAAGAAAAGTTACTTCTGACTTCTCACCAGCAACAAGCTGCAGTTTGATTGCAGAGTGCTTCAGTTTCTGTCTTTTGGCAGCAGATGACAGCTATATTAACAAAAGCAAGACAAGAATTCTAAAGTCAATCTTGATGCAATGATCTGTACCAAGAAGTTATACTCATTGGATTTTTGCTCAAGCAAGCTGTGTCATATAAAGCTCTTGAATTTAGACAGACAAGTCATACAAATAAAAATGGGCAGTCTAGAGATATTCTACAAGGAAGCATGATAAAGTTGTTACCAGCTAATGTTAAAGAGAAGGGAGACTGTTTAAGAAAGTACCACACTTCATATGTTTGAATTTGATATAATAAAATGACCAGATACTGGAGTTGTGCAAATCAAGTATGTCTACATGCAAAATAAGGATTAACACAACCTGTGCAACAAGGACTAGCTAGGACTTACAGATGTTGATATTACCATTTTCTGAGGGTTCATCTTATAAATAGGTAATTATGCACACATGTTTGTGCGCGTGTACACACACAGAAGTATATGTATTTCTGCATCCTCATTGAACTTGATGGTTCACTTCATGTCATGATCCATTTTTCAACAAAAAATAAATAAAACAAAGTACAGATCACTCTTTGATATAGCTTAATAACAACGTGATTGGACTTCCAATGTTGTGCAAAATAAAAATTACGTAACTATCAATAAGTAATGGATGACAAGAAGGAAGAGTAAGGCTATAATTCGATACTAAAACCAACGTGCTAAGTTACAGAAGTTGGAGATAGAGGTACAAACATTGCTTGTAGATTGCTTAGCAGTGCATCCCTTCTTGAAAGTGCAGTTGCTGCCCTCTACAGTTTCAAGATACCGTAATACCTCAGGTTTGGAGTAGAATTTGAATCTATTCAATGGATCAGTGAAGCACTGCAATAAGAACACAGTTTCATAGGATGAAATGAGATGCATTGTTGATGGGGACAAACACTTAATAAAACATCACCAACATATGAGCAATATCTACTTTCTCCCAATAAATAAGTAGCAGAGAGAACTCAAAAAGTTCTAAACAGAAACTAAAAATGTGTTATGTAATAACTGAGTATGCCACACTCTATGTAGTCTAGCAACTGGGCAAGAGCAAATATGATACTACCAGGGAAAAGTAGAGAAATACGTATGCATATCAATTAACATGAGAAGCTTTTGATATAAAAATATAGTACTATTAGGGTATGGTCTCAAATAATGTATTCAGCAACCCAGCTCTAACTGATTTAGTACAAGAACAGATCACAAGCAGATCATAAGCTAAATTCAGAAATGTTAAGCAAGGATTGTTTGCTCCTTTTATGCATGTGTCTGGGTGATCATGCAACGCTTCTGTCATGCATGATATAAGCACCAAACAGTTAGCTAGAGGTCTTTAAATAGCATAAGATTTTCAAAGTAAGATAACGTGCATAATAAAATTTTACTAGAGGAAAAAAGTAATTGATAGAAAAGAACAAGAACATGGAGAACTAGAATGGCCATAGAATTATTCAGTACCTTATACCTAGTTCCCACACGTACACCACTTTTTCGAGTTCTGAAATCCACATTCCAGCCCTCAGGTAACCATGCAGGATGCTGATTTCCTTTTTTTAAAATCTGAAATTTCCAAGCATCAGTGAAGTGCAGAGAGACAATGGTTTAGCCAAATTGCAGAACACATATTCATGAAAAATAGGCTTCAAATTTGCACTCACTTTTGAAGAATCGCTGCTTGTGTTCTTTCTGAACAATCTATTGGTTGCTTCAAACTTCTCCAGGCCATTTCTTCCCATTTTCAGGCACGGGTGATGTAACATAAGAGTAAAATTTCTGCTGCTTCAAAGTTTGTGGAAACTACAAGACCTTAAAGTTTCTTCCTCGATTCCATAATTTCTGATTATCTATCCTCTCTGCTGGGAAAATGAGCTACCTGATTTCTATCATTTTACTAATCATAAGACAAGACACGCAATGGCACATATTAGGAATCATGGCTCAATCTTAAGTAACTCTTAAAGATATGCTAATGAATCATAAAAGGCAATAGAAAATGAAGATTATCTAAGATATAATCAAGAACGTCCCAATGCACATTGAAGAGATTCAATCACAGTTTCTGGTTGAATTGTGATTACAAGTCAAATACCATATACCTTAGTCAATCTGTGGTCAAAAGGCACTAGAATTTGAGGTAATCAACACAAGCGAAAAGGGAAGGAATAAAGGAGAATTTTGTGAAGCATATTTCCTCCACCAAATACAAGACAAACAAAAAAGTAAGAACTGATTTCTTTCTTTCTCTTTGCGAAAGGTTTCTTCTTTATAATCACAATAACCAGAATTCTATTGAAACGCATGAATCATCATGATATACAAAATAAAAGCAATCAATCATCTCGACTTTTAACACAGAAGTGTCCAAGTCTTCTCCATAGGAAGATCAACGAGAAGCCGGATGCTGACCCAGGTTGTTGAGCTCCTCAGCCAGAATTGATAACATAGGAGCCATATCATCTTTACAGTTGAACAACTTAACTTCTACAACATGAAACTCGAAACTCACAATACCATGGCACCACTAACACCCGAAGATTCATATTTTAGATATAGCAATGCTTTCTATCACAAACCAAAAAATCATTCGCAAGTCCACTTACATTTATGTTCAATCACAGTAAGAATTTCATAATCACAGATAAAACTTCTATCACCCCCAACCCAAACAGGAACAATAGATACGCCCGAAGCGTTATTTAAGCTAAAATTTTGTCCATTTGGTCGTTCGTCTCAGGTCAGAAGATGAAGCCTTGTCCGTGGCGCTAACAATCGTCAAGCATACTGACGAACCATTATCTTTCTTCTTTAACAAGTGAACTAATATTCTCATCTTCTACAACTTGAAGCCACCAAAAAGAGACACAGGCATCTGAACGCTATCTCCAGATAAATACCTAGTTTTCGAATACATTGAAGTTCTTCAAAGAGAAGTCAAGGAGACGTCCCTTAAACATAAAAACTTAAAAAAAGAACGACAACTGACCTAGAGTCGATGTTATAATTTAAATTAACGCACGTATTAAAGCATATGCTGCAATTCCTTCTTTCTAGACTAAATTCTTTTCTCCTCCTTCTTTGCCAAGATGATTAACTAATCATGAACAAGAGGAGTTTCCTCATCCATGCAAAGGAGAGAAAAATAAACTGAAAATTCGTCAACTTTCGAGCGGATAACAGATAAGTATGGTTGAAAAGCAAATAGAAACCCCACTCAGATACTGACAACAAATTAGCACAGCTCGATAGTATGAGGATGAAGATTAAACTTAAATGATAAAGCTTTACCCTAACTGTACACGTGTAGGATGCCGCCGAAGTTCCCTAGCGCCATTCCGCAGGATTCCGATGAATACTCCGGCGATCGAACTTTAGCTCTTCATCACATGCATTTCCGACTCCTTGGGAGCTGAAAGATTGCTTCTTTTTTTTGTTCGTTCGTGAATATATTATTAGCTTTGGAGCAAGGGAAACGAATTCCTATTATTATTGAACCAAAAACAATAAAGTGGACGAATAAGGCCGCAAAGCCACGTGTTGAAAAGAAAAACGCGCTCGTACTTTGGGGTTTTGATAATTTGATTCCGGAAATGGGCTTTGACTCTTGGTCCTCTAATGTTACGCAATCTTCAGTCTCAATTCATGCCGTCTCCCCCTCCAACACCGACACACACACACACACAATAATAAGAGGTTTGATTCATATCCCATTGTGTAGCTTATACCGAGCATTATATAGCTCTTTTAAAAGCGTGTTATGATAAGGATGAGAACACACACACACACACACATAACGTAAAAGTAGCATTGTTTTCCTATGCCCAGCCTGCTTAATATTCTCATTTACAGAGCTTAAATGATTAATTTTATCTAAGAGAGTTGATTACTTTATTCACAACACCTACCTTTTTTTTTTTGGGGTCTGGGATAACATTAGCATGAGGTAAAAAGTAAATTTAACTCCATCTAACGCTATTTCATCCATAACCTTAGCATCATTATTTATTTAACTTCATGTAACTATGTAGGTATCTTAAAACAAGTGATTATTAGAACCATCGACCTTTGTTCTTTGCCATATCCCATAATTAATTATTCATTAAAATGATACTTTGGGTGCCCATATGGTCTTCTCTAATTATTATTTTTCTTCCGAAAGTTTTATCTAATTTGAACATTTAAAAGCTTCTCTCGGTTTGCTAGCAGTAGAAGAAAGCAAGGTTTTTTTTTTTCCAAGAACAAAAAAGGAGGCATTTGAAGTTATATATTCGTTCTGAAGCAAGCATATCCTCTCCTCAGTCGTTGACTTTGAAATTGAATGGTCGGGCTGAGCAAATGAGAAAAAAGATGTGATGGGCCATTAGCGTTTCCGTGGGGACGGCACGATAACTCGATAAGCTGGTGAAGATCGCTATTGATACTTGGATTATGAGGCGCCAAATTAAAGCCAAGTATTTAAACGATGGCTTTTCCTGGTCCACCCATTTTCCTGCGGAAAGATACCTCTATTTCTTTTTCTTTTTTTTGAATTTAGGAAGAAGAGGCTTCTTAAATCTTAAATTGAGAAAAATGTTTAGATGAGATCTTTACCTGCTGTGTCTCTTCTTCCGTTTCTCAATATTTCCGTACCTTGTCATTGAAATGCATTTCCTTTGAGGTTATTGATATACCAGTTATATCAACCACACTGACGATTGTTGAAGAAGACCAAAGCAACATACAGAAGTTTCATAAATCGGTTTCACAATGCGGATTCAGCTTCAACCACAATGCTCTGGCTTTTCAAATTCTGTAGCCCATCAATTCGGCCTCATCCCTTTATCATCCCTCCCGGTATCCTTTGACTGTGAGTGCGAGTTAACTTCAATTTCGCTCCCGAATATTTCATCTTTGCTATGTTTGTCTCCCTAATTGTTCCCAGTGTTGTTGCACACGACTTGTTTGCTTTATCGAATCTTTATTTCAGTTTCCCAACGGAATAGATTCAAGAGTGCGCATTTGAGACTAAGAAGGAATCAGAGGATGGTAATTTCGGCTGCGAACGAGCAGAGCTCGAGCGTTGGTTCTGCGAGGAAAAGGTTTTTTTCCCTGTATTTTAATTATTTTAATTTTAAGGATCGTCAGGACAACTGGGTTTGCTTGTTTAAAATATCTTCATATTCTTAGTCATTGATCACATGAGAACTTTTTTCTTTATACGTGCCGTGGATAAAATGTTCAAGGTATTCGTATATGTTGATGTATTTGCTTCATCGTAAGCACTTGTTACTTGAGATTCGAGATTTCCCTTCCATGCGTTCTGCGGCTATATAACGACTGTTATAAGCTCCTGTAGAAAAGTTGTGGAACACATTTGCCTGCTCAAAGCAAAGCAAGATTTATCCGATGAGGAAGAGAAGGATATGCTGGATTATTTGTATACAACACAGTATCAAATGGGCGGTGTTGTGGCAATTTCGTTGGGTAAGTCCACATTAGATGGGTAAGCATAGATACATTGCCGGTAACAAGCAATGGCTAAACTTCTAAAAGATCTAGTGGCATTTCTCCCCCTTCCTTTTTTATATATGTGAAGAGGCAATGACATTTTCATTTGTTGTCACGCATGTGATGACCTGCCATTCTTGTAGGACGCATTTCTGCTTCAAATCCAGAGAACTATACACATGGCCTTTATATGCGCTTTCAAAGGAGAGAAAACCTTGAAGGATTTTACGAGAATCCCTTTTACTTGAAGGTTCTGAAGGAGCATGTATTAACTTACTGCCATGTATGCACCAACATGTAAACACCGATTCTCTGTTTCTTTTCCATTTTTTCTTGTATATGTTGAACGTACATTGCTGCAACAGTTTGAACTTCTGCCAATCATTCAAACTTCAATTTCTTTCTACTGCAGGGATTAATGAATGTGGATTATGAATCTGAAGTAGAAGATGAGATGCTTTCTATATTCCGCAAAGGCGAGGTAGGACAAAAGGCATAGTGCATTATTGCTATTGATTTTGGATTTTTGAGCAAACTTTGTGCGTGCATTGCTTCTGGTTCTAACAGCAAATTTCTGGGTGATTCAAATGAATGTTGTGGTTAGGAGTTCAACTACGGAGTGGAATTTGTGCTTCTGATTTCATTTCGTGATGGAGTATCTGCTGAAAAAATGAAAGATGCATTAACTTCCCTGTCTTTGTTGACATCGGGATCTCCTTCCTTGATAATCCAATCAACTCAAGGCATGTTTCGCCAAGTTGCCAAAATTGTTGCTCTGTTATATGACTCAAGTGTGTCCTTTGGCTCAGTGGTTCAGCAAAAGTCCAATTTGTATAGAGAAAGGTTGTGTGAAGAATATTCCTTATCATGAGTCTTTCAATTTATGAATGTATTCTTGTTGCTGTTGCATTGACAGGTTCAAATTTTACTCCAAGCTCCAAGGAGTATACCCATGGAGCAGTGATACGATTTCGATCAGGTGATCTCCATTTTATGATATCTATGCTTTATTCTCTTAAACACTGGTCATGCTGACGGGTACATAGCGGCGTGTTTTGCAGCTGATGCTTTCGAGATATTTACAGGCAGCAAAGAGTATAAAGATGTAAGAATCACAATCTATTGCTTTCTAGACTTCACCCTCACTATCCATGGGATAATAGACAGCTTTTGAACCAAAATAGCATGTGCTTGTGTTCTTTACACAAATTCTACTTTTTATACTGTCTTTTCCTGAGCTATGCAGAACTTCTAGATGATTTTTTCACCAAAAAAAAAAAGCAATATTGGTAAATAATAGAATTCTGGATTTGTTTGGATTTTGGCTATAATTTCTTTCTCGGTATAGCATCTTCTAATTTTGCTGTCCTTTTGAATTCCAGAATTTGCTCCCTGATCCTCTTTTCAACTTTCCTCAAAAATGAACTTTTGCATTGAAATTAGTTTGTTGAAGCTAAGTGATAATTTATCAAACTGAAAGAATATCAATCTTTGTAAGCTTATCAATACCATGAAGAATCTAAACTACGTTTCAATTGTCAAAATAGATGTGGCTGTCTAAGTTCCAGCCTATCATCCAGAAAGCACTGTCTCTTCATTACTCTGTTGATCCAGTGGGAACTGAAATTATGTAGCGAGGATTTGGTAAGTCTGTACTATTTACTCCCCAAGGCAAATGTTAATGTAAGGTGCTTATCTTTTTTTTTTATTTCATATGAAATGCTGGCAGATTTCTTGACAAGAGATGCGGGTTGGGTTATTCTATTTTATCAGAACAAGGATAAAGGTTATTGCCTGCCTTTTCACGGTGAAACTATGGCAAAATAGCCATTCCTTTCTGCAACATTCCGAATTTTGACTTGGGAAAATTGCCTTTGCTTGTTGCACGCAGGTATAATTGTACATGTCATGTATATCATGTCATGTCACATATATGCATTTAGAGAACGTGGTGCCTGTATAATATCTTGGAATTGGTCTAGTGTTGCTAATGGATGTCAAAATGAGGCCTTGTAGGTACTCTAATCAGTGTCCCTCAATCTATCGTGTAAATGCTATGTAATGGATATTATGAACATGCAAAAGCTAATAGTTTCAATCAATTTGACAAGAGAAAGCTATTCAAGGGAAGCATTAAGTTTCATCCGCATCGTTGAGTGATTTTTCCGGGTTTTCCTTGACTCTCTTCTCGTTAACTGACTTCTGCAGTATTTCATTGCTTCTGGATCTTCGTCTTTTGTATAACTTTTGATGAAGTTTGAATCAGTATGGATGTATATATGACAGACCTGTGCACTTTCCACTACGAAGGTTCTGTCACAGAATTATTCATATATTTACAGGCAAATGAAGAAAAGAAATAACTACCTACCCCCCATCATAGCTCTCCAAGATTGTTGATGTCGGCAGCTTATAAGAATAAACTTTTTTTTTTTTTAACTTTTTGGGTCCGCACACGTCGTCTTCTTACCATTGGATCCAAGTGCAAGGACAGTGTTATGAAGATTGTCAAGTTTGACTTCCGGACCATATCTTCTACGGGTGGCAAGAAAATTCTTGTATGCTGCACTAGAAGCAGCCTGCAAAATTTTGTGAACTTGATAAGCAGTAGATTGCTAGAGAGCTGATCAATTATGAAGCGGGTTTGGCCCCCCCGGAACATCTCTTAGAGAAACTCCATAAATTGGATGGATTTCATCTCTGCTAGCTTCCTCCTGTGTCTTCGTGAAGAAATGAAGAGAATTGTTTGTGTGTGTTCGCTTGATTGCTTCGCCTGGGCATCTGCGGGCCATACTGCAACTTGAGAGATGACTAGTAAGTACGATCATGAACATTACGAGTGAGATCCTTGAATATAGACCTGCCATGGCTTCTGTTCTGTGAGAGAATGGAAATTCAATGGCATACAGGAGGGGTTGAATTTTGTTTGCTCTCATTTGCAGAAGGACTTGTTGGTTCTTAAATACGAGGTGAGGGAAGCTGGGTCCAAGATAGAGCCGAGCCAAAAACTAATTAATTTAACGAAATGACAAAAGTAGCCAAGGATCATATATGGATTTGCAATCTGACCACCGTCTAAAACATTTGAGGGTGGAGCCATTATGCTTTATATTATTTCTTTGGAGCAGTTGTAAGCTTGTTGAAAAGTTGCTCATTGATGATCCAGACAGGACAAATATAGCAGAGACTTTAGACAATACTCTTTCATGTTGCTGCCATAGATCAGACTGAGCGTATGATGAAGGCGTAGATTCTGATTCTGAGGATAGTCTTCCACGGTCCTTCCTGTGGAGGTGGAGTGCCAACTTAAAACAGCTTAGGAAAGCATAAGGGCGTTGACTATTGGGTGTGATGTGTTGAATGAGTCTGATTAATTTAATTTTTGTAATTAATTTGAAGACTGAGATATGAATTCATGGACACGATGACCCCATGTCCGTGTGTCATCGAAGGAAAAGTGGTGCTTACTCTTGATAGTGAGGTGCTGTCTCAGCACGTGCCGTGGCCTCTAAACTATTCAGGATAAAGTGACACGACTTGCCACTTCGCCATTCCATCAGTTCCTGTACCCATATAGTGTTTGCTACACTACAAGACAATTTCGGAGACAATTTGCCCCATAGATTTGCGATTGAAAATATGGTGGTGGGTTACCAGAAGCCAGATTGTGTTAGAATGTGAATGCAACATGCTCTTGTGAAGTTTATTATATTTATGTCCTCGTCATGTTGATGAAGACGAGGTTTGTTCATGCTTGTGGGTAGCTTAAGTATCTGCTATATTGCAATCAGAAGAAAAGATGAGGCTGAGACGAAACAGGATATATGCAGACAAGGGCTTGGCTAGCGTGTTTCAACAGTCTGAAATTACGAGGTTTGAAAATTTCTTCATAAATCAATGGCCTTTTAGCCTAATGACATGAAAGTTTTTTTACAAGTGAAAGGCCCACAGATTTAATTTCCCTTATAGCTTCATGTCATTTGTGCTTTATCTCTTTAAATAAGGGGGAAAAAATCCCTTGTAACGGAGCATCAGCCGGCAGTGACCTAGTGAATTTAGACCTTGCTGTTGTTCCTCACGCGAACATGGAAAGATAAGATCTGAGTACGAGTTTTTTTTTTTTTTTTTTAAGGTGACGTATGAATGGTAGGACACTTCGTTGTAATTTTGGAGAAGATGAGGAAACAATGTCAGATGCCCTCCACGTCATTCAGGGTTTAACCTCACCTGAACTAAGTTTAACTAGAGTCAAGTTTACAAGTTTCTTGATGAGCATAACCATATATTGGACAAAGGATGGCGCGGACCCAAGGCCACTAATACAGGCAAGCGGCCGCGTAGACTAAACGAGGTTCATATTTGAAGGTTGATTTAGTTGAAGTGAAAATGAATTGGTTGTCAGGGAGGGGCCCACATCATACGGTGGCCCACAAGGCTCTGAGCATATCAGGTCCTGAAATGTCTTACCCGGCACCTCAACGCGGGTATCGAAGGGAACAAGGTGGGACCGACTGAACGAGGGCGAGGCCAGACATGGCCTCCCTGTTTTGGGTAGGGATGTCTAGGGTTGTACATGTCCCGATAATATCAAGACTCACTTGTCTCAACCCAAAAAAATTAGAAATGAGATGTTTGCAAGATGGAACAAAAAAAGGGAGGGAGACAAGACGGGATTCGAGATATCCTTCAGAACGTTTCATCCTGATATTATATATATATATATATATATATATTCTTTTATTATATATGTTAATTATTATGTTATTTTTATTGTTTATTTGTTTATTTCTCTTTTATTTAATTTTGTATTATTCTGTGATACTCGGTTTATCCAAATCAGTTGTGAGATGTTTTTTCATAATTACTAATATTGATTTGAGAAATTAAAATTAAAAATGCAAGTTCAATTGCTGCAATTTAAGTAATCTAATGAATTTATTTTGAGTTTATGCCTAGTTTTAATTTGGGTTTATAATAAGCTCTAACCAAATAACATGCATGCACAGAAGCTCTTATATTGGGATGTCTCATTTATTTATATTTATCTGTTTATATGTTTGAAACTCAATTGATTAATAGAAAAATATAATTCTTTATACATATTGATTGAGTATTATTAATCATTTAAAAATACAAACAAAAAGTGGCTAATTAGGGTGATTACCAAGATATCCTAACTCCTTTTGGGATGAGATAGGACGAACCGAGATAGCTTCTGAAACAAAATAAGACATAAAATAATTTAAATCTCAATTATTTCTTAAGATGGATCATGGGACAATAGTGTCCCAACCCCATTTCATGAACACCTCTACTTTTAGGTTTCACACACAATCTCGACCTTCTTGTGGTTCATGTGCCAAATGGACGCCAACCCAGACGAATTCCATTGATTTCTTGGTTTCCATCCCCCATCATCATCTATACACGTCATTTAATCCGTACGTTGGGCTAAAGAACCCGAAAACCCTTGCTGAAAAAACTATGATCAATTGATAGCAATACTAGGTACATAAACGTGCATAACAATGGCCCCACGTATTTACTTAATCACAACACCGGAAATCTTAATTTAACAATAAATACATAAAAAGATGCCAATTCACCAATATGATATATTTATTCGTTTACCTCTGAACCAGCGTGACATTCCACAGGTGCCCTGACCCTACCACGATCTTAAGCAACGTAACTTGAAAAAAGGCAAACGGAAGGAAGGGATGCACATTCATTTCATATAAACATTCCAGTTAACACTGGTAAATCAAACATCATTTGGTGGCAACTCAGATATCGTCCCAAAACTGCGGATTGGTTGCCAAATTTCAGTGGATGGATTTCAAGTCAACCAACTGACTAGCAAGGAAACAGGGAAGCGCTTCCACGCAGTGAAACCTGGATACTAAGTTTGAAGCGGCCCTACCAGAACCAATATTTGGTCTCGAGAATATTATTGGGGGTAGAAAGTCGATTTTTTGGCTGCGTGGTTTCTCGAGAGGTTGTTATCACAGAGAACTTCCTTGTGATCCCACAATTCTCCCCATTACCATTCGCTTTACCTATCCATTCAGAGCTATCTACGTATTCTGAAGCCAGGAATGTCTTTCAATCCCATTTTCAGTGCAGTCTTCCTGAAGAGAGCAGGAGGCCTCTGCAAACCAATTGATTCCGAAAATTGGTTTGCTAGTTCAGCCAGAGTGGTTTTATCTCTCCCGATTTCCCTTATCGAATTATAGTAACCAAGCCATGTGTGATAAGCTGATTCCTTGACGTCGTTATCAATCTTAGCCATTGAATTTTCTACCTGCAAGTATAAATAACGACACGGATTACAGACTGCATATTAGATAACGACTAGAAAGTTCCCTCTCCACCCATGGGTTTCAATTTTCTTTTCCCAAATACCACATTTCAAAATCCATGCACATGCATTGTATCGAAGTCATGCTCAAAATAAACCAAGTACAATTACCTTTTCTTTTCTTATCTACCAATATATAAAACCCCTGTGGTCATGAAGTTCGCAGGAAATGATAAACCATCTAAGTCCAAAATCATCCGCAAATAAGTAAAGCGAATAGTGAGAATCAAAATCCTTGTTTGCTCATCATTTTACTCTACATAGAGCGCAATGAGAGAGAGAGTAAAATAATGAAAACAAATAACATGAGCCGGAAATGAACCTGAAGCTTTGTCTCGGGATCTATATCTGGTAAAGGGAATCTCGTGAGAGGGAGATCTTTAATTTCATCTAAAAAGTACTCTTCCCATGGAGCAATTAGCAATATGCATTCCCCTTCTTTCCCTTCTCGTCCTGTTCTTCCAACACGATGGATATATTGTTCTCGGTCAGTAGGAATGCCCACCTGAATCACACACCGTCTTCAGTTAATAATAGCATAAAAATGAACAGCTCGATAACTTAAATAACAATAACTTGAACATTATCCAGGACAATAATTAGTAATATATGAAATTAATTTGGCTGAGCCCTCTCATTAAGAAACTTTTCTTCAGATAATATGGCATTATCATAAAGAAAGAAAAAAGCCTCAGCAAAACCTACAGAAATTCTTGATTTTCCAAGAATTTAAAAATTAAAAAATAGAGCATTTGAGCAAAATTGAAGAACGCAAGGTAAAA